CCCCCCCGAGGCCCCATAGGGGGCCGTGTTTTTTTTTTTTTTTTTTGAGGAAAACCCCCGAGTCCTGCGGCTGTCGCGTACAGGACTAGGGGGGCAAAATCTTAAGTAAATGAATTTCCGATAATATTTAGTAAAATTTTAGGTGCTACAGGGGTGTCAGGTTGACACTGCACTTTCTTAAAAATTTCTTTAAAATGTTTCAACTATAGACTTTTTCAATACTTCTTAAAAAGTTCTATAGTTCCCAATCTCGTTCTAAGGGTTGCTATGGGAATCAGGAGTGAGTAACAGAGAACCTCTGCCCGCCATGCTACGCGTTCGCGTTCATTATAATTTCCATTATAATTTACATTTCGACTAATTTTATTTTATTATTATTTATTAATGTATCAATGCGAGACTACAACCGCTAAATAATCTAAGCCCGAGCTGAAATAAATACCTTATTTAATATCAACAATTAATACGTAAAGCATATACCTATTTAATCTGCCACAGAATTTGTATGTAATAAAATCTTATAAAATAATTTTAAATCCTTTTATTGCACATGATGCAAGTTGCCTGTCACGGGGAACGTTTGGCGCCAAATCCATCTCTGAAACAACTTACGTAACGGTTAAAACTTAAGAAAATCGTGGGAGCGACTGGTCAGTTAATCAGAGTATAGTGGGTCCAGTAACGTCACCGTCCAAATGCGCAGAACCGCTAGTGGCTGTACCTCGTTTATTTGTATAATTTCCAAAAAATGACAGCTAGGCCACAGCTCGCCGTGATTACTACACATAAGCGCAAACAGTTCGCATAGCAATAACTTAGGTCATTGAAATATTTATATAGTAAGATTACCGAAATAATTTATTAAAATTAAAATTATAATAGCAAAATGTAATATCAGTTAAAATTTATTTATACACCAGATCGCAGTAAACCTCAGGATAGTTTCAGGATATCCAAAAAGGGATTCACAGATATACTATGATGCCGGACTCAGCTACCTCTTTTTACAAGATGACACATGTACCCAGTTAATGAAAAATCCCTACACCCACTACAACCTCTAGTCAACCTGACTGTCATTTAATTTATAATTAATTGAAAATGGCGTCCGATGCCACAATCTTCTATGGAACAAAAATCCTATTCTCATTTTTTTCTAGCAAACTGATCTTAGACGCTCGATTAGTTCTCTGTTATCGTTATGCTTAACAGAAAGAACGTCGTGGAACGTTACAAGTATAAGTAACTGATGCAAGAAGCGTGAAGGCTGACGCTTCACGTGGTTTTAACTTTTAAGGTTAACCCGGCTGACTCTTTCTCGGGTCGTCGCACGTGACTCAGGACCGATCTGGTTCGGTAGATACCATCCACCCTCGAAACTGACTACATACCCAACTGGCTACGGTTCGCCAATCCTGCCAGCTAACGAGCCTGATCAGTCCCTATGCTTGTGAATACGTCCTAACGTAACCTGATTCGCGGAGTGGAACGGGTTTTTATAAAAAAAAATATATATACATATATAATGCGAAACTCTCTAAAAATCAATTCCGGAAGCTGGTTCCATAATCCATATGAGAATCTACCACCCTGGCACCTGGTGAGTTTCCATCCTGGACCAAATGGTAAACATAACTCAGTCTAGATCCCTTAGCCAATCAACGCTTTTCTACCTTGCAGGGGGCATTTCTGACCAACAAATACTCAGATACAACCTCTGCGGGAGCTAACTTACTCTATACTGTATATATATATATATGTATATACAGTGCAGTTCTGAACTGGTCAGGATCGATCGGTTCGGTCGATTGAATTATTTTGATAGGTCCCCATCGTAGGCGTATATAAGGCCCACGAATACTGGGAGTGGCGTTCTTAATAACTCGCCCACGCGGTACGTAAACTCGAGCTTGGGTTATCGGGAAACTTAACACGTCTGACGTTAGACTAGACGGCTTATCCCGATCTGTTCCATGTATCTTACACAGTGATTGACCTTTGACACGATTCAGCAGAAACTAATAACTTCGAGGCTTGTCGTAAAATCTAAAAATAATTAACTATGTATCACTTATGAATAAACAATCTGTATTATGAAATATTGTAAATGAATATTTTAAATAAAATTCTACATTTTATAGAAAATTTATCTTTTTATATTTCACGTACGTACGAACCGATACGGTTCGTTGTACCGGGTGTGACAAAAAAAATTATCCGACTGTAAAAGCGTACGGTAGAAGCCCCCCAGGCAAGGAAGGTAAAATACGTAAGTAGCTGCAACGTACATAGGACAAGGCGAAAGGCAATCGATCTCCTTGTTGTTGAGGTTAGGTAAAAAAAAATCCCTATAAAAAGTAACTATAGAAGAAGGCGCTACATAGCTGGTAAGTAAAGCGAGCAAACAGGCTGGTCAACAGAGCCAATCGGTATATGAGATAAAATATTGCAAAGCAGAAACTAACCTAGAATGTCCTGCAAGATCGGTCGGCTGTCGCGCAGCTAAATAGCGTGATATTAAAAATTTTTATTGCATAACGGAAACGCTATTCCTATATTTAGTGATAGTGGTAAATATCACGTAGCAAGTACCAAACCTCTCATATTTTTACACTGGTTACGATATTATGCCATACCAAGAAATAACGTATCCAGAGGCCTATACGCGGATCCATGATACGTGGACAAAGTTTTAGTCTGAATCAATTAACTTCTTTTTCTTATCTTGTTCGATCTAATCCAACTACCGTTATCTCGCTCCATGTACCAAAGCCGAGTCACTATCCCATAGTAAACACGTGATTCCGACGATTACCCTCAATTTCCCGGATATTACGTAGAGCCAGATAAATTGAATTGATCTTATGATAAAATCGTAGATCGAGATTCAATTAATTGTTACGTAATATTTTCAACTAAATTTTGCCCTCTTACGATTTTTATAAATATCCCAATATAATATTGCAAAAAGAATGTTTTTTTTTTATTAATTCCTAAATATTAATTGATAAATTATATATATATATTTTTTCATTAATGACACCTTATTCGTTCGCTAAGATAACTATGGGTCTCTGATAAAACTTTTGTGCCTCGACGTTGGCCGTATTTACCACGTAATAATTTGCCGAGAATTAACGCGCGATAACTTTCTCATTAAGGGTTCTTTAGTGGCAGGGTACGGAACGTAGCCAGGCAGTCATTATTTTGTGCCTAGAATACGGGCCGTCTGGATACGCATGCGAGTATTCACGTAGATATATATATATATATTTATGCATAAGCTGATAGCTGATGCATAGTATGTGCATAATCGATGTACCTTTTTTTTTTAAGATGTTTTCTAATTGGCTGTTTAACTCGAAGGGGATACACCAAACACAAATGGTCCAGAATGCCTGAAAAACGAAAAATAAATATATATATACACTGCTAAGGGAAAAGTATTTTTTTTGTCATTTTTAAATACACAAGTGCAACATACAAAAATTGCATTCAGAGACGCTAGGGAGATGCATACAAATACACCCACACACGAATTCGTGTTCGCGTCGGGTAAGAGTGCGAGGCTCGTGCTCAGCTAGACAAAAGGCGTGAAAACTTTAGAGGTTCCTATTGTAGATAATATCATAAGCGAGAGATGCCATTACAGCTGTTAAGGAACCAGCAATTTCCGAATTAAAACCAGTCACGGAGCCCAGGTAAGGGCCACAGGTGTAATGAAGACTGAGCCTATCCCCACTTTAAATCGGAGATCTTTCCAATAGCGTAGAATCATCGGCTACCTGGAGGAGCCTGTAAGGTGCGAAAGACGTGCAGGTAAGAAAGCTGAAGGAAAGATATGATTACAGGGGGGGTGAAAAAAAAAGTTTTTTACCTTAAAAATATTTGGATGAAACAGACCGTAGTAATATTCGAAAGCCACGTGTCGTTAAGAGCCTGTCCAAGTTTCCCCGGGAGTCGCGCCTCCTCCGGGATCATCAAAGTATCCAGAGATTGAACGGCTGTCCCGGTAAACATATTTTGGCAGGTTCTTGCGCCGGAAGAGAAAAGCCATAAATTTAGCGACGTCAGACGTCGTCGTCCTGGACAGGATGGATAATAAGGTGGCTGACGCCTTCACCCTCTTCCAGAGACAGAAAAGAGGTCCTTTTGAATGTAACAGGACTGGAACGGGATGCAACGTCGGCAAGTGGATCCCATAGGGGACTGGGAAGCTGTAAAATTTAAAGGTTAGTGCACACCTAACCTATAAGAAGTCTACGTTAATTCACGATAAAAGTTGGGTAAAACTTACCGAGCAAAGTCGGCTGCTGAGTTTTCGTAAAATTTCCGGAATATTAATTGCCAATAACCCGGAGGATACTTCGTCGACCTGGTGTGAGTCCTGGGTGGGTTCGTTGTGGGTTCAGAAAATTTTTAGATCCGGCGTGGCCGTCGATGATGGCTCCGAGAGATGAGGAAGAGGCATCCTGGTCTTTGCCTTGTGGACGACAAGGGTGATGACGCAGAGGACTTGACTGAGGAAAGTAAAAAGAGGGTGAACCCTGAGGGGGTGGTACGTATAGGGAAACGTAGCCAGGGTGGTCTCGGCCAACTCTCTTTTGAACATCGCGAGAGCGTGCTCTCGCGCCGAGTCCCGTATTTTCCCCTGCGGGCTACTAATTAATTACTGTGATTAATCAGAAAAGTTCGTAATTAGAAAGTTTCTTGGAGAAATTAAAATGGCGGAGTGACGGAGTCGGGACCTAAACCCCCTCGCCACTCTTATACCTTCCTCTTCGCTTCTTCGCCCCTCTTCTTCGTCCTTCTTAGAAATCCTACCCGGTCTCCTCTCTCTCTCTCTCTCTCTTTACCCGCGGGCGTCCAACTGCTAAGACCAACATCAGCGCTTGGAGTTTCCGATAAACTCATTAATTAAGGTAGATCGGCCGCTCTGCGCCAGGGGTGCCAAATCCCCTCGTCCTTTCCAACCCTCCTTATTCCCTTTTAGCTGTGGCAGCACTGCCGAAGGAGGAGGACCTTTCTCCCGTGTAAAATCCAGGGTGAAAATGGCTGCCAAGTTGGACGCGATAGTGGCTCCATCTCTTTTTCATCGAAGACCACTTTGCACTTGTTATACGTAGCTACTACCACCCCGTTCATCCCCCGATTGTCACTTTCTCAACCCCTTCTGCCCCGACGTTTTCCAGGAGCCAAAGGATAATGGCGATGAGGACACTTTGTACCTCACGATCGGTACCGACCATTGTTTTCGTCCCTATGAACCCCAACCCTTAACAGTCGTCTTCATCCGGCGTATTGTTTTCGAATTTTCCAGTCGAGGCGCTAGCGATTTTCAAAATTTACCAGCAGATAATTCCCGGTAGGAATTTGCCTCGTGATCACAGAGAAATTAAAAAAAAAAATTAGGTTGGTATCCCTCACGTCAAGGGTTGATGGCCAATTTTGTAATCTTCTATCTGTACGACTCGGCACGAGACACGAATAGGGGTTGTTTTTTATCGGGAATTTTTTTATCTCCTACGTATGTATGTAATTAACGACTATATACACGGTGACGAAATTTTTTTAATTATCAAAAATTTTACACAGTCCGATCAACTTTTCGAAATTTTATTTTTCCGTGTTTACTCGATTTTCGAAATTCAAGCGAATTCTATCGGCCATTACGCTGCAATGGATCCAATATTCTCCTGCCCCACGAGTCTTGTCGAATTTACACGAAGCTCACAGAACGGCGAAATCAACGAACCGAAATGCAAATGCGGTCTACCGATGCACCACTGCACGTTTGGTCAGTCCTGATAGTACATATCGTACCGAACAGTCGCCACGGCAGTGTTACTCTTTTTCAAATTCTCTTACAGGTATCTACCCAGGCACCCCTGCCCAAAAACAATTTATAAAATTGAATTAAAAAATGGGGATAATGAAACAAAATTTTCTAACCCCAAAATACCTCTTACGATCCATACAGAAAAATTCAGGTATATTTTCAAGTATCTGAAGTACGTGTAGCATATATCTATGCTCGGTAACGCTAATACTCCTGCTCACTATAGTTACCACATATGTGGACACGATCTTTTGGAATCACGAAGGTCAGAACTGGCCTCTCACGTTCACGATTTCCCCGAAATACATAAAGACCGATAGTCGCTCTAACGAGATAGATCCTTTATAGCTTGTCAGTCAATTTTTTTTTAATTCACTTTATCACGCTACTCTTTTTCATTTTCAATTCACGAAAAATACATTGCAAGATTTCAAAAAGTTAACAGTTTTAAATCTACAGTGACTTTTTTTCAATATCAATTTTATCTGTGCCTCTTAATATGATACAGGATTCCAAAAAAATGTTATTTTTCTAATTAAAAAATTCCAATAAAATTCCTGATAATAATAAAAACCAAATCCCAACCAAGATCCAGACGAAGTTTTTTAACTCGACCAAAAAGAGGGTCCTGGTGAGATCGTTTCACCCTAAGCACCCTCCATTAAAGTGAATCCGTAGTATCTCTCGACATCCCCCATTGCAAATCCGCCCTCTGACCGCAGATTGAAATTCTTAGTTACGCCACTATAGGGTTCCCCACAAGTCACCCCACGATTTCATTATTTCACCAACGACTGGTATATACCGTCTATCTATCACGAATGGCGAACATTTCAAGAATGCCACAGCATTACGTTCCACGCATGCGTACAAATTAATTCCCATGAAATATTTTTTTAAAATTCCAATATCAAATCGAGTCATCCAATAAATCTCACAGCAGTCCCCCCTTATTTTTATACAAATTAAAAAATACCATTACCAAATGACTCCGACCTATTTATCACAGCGTACCAAAAAACCAACCACAACCCAATATATCCAAAACCACAATATACAGGGTGAACGAAAAAAAAAAAGAAAAAAAAACAATGCCTTCTTACATTGGCCTATCGTCCAATATCCCAAGTAACGCAATATCCACCTACTCCTTTTATTCGCCAATTTGCCATTTTCTCCAGTCTCCATCCTTTGTGCCCTTAACCAGAGGAAGCACTTCCAAAAGATGATTTGCGAGCAGCCACGATCCCGGCGTGTTTTAATTTTGGGATATTGGCGGCATTAACCGTGACCTCCTTTCTCCCAAGTATTACAGGCGTTCCTAACCTAACCACCATACACACATACATATATTACGAAAAAGTATACAGCTACACGTACTATAGCATAGTTTGCGGTTAACTGTCATCGAAGCACGTGTACCAACCCTCTACCCGAATCAGTATACATATATATATATATATATCCACCTATATACCAAGAGGGTGACAGAACGAGATCTCATTGGGGTGGTTTGAGGGCTGGGCTGAGATCTTTTAATTTGAGGCCAAATTCCTCTCGAGGGTAAAGCGACGGGAGCCGCAGGAGGGCGGTCGTATTGCAAGAAGGGTGCTGCGCGATGGTTGCCCGATCGTTTGCAACCCCTAAATTCTAAAACACCCCCACGTTCGTTGCCACGTGGACAAGCGGCCTCAACGCTCCTCCCTTAACAGACGACATCCCTTCGATAACATGACGCACGTATATTCACCTGTCCCAAGTACAACTGGAACCGACGTTACACATGTGTACACATATGCTATATATGTAAAACTGCTTCCAGATCTGGCCTGTGGTCCCATTCAATTTTTCCAGGTGTGTCACTATATCTATACCTATATGGTACGGGATGGGGAGAAAAAGGTAATAAAAAAGGAAGAAGGACTCATAGGTGGCCTCGTGGCCTCACACCTTGCTAAGATCGCCTACGGGCTACCTCGCTAGTACTCGTGCGTACCACCTTCCACACACGGGTTATAATATATTACATACTCACGCGTGTTGTACCTTTATTATAATATTATACTACGTATCTACGGACACCAAAGATTTGGGAGAGCCTAGATATTTTTTTTTTTTTTTTTTTTTTTACGACGATAACCACTCAGGATTTCTCCAAGGTTTAACGTCGTTTCCATTTTTTTTTTTTTTTTTTTTTTATATACGACGATAACCACTCAGGATTTCTCCAAGGTTTAACGTCGTTTCCACCTAACTACACCTACGGCATATATATAGTTACTCGTATAAATATTCGTTACGGGATACGACGGATTGATCGAATCGTTCAAATTTTTCTACCAGTAAGTCTCTAATGGCAATTCGTACAGCTTCGTTGATTGACTTGAAATTGAAATTGTAGGATATTTTTCGCTTGTTCGAAGTACCGTGCTGCGCATGCGCAATAGGTAAGTATCTAATCACGTGGTCAGCCTGTAATCGGCTGGTAAGGACAACGGTAAATGGCCATTGAGACGTATGAAATAGGGTGGCCGTTAACCAGACTGTGTGCACAAGATGTTTGTGAGTCTCTCTCGCCCACGCGACTCGCCCACCAAAACTGACAAAGCCAAACATCGTTCCGCCGTTGTCCGGTGTTAACTCTGACGATAAGTGGTACGTCAATTGGTACCGGACACCAAGGAACTCGCACTTAAGTAGCCAGAAGGACGCTGCTCGAGAGGGAAAGCTTTGGACTTTTGCATAGAGTGAAGGAATGCGAGGAGAATTCGAGAACGTTCTGGAATGTTCCATGCGGCCGGGGCTGCAGGTCTGGAATATGTGGAAGGACAAAGAATGGCTTTAAATAAATTGTACAACACGTGTCGTTAGACACGTGGATAATGATTGTGATGATTAAAAAAAAATTTTGGTTTAATAATTTGAAAAAAAAAAAAAAAATTTCGCTATTTCATTTTACTCGTAGATTATTGACATCTCGTGAGATTTTAATGGAATGGCAAACATTAATTATCAGAGTCGTATTTAAGGAGGGTGGCTGCACTCAGCACGTGTCGTGGATCTTTTCACCCTGGGGTACGCGGGACTACGACTCTGGTCTCTTCGTGGGACTCACTGGGCCCTTCGGTGACGATAATGAGAAATGCTTAGGTGGCGACGTTTAAACCTATCAACCCCTAACCCCCTCGAGCAATTCTGAGAGGGTGGCCGACACTAAGCTGACAATATTGATTGAATTAATTATACTCTCTGTCATCCTAGTGAACCGTCTACCACCCGCCTATCAACCCCTAAACCATTCACGTATCATCCCATTGTCAACCCATTTTCCGTTATCCGTCGGCCAATCAATTACAAATCCGATAAACAATGTAATTATCAGTGATACTTGTGTTGCGTCACGAAAAAGTATTATTACAAACCCACCCCCTTTGGAATTATGAACGATAACAATTTTTTTAAATAAAAATCCGTAATCACCTGTAAAATTCGATTGTAGTTATCACTAGTAGTCTCGAGGCTGTGCGGTGTGGGACGAAAAAGGGGTTTTGGGGATGAAAATAGGAAAATAAATAAAACCCGTACCAATTTCCGAAATTCAGTAAGGGTGCGTACGGTACTCGCGAGATATTGCGATTCGCACGTAATGAACATAGGACCAGGATGCTGGGGGATGAAAACAGGGGATCGTGCGTGCGTGAATCGTAGGTGGAGAGAGAGAGAGAGAGAGAGTAAGGACATATATATATATATATATATATCCACAGCAAGGGGTTGCGCACAATGCGTGTCTCCTGGGAGACGCTTATCTGAAATTACAATGTTACCCCCAGCATCCCCAACCAGCTGCTGGAAATCCATGGTCCCATTGGCTCGGGATCGTGTACCAGAAGTGGATGCGCGGGAGGGTGAGAAACATTTAAAAAGGAAAAAAAAAAATTTCGAATAGCATAAGAGACTAGAGGGTGGGTAGTAGTAGGAGCGTGTAGAGAAGGTAAAAAGATGAAAAGAAAAAAAAATGAAGTAGGGACGTTAAAAAAGTGCACTAGGAAATGACGTGTAGACGATGCGCGATTACCCGGTCGAACTTTTTCATCCACCCCCCCGGGGGTGGTTATACGACTTGCGATTCTTATTCGTCACACTCGCCGGTCCTTAAATTCAGCTTGATACTTCCGTATATGTATATAATACACGTGACCACGTATACAATATATAATCCATATGTGAAATATATATATATATATATATATCATATTCCTTTTCCGGTTGACTCATTAAAGGTCGGACCGCGACTGCGGTGTCTTTCATGTTTGCATACGAATCGTCGTAGCGAGTGAATAGAAAGAAGGAACGGGAGTTGCTCGTTCTTCTTTGTGCGTTTCCGCATAATTTGTCTGCAAATGCGACAGCGACGACAACGTCGACGACGCCGTCGAGGAGTACGTGCCACTTGTCCACGGTGACGTTGCGGACTGTGACTGCAGAGACTCTCCCTCGATTCTCTGCACTCTCCAACTTAACCTCACTCTTTCATGGCGTCTCCATTGCGACGCGTCTATTTTTCTGCACACTCCCCGTACGGCGTCGTCGACGTCGGCGTTTACCGCCATACGCGTATACTTGGGTATATATATGTATACTGTGTATCCTTTGAGTCCCTCGTGCCGAGGCAGACCATTGCCAACGAAAGAAACAAGAAAAAATAAAATAAAATACAACACAAACACATACTCTACTTCCTCGGTTTTGAAATCGAGTATGGCGACGTCTATTCAAAGAACCCACTATTACTTTGCTATATATAGGTATATGGACGTGCGTGTTTTGTGTGTATATATATATATATATATATATATTACTTGCTGGAATTGTATAAATCTTTAAAGCATATCTAAATACCTTCTTTAAGATGACGGATCTCCTCGTTACACGTGCATTCGACTTCTTCGTTTATTCATCCCTTACTGCCCCTTGGGTTGGTGGATGGTTGCATCCCTTTGAAATGCATCGACGTCTTGGACATTTTTCCACCGGTTTGCGAGGCTGTTGAAAACAAAAGATTGTGAAATCAGGCCGGAAACTGTTTATAATGTCTGTTCTTTTCGTTTTCTACTATGTAACCTCACTCTTGACTTACCTCTTTCGTCTCTTTCATAGTTGAGTACGAAAGATTCGTGTACAAAGTACTGTAGAGAGACTAACAATTTATCGCGAAGACGCTCGCATCTCGAAACTTTCTTGCCGTAATTTCGTAAGCCGCATGTATTATACAGACAGTATCATGAAATTTGCGAATAAACAGATCCAAAAGATGTGACCTAATGGAACTGTTGTACACTACAGATAAATAAATTCAAAACAATGACGTATTAAACGATAGATGGCAGAAGCGTCGGATTTTAATATCCGCCATAATACTTTCCAACAATCCCCCTGAGCTATGTATGTATGTCCCAAACACAATACTACAGATATGAAGTATACGATATGGATGGTAAAAAAAAAAGTTATTAAACAATAAAATTTGTCGTAGGACAAGGAACCGGTATATCATATAGAAAAACAAATATAGTACCTGTATAAGATTATAAATACTGTGAACGTGGAAGAATAATTCCTTCACAGTAATAGTCGAGCGAGTGGCCGTCAGAAGGCGCCACTGTCGGCTACTCGACATAAAGAAAGATATAAAAATAAAAGATGGCAGGAAAGAAGGTACGGTATAATCCAGCCAAGGCCGGAGTGAGTTTTTGAGAAAAAGAGGAGCGGCAAGAAGACAGAGATAACGAGAAAGTTATCGAGGAAGAGAATAAGCGCGAGTAAGAGACGCAGGAGAGTAGGTAAGAGTACTGGAGAGCAGTAGCGTACGACCAACTTGCATCCCCCAGGCCCCCACTCGTGGCGCGCAAATGAGGTGGAAAAGATAAAGGCCATGGCAGGCGATCATTAACATGCGCGCTCTGCTTTCGAGGACTTAGGGGTTGGGCCGAGCAGGGATGGTAGGTGGTAGCTACGAGAACCGAGGAGATGCCAACCTAATGGCGGCAGCAATTAACAACAAACACCGCTCATTAATCGCAAGAGAGTCCTCCTCTCCTCATTCCCTCTCGCCCTTTATTTTTAACCCCAACCTACTATCTTCATACCCCGTGCTCATCCATCCACCATTCCCCCCACTAGCAGGAGCATCCCGATCCTTACCCTTTTTAACCCTCTTCCAGGTTCGTGCCTCTTTTTCTTTTATTTACAAAAAATGCCGTCAAACTGCAACTACAGGTCTTTTCAAATCCGCTATATTGTGTCTGAATACTTCGTGCAAATGTTGTCTTGGCACGTGCGAAGACAGAGAAAAAATTTTTAATTCTATTAACCTTATTTGACTAACCCCAAAAAATATCTTATGGCTGTACTTACTGTGCTTTATGCGTGGATACGAATGAAGCGAAGCGTCAGTTAAAAATATAATATCGATAAATACCATAGGTTTTTATCTTACATAAAGTTGGCGGGTTTACTGTTATGAATTATTATCAGTATTACTTCTTGGACTGGCTGGTATAAAGGATGAAGTTAGGGACGTAAATTACTTGGCAGCCCGCCCTCGCCGAATTATTAAAAGCTAAACTGTGTTTGATTTATAAGAGGGCAGCGCCAACCTGCGGCGCAGCTAGGAAGTACGCGCATAGCCAGAGGGGGGTTGCTTTATAGGAGAGAGAGATAAGGGGGGAAGGGGGGCGAAGGTGAAGAGATTAATTTTATTACTTCCGCCTGAGTAATTATTGCATTACTTCGCGAGGAAGTTGCCACGAGCTTCTCTTTCGCCTTCCTTGGTGTTTCCTTCAATTTTTCTTTTTCTCTCGACTCCCCTCCTCGCCCCCTCTTCCTTTTCATCCCTCTATCGCCATTGCCTTCTTCACTCCTTTCTACTCCTCCCTTACACTTCGTTTCTCATTGCGCCACGCTTTTCGCTTCTCTAAAGAAATTATCGCTTAGCTTCCTTAAGGCGCACTTACATAGTCGAATTGACTGGGCGAATGTTTTTTAATTCTCATCGCAATATTACGTCATCGTTTTTTTTTTTATCGTTATTAAGATAAACTATTGAACATTACTTTATACCAGTCGCTCTGTCAGCACGCGCTATTATACAGATACACCGAAATTCCATAGAATTATGGAATTCAATAAACCAGTCGGACCTGTCGCATCGAAAAATTCTTTCATACATATCCGCCATCAGACCAAGTCAGTCCTATAGCTGAATCTTATTAGTCCTTCCCGATTGCCAATGCAGCAGCAATATTGCCCTCTCATCCGGTCTACGTTACGCTGCAGATTTTCGATAAATGCCGGGTATGTACCTATGTACATAGAAACGTATTACGCTTGCGATACCGTAGCCGATTAATTGTTGAAATCTCAATGAGGGATCTGCTGAAAGTTTTTCAAGTATTGAACCGGTGGAATTAAAAATAGAAATTCATATCTTGGTTCGAAAAAGATTTTTACGAAGTAGCGCAAAAGTTTTTAAAGAAATAAGTCCAATTGGAAATAGGGTAAAAAAATTTTTGAAAAATTTTATCAAAGTTTTATCCCTGCAATTTGAGCTAGCCTGTACGTCTGTCTTTGTCTCACTCGCGTATATACCAATAAGTCCGTCTCTCTCGCACTCGCAGGAAGCGTAACAAGTACGCAAATATCCGTATAAATATTTTTCCTTATTTCTTTCTTTTCACAAACTTTCCTGATAAGTGACAGTCTCAATTTGTTTCAGTAGTCTTAACGATACAAAAAGTACCCAAGCTGTCCGTGCTAGTTTTCACACATCAGCCTGACAGCTTGTCCACGTGTCCTTTACGGTAACAACGGAAAGAAACACGTGACGGAATCACATCAGGTACAAGCTGATAGTCGAAATCACCGTTATAAGAGCGATCGAAAACGGCTTTTAAGAATGATCCTTTTTGTCGGCTTGTACTCTTTTCCCGTGGAGTCTTCATTTATTTATTTTCTATACGCTGCTTTACAATTACCTATACCCAACCTGCTCTCGACAACTGGGCAACAAACCTTCTCTTACGATCTTACGAACATCTGGCTCTACCCGTTTGCCTATCTGGATCACCAATATCCAGAGATGGACAGATCGTAATTTCTAATTTCGTGTGATCCAGATTGATGCCATCATTCTACAGTTTAATACTCCTCTACTCCTCTCCTGTACTGGTGTCAATAATTCTACGCAGCATCCATACACGTCTACATCTATACCATCGATATCTGAAAAAAAAAAAGCGTACTTAACCCAAAAGTGATCTTGGCTTTTATTAAAAAAATGTATATATAATAATAAATAAAAATAATCCTGCACAAGATACGGGGTAGTATGTCTGGGTCCTGGCGTCTTGTAAGTATCAGTAAATAATCGCAGCGGACGTTGCATTACTTCATGGAATTTATGATTCGGCCGTCCGGTCACGTTTGCCGGAGGGCTTCTTCGGCGACGAAGAAGAGGTGCTTGTAGAGAGTAAGAAGAAGAAGGAACTCTAGACGATATAAGGGATCACTATGTATATATATATATAGTATACCTGAGCATGGAGGTCCTTAAACGCCTCGCGAACCAATTTGCCACGGCACGTCTGTGAGGTGATAAATATTAAGTAATTCGTCCGTTGTAAACGCGTACAACCAGTTGCCTCGGTACGTGGCGTCTGATAGATGGATACGAGGAGTGTGCAAGGTATAACGGCTAGAAAAAAATAAATATACAATTTTATATAAAATAATCATTAAATTCCAGAATCATTGTTACACTTAATTGTTAACCAGTGTAATAATCGATTATGAAAATAAAATATTTATAAGCTATAACTCATTACTGTAATTAAGTATGCAAACTGGTGTTATAAGTACATTCAATCACCTTGATCCTGATATTAATATACAAATATATAAGTACGTTACCAGCACCCAGTAGCGGAACTTCTTTGAAGATTCCAGAAATGGCGATTCAGCCTGGCCTCTAGTGGAGATTAATTTAATACCCGAGTAAAATCAATCAATGGAAATTGATGTTGCTTCGGCGAGTGGGTGCTGTGGGGGATGTATTTGCTTTGCGACGTGGCGGGGCCCCGTAATCAGTGTAAATCAGGGGACGCGTAAATCACACCCAATGCGGTAACAGCCAGTGTAACGGGTGTCCCTACAATACAAAATGAAAATGAATTGTCATAAAGAAAATAATACAGTTTGCATTGTTTCCATCGATTACAATGAATTTTCATATGCATACGATAGATCGGTGCAAAGCAATTAGTCGTTAAAATTATTTACTTTTTATCGATGACCTTTTCATTCCGACACCCTATACAGCGAACTCCTTTGGTATCCAGGGACGTAATTCTCGTCGGCGCCCTGTGTGGTCGTTGGTACCGCCCCCGAGCAACCCCATTCCCCCACGTAAAATCTTCGAGGCACACACCACCTGTTAATCATAAATAATTAAATTATTAATATTTCGATAATTATACCGTTTCGAAGGCGCAATCTCGCCTTTCCGCTCGCAGCTTGCTCGAGTGGGTAGAAACTCTTGGGGACGTACACGCGCTTAAAAGAAATCACGTGCATCTACAGGATACGTATATGTACTGTATTATATGTATATATCTAACTATATAAAAAATATATATATATATATATAAACACATAGTATACAAAAATTGAGTAGACTCCAGATACCAATCGCTCTATCTGTGTCTATATGCGTGAAGAATTTATCGATCGATTGAAAATCATTGACAGGTGGATACAGGGGGCGGTAACCTTAGTTCAAGACAAATTAATTAAACGCGGCATTAACTTAGCGTCTTACCAAATAGATGCTGGCGCCAAGAAAGAAGATCCCTTAGGATCCCGTGAAAAGAAATTTGGAAGGGGCTCGAGGAAGTTTCTTGGGAAAGTTTTAACCGTCTTGTAAAAAAGGGTGGAGGGCTGGAGAGGGGGGATGGCAGTACATTGAGAAAGAGGTGAATGGCAGAGACGAGGACGAAATGAAGGATGAGAGGATGAGGTCGCCATGAACGAAAAAGAGGTACAAGATAATGGTTGCACGGCTATAAGGTGAAACGGAAGATCTACTGGTAGAAAACTAAGACCTCACTCAAGGAACGACCCCTGACCTCGAGGTTCCCCTGGCATAATGCTTCATTGTAATTACAATAAAGGTTATCAGCTAGAATTCGGAGAGTCAGTCGTTCAGTCATTCAAGTCATTGAGATGGTAAACAGGACGGCCAGGTTTAGCCAGGACAAACGGCCGTCCCGATATATCGAAGATCGACTACTGATCGTTACCCCAGTGGGATCATGTGGGCGATAGTGATCTTGGTTATCGAACTTAGATGTCCTTCGTGGAATTTGTTTTTTTCTTTATGAACAAATATTCAAAAATTCTCTCACAGAATCGTATATCGATATCACGGATATATCCAGGTCTGGTGTACATGGTGCATTACGTGTGTGATCTCTGCTGCCTTCTGTCTTTCTGCAATAATAATGATAATTGAGAGGAATGATTCGGAGTCGAAAAAAAGAGTGAAATGAAAAATGAATATATTTCGTACCAAGGTGGAACTTGTCTGCAAATTAAGCAACCGTGGAATTACACGGGGAATTACGCTTCTGGTCAATTCTATCGTGCATTTTAAAGATGATACTTAGGTGTGAGGTGAATTCAGCCCCAGGTGGGAGCAGATACGACGGAACCACGAATTGCGTGACACTCAAAGACGCCGCACTGGCCCAAAATTATTCCGTACAATCATCATTATGCCCAACTTCAGAGCAATCTTCTACTCAATATTGTCAGTCGGCCTGAAACGAAGTGATGCTGCGTTGTAGGATGGCTGAGTGACTACTAGGTGGCAGACATCTATAAACAGAGTATAAAATATCATTTACATTGTAAAAAAAGTAATTAGGTTTTTTTTGCATTAAATTTGAATTTTCCCTCGGATTCCATAAAAAGTATTTTTTTTCAAACCCAATAAAAAAATTTGCACCTGTTTCAGACCTCACTACATAATATCGGATGGATCAAAACCGTATTTAACCGAGGTAACTCCAATACAATTTATGAAGCTTCAGGCAAAGCTAGGTCTGATTTAACAGGTTTTTAATCGGCAATAAACCGAACCAATCGACTGGCATGAATTGATTCAGTCATGTGGATGATATTTTATTTATCCCAATACATAGAATGAAACCTGTCAAATCAGAGAATGAATTTTAAAAAAATTATTCAACCATCCCCATTCAGTTTCACATACGAATTTAAAATGTCTCAATAATTTTTTTTATGTTAGTCCAGTTTTTAAATATAAGCTATACTCGTGTCGTATATTTAATATTAATAAAGTACCTAACCTTACAAAAATATATATTACAAAATAAATTATAATACAAGGAAGATTCTCGGACAGTACTTTAATCGTAATTCATGAAGTGTAACTGTAAGTTTGTAAATGTATATGTATATATAGATATATAATCTCCCAATATATATATACTTACTGCAGTGGCACATTGGCGCGATAATATCGTGAAGGAGTGGCTTTGCGTATCGCGTTTCATGCTCGCCCATCTTACTCAAGCCACGTGTGAAGCCTGTGGTAGGCGACATGTTCACCAGACATGACTTATTGCCTACAAGCGCCACTGTAAATCTTGAGCTACACCTCCGAATCCTTAGGGCGCCCTCACACAGTGTCTTATGTGTGTCTTTGGTCAGAGCATCCGGTCCCGTGCGGAACTATAATGAAATAATGATCCATGTAGAAGGGTAAAGGATGAAACTAAAAGATCATCACAGCAGGTTTATGGGACTGGGAGTTATATTAGAAAATATATTTTTAATTTTAGGAATGGACTAGAGATGAGGTAGTAATTACGACATTATATAGGATACGTGTATAACAATGTGAAATGAAGAAAGCACCTTCACCCAGCTGCTTGTTACAATAAAAAAAAAGAGAATTAATTGTATGCGAAATATGAAATTTTATTTTTTTCCTTCTGCCTTTATGCAACTCGTTTGTACGTTTTTTTATTCTTTAGTTGGTATAACGGTTGGGATACTTAAAGGATTTTTCTTTTTTTTTTGTTTCCTTCAGAGATACAATTTATTGCCACGTTTTCCTTTTAATGACGAATTTTCTAATTCTCATGGCAGCCCACATGTCAAGGACCGCAATGGACCCCGTACCCATCCGCCCCTAATCGCCGTCTGATTTTGGGTTTGCCCGAGAATCCTAATTGAATTAGATTCTTCCCGAGGCGTATTCCGGGACTTGGCCAACCCGGCATTATGTAGCAACCCTTCATTTTCGATGGGGTTGATAGCGGACAGGACACACTCGAAACCTTGTTTGTTCGGCAAACTACAAAATAACGGACTTCCGTCGCCAGCATTTACTTCCACCCTGCAATTGACCTTGTTTCCCTCAGCATAAAAGTCATATACAACGTTACATGTATTACCGGTAAAGAAAGGCATAACCTAATAAGATCATTCCTTACCTGTATAATTCTCATACAGTTTTTCCTCAAATATTAAAAAAAATCTTATCAAACTACATTACCCTCCTTTGATACATACCGTTATACTTTTCATTTCCAAGCTTTAACGAAGATTCATTACGACATTCTCCTAACTCCTTTCAATCTTCCAACCTAACCTCAGCCACCACTTCCTTAATGTAAATAATACTATATATCGATGCATAGTCTGAATAAAGAGCATGAGTCCTCATTATCATTCTGACAAGAATAAAATAGTAAAATCCCTAGCCTCAAAACACAACATATGCACCTAATATTTACCTGCGGCCGTGATTCGAATGCAACACTTCCCAAGAACTGCAGTGGTAATTGGAACGAGACGAGTAAGAAGTCTCTGGACTGGCCACAGGTCGCGTGACGGAAACCGCGATCATTCGCGACGTCTGAACACGTGTAAACGCGTGCACGCATACACGACTGGCATATACCGATACGATGCAAATATATTATACGGAGACGGAGAATTTTCGTAAATTTTGGGTGGCATCGGCATCCGGGGATGCAGTAATTACCTGAACTCCACTGCTTCTTTGCCACAGACGGGTGGACGGACGGACCACAGCCACGGAACGGATACGCCCCTCGCGTTACACATATGTTACAACCCCATACCCTAATTTTTATTGCACGGAAGACGATCTGGTGGGAACCTCGGGAGTCCTTTTGTCTTGTCAAAGCCTGGCCCTCTAGCGGCAGAAGTAGCAAGTAACTACCCAGTCAAGATTTTCTCGCGGGATCATTTGAATCTCGAAGACAGGCGTACTTAAGATTTTTCCAATCTTCATTAGATCCTAAAAGTCATTCGTGAATTTACTGTAAGGAACGTAACCTGAGTGAAGTATATATCTCTGTATACACGCGCACAGATGCATTTGGTTATATCCTTTTGTATGTGGAAAAGGAATCTTAATTTTTTGATGAACGCTTGACAATGCTGCAGTTCTGCGACCGAGACACGATCATCCTGTCGACACGCGATGACCTCAGCACTTCCTGGGGACAACCCCGAGGAGGAAATGTTCTAACGGGAGCATTTCTGTACTGTGGCCTAAGAAGGTGACCTACGCTATATGAATATTTCTCTTTATGCTAAACTATGAGTTATGGCCTCTCATCTTGACAAGCAGAGAATTTCATGACCGACAGACATAATCAGTAAAGTTCTCACTGTGCATAATTGAATAATTATTCATGAAAATATCCTTTATGGATAATACTATAATACTTATGGGCTATCGGTATGTGTACAGATAATATCTTAAAGACGAAATTTGTCATGGTGGTAATATTCTAATGAACATCGTCCTGCGTTATCGACTACACGCTTCTACTTTCATGAAATTATGTTAACATCGATTACCTTGACGTCCGTCTTTTTAACGTGTCCCGAAAACGAAGCCTGGGGTTGTGCTGGCGTGCGACCGGCGTAGTAGGATAATTACAGGGCTCGGGCTTCGATCTAAATCAATCGTCAGGGGTGGCGAGACAGGGTGCAGCAAAGGCGCGAGGTTCCATCTAGACTGCAACGACAAACCGAGGCTCCTGGTGCACTTATTGAAAATTACTCCTCGCGTGCGCGACACTCGATGGATGAAGTTTTACTAAAATTGCCGAGCAACGTCGTTGCAGTAAATCGTTCGGTCCATTTGGATGATCGACAGAATTTTAGAATTGGTTTCTTCAGGTGTATATATATATATATAACCGCAGTCTAAAACGGTTTAAACTTCTGCAGGTATCTTTAGGGGCTTTCCTCCACGACTTTCTATCCTCTTCTTTGACACCATCTCACTCCCTTGCACTTCCCATTTCTTACTGAAACCTTAACAGCAGTAACGATTACTCAAAGATCCAACCGCAGACGATAGAAATTTCGTGGGTAACAAGAAAAGCACAGTATAAGGTTTAGAGTTGATAAATGAGAAATGTACAAAGATAGTAAGAAAAAAAAAATAAAGGAAAATAGAAACCCTTAAAAATAATTCTTCACAAAATCGCAATTCTGATATTTAGATATTAGAATTTGCAAAGTACGTGTTTACAGATCCGATTTATATAAGCCTGAACAAAGTGGCCATTCTCTTTAACGCTGATGGCCATTTTCGTGTCGGTCCAGTCTCCGAGGGAAGACTGGGACTGGGAACAAGGGACGAAGAGAAGAAGGTCGACGTGCATGTCCAAAATTGCGACGCATCCAATTTTCCAGCTTTTATCGCTGCTCGGCCAGAGAACGAGATGAAATTGTAGAGTTAATATTGTGGACGCTCTTGCCCCAGGGATCAGAGTGTTACCGAAGGGATGTCCAGCTATGGTTAGTAGATCGAAAACCCGCAACGAGCTTCCGCTTGATAATTCCTTCCTTAATGAAGTTGGTTGAACGTAACAAGCCGTCCTCGGTCAAACAAACAGCCACCGGGTACAACACAAAATATACTTACTACACACACACAGTATTCATATGACCAAGAATTTGTCCAAATAAAACCAAGTGCATCTATGCAGATACAACATAGTTCATGGATTTCCTATATAGGTATACCGAGGCATACCTACAGTCGAGTGGCTCTAGACACCGCCATTACTTTTCAGCTATTCTCCCGGATTCGTAGCAATCGGGGAAACGGTTGCCCTGGGCCGTTTCGTCTTCCGATGCGGAGGAACCCTAGCATCAACATATGCGGTTCGCGTGCAGCGTACAGCGTGCATCGAGCAAAGAGGAGTAACAGGTGCAGCTGCAGAGGAAGCGGTCGTTAGCCCGGTACGGTCTGTGCATATACCTATTATGATTTTTCATAATTAGTTTCTTAGCTCGCGGGATATACGTATAATATATAATACCTATACATACCCATAGGTAACCCTATCATTTGTTACGTCGCCACCCTGTGCTGGGAGAACATGTGTCAGAGTACTGGATGCCATATTGGACACGTGGGTGACAATTACTGTAGACGAATCTGTCAAGAATGTATTCAGGTAAAGGATTGGTATTGTTGCGGTTTATCCATGAGTACGTTCTGGGTATGGATTTGTATATTACAGGTGAACAAGTAAAAAAATTTCGACTGTACAGTACTTGAAAGAAGTATAACGAAAAGCTTGGTTACTCCTGCCGGCTTTTAGGTTAGAAGTAAGAGATCCTTATGTGTGTTTGGTAGCATAAGCACACTGGTGAATGAGCATTGCCGAGTATTAGGGAAACAATGAGTGATTAAGACGCCATGGGTGTTCGCCCGGAACTCTTCGGGAGTTGTATACACCCGGGGAAGAGAGTACGTGTATAGAGAGCGGTAGAGTAGACTAAGGGTGAACTGGCAGGGCGGTGGGCAGGGTTACAGAAGTGGAAGGGAGAGGATGGATTTCGTTCAACGCAATGGAGGCTCCTATACTCTTCGTACAACCCTTGCCTTCATGCGCACGCTACCCCACAAATCATCCTGGCAGCATAAACTTGGCATGGCGCTGTGTGAGGGATGGCCAAAGGCACCCCCTGCCAGACTGAATTCACCCCCTAGTATATTCTCTAAAGAACCACTGAAAAAAATGAATGGGATAGACGTAAAAACAAAGCTGTACGGTCAATGGCTCTTGCTGTACCATGCCACTTGATTCTGACTCGCCGGCTAGCTCTACCACGCGTACATCATACTCTAGGGACTTTGCTAGGACCAGGTATAACGCGGATCCGCATGGTCCTCGTGGTATTTCGAGTAATTAGAGAGGCAAATGTAGGCCATGACGTAACCTGGATTTCAGGTTTAACATACGTACTTCCACCTTGTGCTCGTTTGGGTCCTTTTTCTCGTAGAGATTATGTACTTGTATCTGGTTTCTCGTTATTATTATTAATCCTCCTGATGAAACTGGGCTTGGGTATGGCTTGCGAGGGTGGGTGGTAAGGTCTGCGTGCCCGCGAGATCGGTAGCTGCACAAGGCGAAAGGAGATTAGCGTGAATAATGAAGACACGACCCCGTGAAAGCCTAAGCGAACCTCCTTAAGCCTGCTCCTTCGAGTAGAAGCCGAAACCGGAAGAGGGGGGTGGGTTCCTCGCGGGGGTAGAAGCAGTTAATTACTCCTCCCACTCCTTAGGGTAACGACTTCCCCTTATTTGTCGAGAGGCGCAAACAGCCACCCTTCGTAAGATCCCTTCCTAAGACCTCCAACCCTATAGGACCGTCTGAGACATTGACTCTCCTCTCGCACTCACCCTTACTCACTCGCCTACCCCTTGGCGGCCATTATACTTTGAAGGCTTCCTTTACTCCTCGACCTACCGAAATTTCCTACCGTTCAACGAAAATTAGAAACTTTCGTGACAAATAAGTATCACCCTCTACAGGGACTCTGCTCATATTCATTAAGATTGTTTCACAAATTGTTACCGCAAGCCCTTTATCAATATATCGGTGCTTTCCAAGCTATTACATGAATTGAGAATCAAGTATTACATCCGATAACAATTATTGTAGATACGTCGCAACGCCTTTTGGATCACCCAGGTGATACCCTGATGTAGAAACAAGTCTTCGTCGAGTTAACGTTATAAGGGTAACATTAGGACCTGATTACAAACAATATTTTTCTTTTCATTGTCGATACGATAATTATCTACACTCTATGTCAAATGTATTGGACATCAGATATCTACTAGCTGGGTAATGACAATTTTCGTGGGGTTGAAGTCATTAATATCGTATACAGGTAGAACAATCATCGCCTAGATGATTCCATTCCTGGGTTCATAAGTCGAGACTCTGACCTAAGGACGCAGTTAACGCTTGATTAGAGAAAACAAAGCTCCGCCGCCAAACAGAGCGTGATGATGCGACAGAAATTTTAATTACTGGGACCCACAGGAGGCGAGACTCCCTGCTGATAGATTCCCTCGAAGCGAACTCTGTTATATTTACCGCTCCCACGCCGCGAACCTCGACACCTCGCTCCACTTACTATTCCCCTGATCGATATTCATCCTCCTCCTCCTCTTCGTGTACCATCCTACTTTTCCTGCTTCCACGCCAACACCTTCACGTCCAATGATTCCAGTAGAATCTTCATTCCGGTTAGTCCTTTAACAGCCCACGTCATTATCACTCTATCTACATCCATATTATCCATGGCCGTCCAATGGTGTCCATTCGCTTCCGATATTCATGGAATTTCAAACTGTACCCACATAGCCAAGACTGGTGAGACTATTCCATACCTCTCAGGATCCCCAGGTCCTGGGACCCCCGTGGTGCTCGCCAAACTATGATGAATTAGCTTTCTGTTATCGAATTGCGCCGACACTCGCGAGGTGAGAGGACCCCCACGGTGATAATCTCTCACCAATCTCAGTTCTGATTAATCGTGCCGGGCTATCGCACTGGAGGACCGCTTCGAAACGGTGCAGCTAACTTTATATATCTAAGAGTGCGAGAGTGGAGAACCAAGTGGCAATTTTCTCGGAGATATCCAACATGGTCCTCGGGTCCTTTCGCCAGTTTTCGTGATATGGTTGTTAAGCATTGTTGCGATGGGGGAGAAATGATTAGAGAAAATGAAGAGACGCCTTTTGTATGGTTCTAAAAAAAAAAAACAACGTCTTTTGATTGACAAACAATGTACTGATTACAAGGACGATGCGAGAAATCTGTCTCAGCGCATAGAAAATTAAAATGCCATGTATTATTCGTACGTTAACGACTACGATAATAATTAGCGTCCACTCCCTGAGATAATCGAGATCGCAATTAATCCTTTCTTTTCGTGTCTGTACTTAAGGCATTCGTGCTTCGGTATATTTATACAATGGAGTATGTACTCCATCTAGATGAATCTGTATTAAAATCATGAAACCCGCGCATTTCCATTTCTAGCTAATTTAACTCTTGGTATACGAGTCTTATGTGTTACGTTGTTGTATTAAATATGTTAAAGAATAATTCTTTTAAGGCGATAACAGTATTGTTCTTAGCAGAATCAAAGTTTTCTTTTTTAACACATTTTTATTCACTCGACTTAGGAATTTCAAGGGAGAATCTTGCAGATGTGAGTTATTATTGTTATTACGTGTCGATGCTCACCCGAGGTAGTCAGCCAAAAAATCTCTATGAATCAGTAATCGCTTGCAGGAACTCCGTCGATTTTGTATTTCTACGTCCTATAGCGTTCATCCGCCAAATGGTACGTACCCGTAATGATATCTTCAATATGAAGGGTTAAGGTGAAAGGTTATTACGGATTAAAAGAAATCAAATTGATGAGAGTCTCGAGAGTATCACAGCTGAAAATTATGAAATTCATGAGAACCAAGGAAAATGCTCTCCTCGTCATTGTGATGCTGTTCAACGCATAACGGCAATATTTGTTCTATTTCGTTATTAACACATTACTGCAATCGTCTACCCTTTTGTCAAGTAACTATGAAAAGTCTAGAATTGGAAACAGGTTCAGCGAGCATCTTCTCTGTCACGATTACTTTCGTTAACGCTTCTATTGCAATGAAACGGGAGTTTGTTAATTGAAAATTATAAAAAGCACAATGAAATGAATGAAAAGAAAGAATAAGTGGCGCATTCCTAGTTCTGATACTGTCAGGGAGGGAGCTCTCGAGCATCTCCCGGTAGACGAGCTGCGATGCCTCGAAAAAATGCTTTCCTTACAGAGGAAAATGCACAGTTTATGTACAGTATTTATTTGTAGATTTACTGAGGTATGTTAAGTAGCACGCTCTGACCAGGAGGCAAATATGCTACTTGACGTGAGCGCGAAAGTTGATAAGCGATATCTTCCGCGGCCTCGATTCTTCTAAGTTCGACTAAACCGTCGCCAGCTTCTCCAAGAGATTTCGCCAATAAGCTGGCAGCCTGTGCGTCACCTTCCGCACTAATAACGGCAGCCTTCTTTTGTTGTTCAGCCTTTTCCACGAGGAAACGTGCTTTCTCAGCTTCCTGTTGAGCCACTTGTTTCAATTCAACAGCTTGCGTGAATTCTTTACCGAACGTTAAATGAGTCTAAAAAAAATAGTTACGATGAGATATGGAATATTACATTTTTAGTTTGAATTTACAAAAACTGAGGGATATATAAGAGGCTTACAATGGAAATATCATCCAAAATGACTCCAAATTGTGAGGCACGATCAGTCAAATCTTCACTGACTTTCTGAGATACCAGTTCTCGCTGTGTGATCAGTTCTCCAGCATCAAACTGTGCTACAACAGCCTTCAAAACTTCAGTAGTGATGGATGGCAGAACACGTTCATCGTAATCAACACCAAGAATAGTGTAGATCTTTGGCAACGAGTCTGGCACTGGTCTGAAGAGAATACGGAGAGTGATGTTTACATTCTGCAGATCTTTGCTTCCTGTGATGACAGGAACGTTCCTAGGTCGAGAACGAATATCAAAGATGATGGGTTTCTGGATCCAAGGAATAAAAAAATGTGTTCCCTCGCCCACAACTTGATTCTTTATACCAGCAAATCTGTCGAAGATCACAGCTCTGTGACCTCCATCAACTGAAATTCATAACGAACAGGATATTACACCATTTACCATCAATATGTACACACTCAAGCTAATAATACACTATAAATACAAACCATTATAAAGAGCAGAATTTACAACACCACCAACAAGAGCTACTCCAAGACCGAGTTGTCCCATTCTGTTGAAAAATTGTGCTGCCATGGTACAAGATTTATTATCTGTAACAATGAAAATACTAGGTCAACCTACATGCAACAATATATGCTGATGTAATAATACTTCGCCGTTAACTGGGCAAATTCCAGTGTACTACAACCAAATCTCAGTAACCTTAAAATCAGTACTTGTGAAACATCTAATATTGTAGACAACATTACATGAAAAAGAATTGATATTATATTATCTATAAATCTGTTACAACAATACTATTGTTCATTATTTTATAAGTATAGCTCAGAAATATACGGCAATGTTACGCCTAAGGTTCGCCGGTCCATGCCTACAATTTTTAAGATAATTAACGTAGTTTCTCTAGTTTTTCGTGAAGTAACTTATCATATTTTACGTGAAATAATTAATTATTAATTGTATTAAACTGGTAATACTTGCTCTTACGTAATTTTCCGTGTCTTTGTAGTTGCTTTTATCAATTTTTTCCTCGTGCGGCAATATACGTTGATAAAGGAAAATGGACACCCTAACGAGTTCACCGAGGTACAGAAGAAAATCCCTAGAAGACCAGAAGCGACACTCTCGGGATCTATTGCGTAGCCAAGACATAAAATAAAATCCCTAAAGAAACCAAACATTCTGCGTCGGAACCTTTGATGTTCGGGTCTCCACATGAATGACCTTGAAACGGCTATGGGTGAAGTAGATTCTAGGGATATTATTCTGTGATGACGTTCGCGCGGTTAATTCAATAGTCAATAGTCAAAAATTGTCTACGGATGAAAATCATAATCGACTTAAGTAAATTACATTATCTAAGAAAGTTAATCTACGTAACCAAGGAGTGGATGCCAACATTCTTGAAATTCCATATTGATCAATCTCGTTTTTAAGAATATTAGAAGATACTTAAAGACAGCTGTCAAATGTTCAAAAGAAATAATCTTGTTATTAAAAAAAATTACTTTTATAGTAAAAATCATTAAACGCTTTAAGTGATAGATTGCAATAATTTCCAGATTTGACTACGCAGAATGATTTTTATCAAATGAACAATTTCAAAAATAGATAAAGCCACCTAAAGTATAAGATACATTCCTGAAGTGTCTAATGCAGAACCACGCGCTTACATTAGCAGTCGCCCTCCGTGACCGTTTTAAGACGTCAGGTTGTTCAGAGACTCTAAAGAAAACGGAATTATTCTTGGTCTGCTATAATATTTGGAGAATACAAAGCTGTAATATTTTTATAGACCGTACCGCGTTACAAGTTTGACATCAGGAAATCTGTAACCATGTAACAAATCATTGTTTCAATAATATGAGTCGCAGTTTTTATAAATGTCGCGACTCGTGTACACGAGCTCATTGACATGTACGCAGGACGACCTGGTGTGTACGTGGTGCGTATCCCGATGTTTAGCCAAGTGTGTCATTAGGTTCTCGAAGATACGAGTAGCCGTTAGCTATGGCTATGAAACCCTGTAAATTTATGAATTCCTTTACGAACCGGGGCTGACAGATACTGTGCAATGTCGGCTGACGTCTTGCAGGACGAGAACGTAGCCTCGAACGGCAACAGCGACTTACAAACCCTGGCACAACCAACCACCACAAGAGGTGGACTCAGGGTATATAAGATTGTCGTTCTAGGCGATGGTGGAGTTGGCAAGTCAGGTATTGTTAAAATAATTCTTACTGTTATTCTCTGTAAATCAAAGCTGTGACTTGTCATGTTATATTGGATGATGACATAGCATGATGTATACAGAGTGAAATTTAATGGACACACGATGCTATCGTAATCTAGTACTACATTTAACAATTTTAACTTTCTAACTTTGATGACAAACTGTCCTGATGAATTCTTTCAGTTTTTCAATGGAATGTATTGAGTTCTGTCATATTTTGTTTACAGCCGTTACACTGCAATTCGTCAGTCACAGCTTTCTTGATTACCATGATCCTACAATTGGTAAGAAATAATATTATATATGGACATGTTCCAAATGATGTAAACTACTTATACAAATAATAAATAATTGTACATATGAGGTAATACTTTGCTTCCATTACTAGAGGATTCGTATCAACAACAAGCAGTGATAGATGGTGAAGCTGCTTTATTAGACATTTTGGACACTGCTGGACAGGTATGTTATTTATTCACTTTTTCCATCTGCGTATAAAATTCCTCGTTAAGTAAACATTGTCATAATCATTTCAATGTATCAGTACGATAATTTTTATATAATCTTTCAATCACAGGTAGAATTTACTGCTATGCGTGATCAGTATATGCGTTGTGGGGAAGGATTCATGATCTGCTACTCAGTAACAGACAGACATAGCTTCCAAGAGGCATTAGAATATCGAAAATTAATATCACGCGTACGCGCCCACGAGGATATACCTTTGGTATTAGTTGGCAATAAGTTTGATCTCCAGCACCAGCGTAAGGTAAGAACTGCAACAGCAATTTCCTCTAGAAGTATGCGAATTTGTTAGGACTACGTAATACTTTCAGGTGACAACAGAGGAAGGAAAGGCTCTTGCTCACCAACTCGGTTGTCCATTTTATGAAACGTCTGCAGCTCTTAGACATTTTATAGATGATGCATTTTATTCATTAGTGAGACAAATTCGCGCTAAGGAAAGACCTCGAGGTCCAATTCGCAAACACAGTCGATGGTGGCGTCTTCGATCAATCTTTGCTTTTATCTTTCGAAGAAAGCAAAGAAACAGTACACACTATTCGCCTTAGGTGCATCTAGCTGCATAGAAAATTGTCATCCTATTTAAAAATGCATTTCGTATAATGTTTTAAGGCTCTGTTCAAATGACACCTGGGACACGTATTTTTTTTTTTTTACCTGTTTCGTTCAAACAGGCGACAACGAAATACGCGTGTATTCAATGTACTTTGTATTTTCTCACTTTAGGACTGCCAATTAATATTTGGCTGAGTTGAGTCACCACCTAAAGTGCTCGACGCCTAACGAATGACCCCATTTCTTCATCTAGACTCAATGTCTACTTTACGCTTTCGATATACTATATGCCAGCATAATCTGTACGTCATATTTAAATGCAAAGGATGTTCATGAGAATAATATGTTCCCTTGCACTTTAAAAGAATTCAGATGATGGGTATTGTATCGCGTGCAGTTGTCAGCTTTGCGCTTCCTCGAATTTATATTTATCAACATAGATATGTTGATGGTGTTGATGTCGATATAAAATCAGTTTTATAATCGTTGCTGATCGAATTTTTTAAATGTGATTTACGTTGTAAGTATATATCGCGCTTTTCAATATTCCTGGTTATTCCCTTTGAGGGAACTTATTACTCTAGAGTTACATAACTTTGGAAATCTTTTTTGTTTTACTTTTTTTTTTAAATAATATTTCTAATTCCATCTATGGATATCGTTTTTATTTATTTTCAATTTATTTATTAGCAATTATTCTTTTATATAATTTTGGGCTGTCATGAACATCACAAAAATCGATATCACGTAATAACGAATGTATCTACTAACGCATGGATATGTATTGTTAACAAGTATTGAAACTTAAACAGCACACTGTATCGATAATTCTATATGTTTATTATAATGAGAATTACAATTAAAACTAGATTCATTTAATATCCATTGAAACAGTAATTACAGCCATTTACATTCAATCTAAATGCTATACCTTATTTAATATAGACATTCTAGTCGCGACTTAACGTTCTCCTAGTCACGTTTTACATTTTGTTGTACACATATTTATAGACTGTAAATTGTTGATGTTCATGTTGCATATTTTGTGCATCTCGTTCACACGAGTTACGTGTCAAGTGTCTCAGAAAAATTATGTCTTGTTATACAATCATAAACAATTGCACTATTCATAATTCGACATAAGTATTATTTGCCTTTGTTACTCTCACAAAAGTAAAGCTGCTACTTTCTATTGCATCAAAAATCGATAAATTTTCATTAAAACAACAGGACCAAATCTAATTAATTGACTTAAGTAATTCGCATAAAACAATACAATTTTCTGGTACAGTTGGTACGTACCAAAGTCTAAAATGAATGTCGACAAATTTCTGACACTGAGTAAAGTGCTCATATCCTTTGCTTCGACTTTAAATGTAATTGGCTAGAATTAGAAACATCATCCTTAATGAGTATGATATATGAACAATGAGTAAAGACACCCAAAAAAAATCATGTCCCGTGTTAGGCTGAACAAATTTATCTGCGAGCACGCTTAAAGGCATATTCATTAAGGTAATCGATGTACGACTGCTGAAGGATCTTCATAGAATTTCCATGAAAATGATAACACAGCATTTATTCTATCAATAGTTGTGCTGTTTTATCACATTTCAATTGTCATATCTTAGATTCATATTAACGTAACGATGAGCGGGCTAAAAACTGTTACAGTATTATTTGAATGATACGAATGTTGTAAAATGATCTATCAAAGGCCGAGTCAAATCAAAACTATTGATACAATAAGATAAATGACAGTAAGAGAACCGACAATTTGAGTTACATTACGAGTAACTCACATTAGTAAAATATATTTCATCGTGACAATACAATGACTATCTTAATAAATATACATCCTACGTCTAGCGGGAATGTAATAAATATTAAATGCCGCGTACCTAGCTACTCATATTTTTAGCGTGTATTTGCAAAGACATTAAAAGCACTTATCCGAACTGATGGAAAGAGTCGTTTAAGAGTATCAATAACGTTTATACAAATTCCATAACGTTACAAGCAATAAACTCGATACTTCCAAAGGGATCAAGAAACAATACAAAATAAAGAAAATCATAGGTTATCTATTGCCACAAAGAAAAAATCGGACAATTTACGGCGGATTTAATGTAATTCATTGTATCGCATCACTAAAACAAAATGCCGAAACATAGAATTTGACGTTCGTTCGACAATCCTTTAACTTTGCCCACACTGTTTTCGTAGGTAGCTTTAAACATTCATAAAACTGTAAGTTGTACACGATTATTTAAAATCTGTTCTAAGTGTTAACGCCAGTGCTTGTGTATACGTAAATTATATAAAATTTATTAAATGATAATTTTGAAATGATGAGAAATTGAATAAAAATTTCTTCGCACAAATGTATAAGATGTAACAAAAGGAGTCACGCGTAGCGAGAAATACAGTAGATATATTTTGCGTATATATAAATTAATTTATAGTACAGGTATTAAAAATGATACGGGATTAGCTCGTAAAGAGGTTGGCGGATTATATTTATCTGATAGACATTATGAGTTACAACTGAAACATATTACATTTAGATATAGGACTGGTATGTTGTAACGGTTAGACAAATATTGGTATTTTAATGTATTTCCATTGCGACGGAAACAAAATTTATTCAATGATATAATATCATTGTATAACAATCAATAGAAGTACATAAGCGTGCTTATTCAAATCCTTCATAATTTACCTTAAAGTGGCCTCTAAGGCATGATACGGTAAATTAACTGCCACCATTGATAATATAATTTAATTATATGGTTTATAGGAAGGATTCGAATACCTCACAATATTCGCACCTAAAAAAAAAGTGTAGATTAGAAATATAATCAATTGTAAGTAAAGTGTAATAAACTGGGAAAGGAGATAGAATTGTTACAGCACAGCTAAAGTAATAAACAGTCTTGTACACTTACGACTTTTTTTGTTTTTGAAAAATTTCGAGTTTATCCCAAGACTCGTTATAACAAAAAAAAATGGAATGAAGCAAATCTGAGAATGTCGGTTTCTCTTATACATTCCCTCTTTTAGATGGCACGTCAAGGAGATGATGATAGACTCGCCATCATGATCATGCTAAATTTTTATAGAGACATCACCAGGAAATTATACGATATTCTCTCGTATAAAAATTATATAAGTAATACTTATCATTATAAATTTCCAATATATATAAGTAAAATATTTAATTAATTTCATTGTAAATAATAGTATATTATTTTGTTATTTCGCCACCCTCTTTTCTGACTTTTCCTTTGCAACTTCATTATTGAGATTTCCTAAGTTTGGTTCATCCTCTGTGTTTTCTACCTCGTCTTCAATATTTGATTCTACAAATAATATATACATACGGCATTGAATAAGAGAATTTTTGTTATATCTAGACATCTATTGAGTGGAAAAGTGTTAGGACGCAAGTGTAACTGCGTTGCTATCATTGTACATGATAATAACGGTAAGTAACGACAGCAATGCTTTAAATAATCAGATTCCATACCTTCTACATGATTATCGTCATCGTTTCCATGTCCATTATCTACACCTTGTTCGGTAGGGATGATAGGAGATACAATATTAGACGTTCCCGTTTCAACTGAAAGTTAGGCACACTACGTTACTACGCTACTAATAGAAACACGATAGAAAGTCTGATAAAAACTTTAATAATATTTCTACAATTTTATGACACCTAATTAAGATTCTTAACATTTAAAACAATTATTAGAATTCTCATGGTGTATCCCTTAATAGATTCTCCTGCTCTGTATGTGTGATCTGAATAATCATTGCAATATTTAGAATTGACAAATTCTTTGACTTCCTAGACTTCATCCTGATATAGCAACAACGGGTCTGACGTATAAATATTTTTCAGGTGATCTATAAGAACAATGTTGTCTTATGCTAGATCATATCATTAGTAATGTAATTAATTGATGGCCAAAATGAGGACAAGCTGTTTGCCTTAAAAAAAGGCATGGGACAGTAATAGACGTAACAATGTTTTTTGGAATTGTTCGGAATGCTCTGATCTGTCAGTATCGTAATGATATTCAGTCAATTGATCTCTCGTCTCTCCGATTGAAACTATCTTTCAACATAGTAACTGAAAATCGTGGAGGTTGACGCACTGCGCCAGGCAAATCACGTGGAAGTATAGGAACGTTGTGATACTTCAGACCATGCTGGCCAGAACTGGATATTCTTACTGCTGATTCCGCAACAGGGCCCAACTGTGCTTTGCTTATGACCACTGCTGTTCTCACTAAATAAGCAAATCCCCAAAATATCTTTCTTACTTTTGACTCTGAGAATATAAACAGTTCACATGACATGAATCTTAAGAACCTCACCAACCCAGATTAGACCAACAATTGGTATATTTATATGTAAGTGAGTAAATATTTGTGTGTAATATTTCTCATGTGAACGTTTTAGACGATATTAAATATAATTAGAAATGTTATGGTTTAGGACACTCTTATAATGACTATCACTTTAAGCAGTGATAAATATTAAATCATTGAGAAATCAACAGTTATTTTAATGTTTAAAATTCACTGCATAACAATTACAATTGAATTAAGTTAATTCGAGTACATCAAATTCGTAGTTGCATTTTATAAATGGTGATTAGACTGCTTGAGATTTTACCATATAAAAGATTAGTTGTTAAGTAATGCATATTAGAATATTAATTAGTGCATTAAGAACAAAAGTCAAACACAATAGATGTAGAAAAATACAACAAATAACATATAATCACTTACCTGGCTTACTTTCTTGATCTGCAGGTGAATTTTGTGCACTTTTTAATCTATGTAGTTCATCTTGAACCTGACAAATACGAACTTCAATAATTGGAAAAATCTTACAAAAATTAAAATTGCTATTTTTTTTACGTCAAGCTCACCTCCATTAATTTTTTTGAAAGTTTTCGATTATCTTCCTTTTCTTCATCTAATTGAGAATTTATTGAATTTTTTTCTGACTTCAGTGTGTCCAGTGTGGCTGTTCTTACAGCATCTAGTTTGTTCAGTGAGTCCAATTCACTCTTACATATTGTATTAGCTTCTTCTAATTCCTCATTACGTTTTTTTAATTTAGTTTGTAACACTTCTGAATGTTGGTACCGCTGCTCCAAATTGCCACGAAGCGTCACACACTGATCTCTTTCTTCTGCACTGTAAATATCAATCCTTATCTAATAACCCGATAAACTATTAGATGGAACTTGTTGTAATCTTGTACAATTATTTTTCCAAGGAAATAATAAATAGTTATTTAATTTCATATAAAATAGTGGATTACTGAACTTTGAAACTACTACAAATAATATTATATCCTTCAAATTGCTTTTACAAGATGTCAATTGCACCTAATAGAAATTTCAGTTGAATGCACCTTCCTAGTAAGCACCACCAGATCATTTGGACAAAAGATATAAATATAGTCTTTGACAACATAAATCTATGTTATTAATCTCAAATATATGTACAAAAAAAATTGTTTCAACATCTATAGAAACATTCTCTGATATGAAATAAAAAAAAGCAATTCCAGCAAGCAGTAGCATAAAAAATCTGAAGTATGGGCATGTAAATTGCTAAAAATATTTCTCTATAGCTACATTCAAAGAGAATAAAAATTTGAAGCCAACAGCAAAAGACTACACTGATTCTATGAGCAGACACAATTAAAAATAGATATCATAAATATAGATGCCAGTGACAACTGATATGGAGATATTTAGTGAACCCCTAGTTAAAATGAGCTTAATATTTTTTACATATACCATAAGGTTGCTATTTATTAGTGAATATCGTTCATTCACTCTAAAGATTTAAAAGCACGGAAATAAAAAGCTAGTTACTTTGTGAAACAATAGATTCTAATTTACAGGAAGCAACGATCTTTTGATAAAATTTAGAAGTATATTGCCTGACATCAGAAGTTAAAACTCGAGCTAAAATATAATAATCCCAGAAAAGAAATGGCTTTTAAAAACTATATGAAATATCGACAAACCTGATTTTAAGCTGTTCACTAAAGTCATCAATCTGGCGAAGTAATTCCAAATTTTCCGAGGACGACGTCCACCAGTTGCAAATGAGCATCAAACAGGCAATAAGAAGTCCTCCAACAAGGAGTGGAGGACATCGGCCTCCACCAACTCTCATACTGTCAATACACATTACTCTTAAAATTTATTTTGACACCTCATAGACATCTGAATGTAAGTCTAATTCAAATGCTCTGCAGTTCGCTACTTTAATTTTAATCACTTCCTTAAGAAAGCGTTACAATTTTGTTCTCAGACTTCAGGTACCAAAAGTACCACGTTTACAATCCGTCCACTGTTCAAATTACAGACAACACTTGGACTAGTCAGCAATATACAATTGGCTAATCCTCGCACCACGAAGCATACTATTAAAGAACCTTATGATACATTGCAGAGATGAGTAGCGAGATGCACAATGCTACGGTTTTAACCGACACTAAAAACATAGAACTGAATCATAGCGGCGAATTCACAAGTAGAATTTTGTGATCATCGCCTCCGTCGATAATGCGGATCCTATCGTAGCCGAGCTGACCGCGATCACGAACGTGTAGCTTAGGGAGCAGAGGCTCTCTACTACTTACTGCTGGTTCCCAGAGCAACACTTATAACGAGGCAACTCATCGAATATAGCCTAAATATTTTTTTCTTTAAAATCCTAAGTTCGAGCGCACAGTGTAAACTCGGTAAGTTTAATATGAGAAAAGTCAGCAACTCATGCCTGCCTGCACTGAAGCGTATGATGCCACCAGTGTATTTATTAAATATTTTACCGATGTTGCGCAACAGAACTATTGTTAAAACCTATTGTCATAGCTAGTATGTGTGCGAGTGACAATCGTAAATATACATTTTGCATAAGAATATTGTAAGCTTACCCATGTATCAGCGTATACATCAAGAACAATTGGATGCATTGTATTGCGCCGAGTATTTTATGGGGACCATAATAATTGGTAAGGAGAAAACTGATAAGGACAGTTATAAGCGCATACATCTAAAACAAATCTATGCAGTGTATTATGCCGAGTAATTTATATAAATGTTAAATATTAAGCTAGCGTAAGTTAGCTACGTATCTTTCTTACTCGACACCGATAGTGAAAAATCCGAGAACCAACCAACGTTACCTTCGGCAGCCCACCCTTTGCTCATGCATCCGCGAGCCATGCGGGCGGCAGCCAATTGCTTTTTCACCGGGAACTGACGAGCCGGTATGACCTGGGAGTTGCAATGGATCAGGCCCAACTCCGCCAAAACGAAAGCTCTGACGGAACTTATCATAAAGACGATAACTTAACGGATCCTGTAGATTTTTGGGGACGCGTAAAATAGAAAAACGCAACCGTAGGTGCTGATCATTGAGTTCGAGTAAAATCAGCAAACGCAACTGGATGCACAAACGGAAGCGGACGATTACGGAAATACATGGCTGCTCAGGTTGTTAGGTTGAGCTTGAGAGGGTCGAAGTAAGCTTCAGGCAAATATAGCGCGTTACAGAGAGCAACGGATCGAGAACGTAACATAACGAATCGAACGTGTCTAATCGAAATCCCTTCACCAATTAGTAAATTGGGAGTACTCACCGGAGCTGGTACAGCTGATTCGTGAAGGTCGAGAACTGCATCCAGGAGACACTCGGGTGGGCACTACACTAGGACACAGCACTGCACTTCCGGAACTCTCACGGGAAATCCATAGAATTTCATGGATATCGCGAGAGCAACGCGAGAACTACACGAACGAAAACTTGCTATACCATATTGAAACACGGCTAAAAAAAACTATCAACAGACAGCACAGGAGGGCGAGGGAGTTCGTAACACCTCGGTCGGTGCCCCGTGACAGACTGCTTTGACAATAGCCAAATTCAAGAACTAATCATTCTGCTCATCTGATTGGTCGAGATCCTTATAGCCGATAACTGTTCCCTTTCCCTCGAATCGTCCCTTTAAACCAAATCGAGAGCGTTTCTTAGCGAATCGGTACGTAACTTTTGGAGATCCTCCATGGCCGCTTCCCCAGGTCATCGGGCGATAGCTGGGCACTACATCCTTACCTCGGATCAGGGGGTTCCTTGCCTGCCCTTAACCGTATCAAAACTATATCTCCGCCCGCTCTACAGTCTTTTGCCCATCTCCAGCGGGGCGCCGGTGTTTCACCCGGGCTTCTGCCGGTCCGTGGAGACGTCTCCGTCGGGTACTCTCCACTGCCAAGCAACTCGAAACGTCGAGACTATCTCCCCACGGCAGATTCGAGCATCTCGACCTGAACTAAACAATAACGAAATCTTACGAGAGCATTGGCATAACTATACTAATCAAACCGAGAGTGTAGCTTCTGAGCAGACATCAGGTACTGGCTTTTGTCTTAGTAAATCTTATCGATCTTACACTGTGCACTCGAATTTAAGATTACAAAAAAAAATAATATTTTAGCAATATCTGATAAGCGGCCTCGTTCTAAGGGTTGCTCTGGGAACCAGAGGTAAGTTACGGAGAACCTCTGCCCGCCAAGCTATACGTTCATGATTACGTTTAGTTCGGCTACGACGGGACATGCACTATCGACGGAGGCGGTGAACAGAAAATTCTACTCCCGGACTCGCCGCTACGATTTACCGTCATGTCTTTGGTATCGCCTAAAACCGTAGCGTTGTGCATCTCCCTACTCATCTCTGGTACGAACTTCGATGATTTCTCTAATCTTACTTCTGCCTACTTTGTGCTCATATAACAGCTACGAGCAAACGTCAGAATTAAAATGCCGATTTTCAGTTGATACACGTATCGATGTAGGACATGTCAACTTTGACAATCGGAGTGTGGAAATTAAGTTAAATCAATGTAAATACATATTATTAAGGAAATTAAATCTGCGCTTATAAGTCACTAGTTAATCATTACAGTGAAATATATTGAGAGCAGCATAATGGCGACATTAGTAAATCTCACATCAGAAACAGCAAAAGGTATTGTATAGCATTAATGACACACATTATAAAAACTTGTAAATACAGTTATTACTTACTAACATGATATAAAATATGTTGATAATTTATTTTAAAAACATCGTTTACTATACTATTTAAACTTTTTGTTTTTAGCTGCTTTGACGGATATTCTAGCAGCTTTGAACTCTACAGAAAATGTACAGAAACTTACAGAAGCAAAGGAAAACTCTGGGAATGAGATGTTAAAAATGATGCAATTTGTATTTCCAATTGTCACTCAAATCCAAATGGATGTAATAAAAAATTATGGCTTTCCAGAAGGCCGAGAAGGTATGTATGCAGTTGAACCTACATTGTTACACAGGACTAATAATTAGCATAATATTCATTACAGGCACTGTTCAATTTGCACAGTTAATTAGATCACTGGAACGGGAAAATCCTGAAATAGCACAGCTGCACAGTCAAGTACGAGCATACTTTCTTCCTCCAGTTTCAATCACTTCTTCTGCAGAAGCATCTCTTTAAGTATAGAGGTATTCAAGAATCATATAATCATACTTAATTTATTGCACTATGTCTTGCATAGTAGCAAACCATTTGTAATAATTTGAACTTGAAAGAGATAGATACATCAGAGAATTTGATATTTTTTACACCCAATACTTTTATAAAGCTATGACTGTAATTCATTTTGTAATGTATATTTTCCAATGGTACGATGTACCTCTCTCTATTTGAAACTGACTATATAATTCTAAGATTACTAATAAAACGCTCTCTAACATTTCTTAAAGAATTATTATAAAATAAATGACTGCTGTACAAGAGTTAAGTAGAAGAATAAGGTGTATATTGGGATATTCATACAATGAATGGATCGCTCCGCTTTCAAATATTTATTGACAAATTAAAAGCCCATTTCAATATAAAGTATAAATGAGACAGGTTGCTTCTAGCACAGACAATTTACTGCTTTATAATATAAATATCAATCTTGTAGCAATAATCGCCTGATAAATACCAATCGACAAGATTAATATAATAGTTATCTTGATCTGTCTCTATAGGCTACTGCAATTTCACAGATCGAAAAGTAGCACACCACTTAGACGACCTATCAAAATGCACAAACATATAAAGCGCTTTCTTATCACTTTAAGGCAAATTTCTTATAAGTTCCCTAATTGATAAATTCTATAAACACAAGTAAAATTCAAGTGCCCATAAAATCGTCTTATTGCAATAAATTGCATCACTCACATTTCAATGTCATAAACGAGCAGTCACCTTAAATTAAATGTAGACAGATAAATAGTGAATATTCTAAATTAGGATTAGATAGGCTCACTGGAACCAGCACTGACATTTGACCATCTAAAACTGTAGTAATAGTTACGCTGTACAACAGATGCGCACGAATAAAACAAGAAATTATTTGCAACAGAATATTGGTTCACTAATTCAGCAAGTTATACATTTTCATATGAAAAAATAGACACAAGGTATCTGTCGAATATGTGTGTACATTTACAATCCTCCCTATGACAGTTAGATCTATAAAATTCAGTAGCGAGTGTCTTTGATCTCTACGTAATTCTAATACATCCTGATTGATAACAGTTCATCACTGTGACCCCATTTCTGCACCAGAAGGCACGTGCCGCATTTTCCGTTCTGAGACATAATTTATCTACTTCCTTAAATCCATCTGTGGTATCGAGGACCCAAGTTCACCACATATGATCTCTGTTACCAGCAAGTGCAGTAAAAATACAAGAACATTGTATATGAACTAGAATAATTGACTCACATAACATATAATACATACAAGAAATTAATACGTTTCATCAATTCCCTTCAGCTCTCGGTATGTAAAATTGAAGAATAAATAAAAAAAGGACAATTAAAATAAAATACTAAATGAGAGAACTTAAAAATTTTTACATTTATTTGCATAATAATAATAATAATAATAATAATTCATATGATAGGTGAATACTATAGTCTGCTAAAAAATATATATATACTCATATATATATATATAATAATCAATTAGTGTTGCTTGATTTCTCGTCGTTTTAAACTTATATAACGTTGCGCATAAAGTCGGTACTAAATAAAGGCTAAAAACAAGACGGCGTCCGGCTGCTCGGGCAAGAAGTGAAACATTGCATTTTATTACTAAAAACCACACACTGTGACCACCAAATGGCCAGAGTGTATGGCAGCAAGAAGACGAATAATGAAGTTTTTACAAAATCCATAATAACGATAAAAAACAGATGAAGGTTTCGACGAGGATAAAGAAAGTTAAGGGACTGGACGAAATGAATAGCGAATGAAAATAAAATGGATATTCAGAAGCGTATCTTGTCTTAGGAATGGACAGGCATAAATCCACCAAATTTTAAAGATGGTAACTATATAAAAAATAAAAAGGGAAAAAAGAATATCACTTAACCCTTACAGACCTGTAGGTAAAATGTGTCCATTAGTCTACTACCAGCATGGAACAGACTTATATACCCAGGGTGTGTAACGATTAAAACGTTGGAAAGCAACTGAGTCAACGGACGCTGGGCCATAATTATTAGCATGCAAACCAATAAATAATACTACTTCCCGAGAATCTAAATTAAATGCAACAAATGCATAGGAGGGTGCTGATCTCTTAAGCATAATTTTTACAATACCGAAACCTTGTAGAAAGTTCGGCTATTCCTTGAAAAACACACGGTCGTTCGTTAATACCGCAACGTTTGCCGGTGTGGTCGTAGCGCGAAGCAACCGGACGCAATATAAAAAATAAAATGTACAATTTTAATAGGATTGGACTTACATTCAAAAGAGCCAACTGTTATATTACGATCGATTAATCGTTACAGCTTGATAAAATCCGCATTCTTTTATAGATGATTTCTTAAAGTTTCCGCACTTTTTCTTTTACTATTCATTGGGTTTCACAAAGTTAAATTGCACCCATGCTCCAATAATCCCCAAATATAAATAAAACAATAGCGCGTCTCCCGCTCACCAATATCTCTTTTTAAGATATTATTTCAGTATGTCAACGCACGTGACAACTAATGATGATACCAATAACAAATTTCTTAAATAAATTTCGTAATCCATGACCTTCGCTACTACGGCGAGAATACGAGTTTGTCGTACAGTGACAGTCGGTTTATCCTTTAATTACAAAACAAATGATAATCGTAAGACAATGACAACGTCGTGAGCCAAAAGACAGAGAGAAAGAGAACGAGAAGATCCGACTTTAAAGATATTGAATTTTATAATATATATATTGTATCATATATATATATTGTATGTACAATTATCTCCTCTTCTTCTTTTCATTCGTATTTTACAAAATGACGCGACACGATAAAGCTGCACCGTTGACAAATCAATTATAATTAATTAATCAATTAATTATATGTATGATGGTAGCGTCTTAAGAGTAAAGTATCAGTGACCGGCCATGGAGAATTAATAATCGTGCCAATTACTTGTTGGTTTCATTTTAGTTACGTAATAAAATATATTCTTCAAAATATCCCATCGCACTGCTCTTTTTTTAATACAAGACGCTGGAACAATTTCGATTCATTTCGTTAATCAAGATAAAAATAAAGAGCAATCCGATATTTGGAGTGCATACATTATTGACAAACAATTTATCCAGCTGCCTTGTGTTATATTCATAGTCTTTCTTTTCTTTTATTTCTTAATACATTCATCCCTCAGGCTTCTCTTACTGCTCGCATCCCAACGACAAATGGAAATTCCATGTATGTCCCTACTTATCGCGCTACTGAAAGCGGAAGAAGTACGCTGACATAAATTTGATTTAAAGTCGCATTATCGTTATCGGTATTCTCCTGGTTCTCTAATATCTCGCGTAGTCTCTACGTTATCATAGAAAAAGTATATAAATACGAAACGAACGAATGAACGTTACATAGGTCGCCTCTACATTATCCCTGAAAATCCGTACGACAAAGACGCCGGCGAATATGCCTTATTTTCTAGGACACGCGCTTGTTCCGAAGTTCATCAGATACAATCTACATATAGATATGAAAAGAGCATGTATAAAATCTAGGTACCTTGGGAGCTCGTGCTTATGCATCATTGAAACGTGATTCGTCACTTAAAAATAAATGACATATAATAATCATCGAGGCGTCGATTAATTACAAGGAATCTTTCATTGATCCAAGGGACATGCGTGGCTTCGTGGCGATGAGAAGAGGGCAAGGAAACGACCTTAAGGATCCTGTAGCCTTATAAAGTGTCCTGACGCTTAGAAAATAACTCAAGATGGAAGTAAGACACTTGAAGACTCGACAGAGGCATGAGAGATTATTAAAGTTTATGTAAAAAAATCCTCCACGTTCTTTCTCTTTTTCCACTTCAAATACACAGTTACTGTTCATCTTCTCATTTTCCCCATTGTCGCTTCCCTCTCTGCTCACCTAGCGTTAAAACTCTAGATCAACAAGTCTAGTACCTCTGATGAAAACTTATTCCGCGCTGGATTACTTGTAAAACTCTTGAATACGTATTCTTCGAGCGTAGTGATGGCGACGCGCAGTATCACGTTATCAATGACACTCGGCTACGACAGGAACGGATTGGCTGTGGTGCTGGTGCTCGCATTTCCGGTCCATGGATCTTGCCGGATCTGATTGATCGTAGGGCGAGGTGGTGGTGTCGCTGTTGCAAATGGATTCGCCGAGTACGCTACGGCAGCTAGACATTATTTTAAAATATACTTTTAACTGATGTGACACGTGCATGCTTATATTCAACATTACATCTAATATTAATCTAAATATATATTACGAATAATAATTATTATTATTGTTCTTAAGACAAATGATTGAAACGGCCTTTAAGGGAATTGAGTACCTCTGATTACCATGCGGGTAAAATGTAAATGAAAATCATAAATAACAAGATTTTTACAAATTCTTTCCGCGAATCGGAGTTGAGCGCATATTTTACAAGGTTAACAAATAATTTTTACACTACCTTTTTGGACTGTTTAATCCAATAGAGAAAGAATAATGCGACCTGAAAATTTTCCTTCAGTTTTGGATTAAACATTGCCTTGGTACGTATGTAGTTGATATTGAAAATAAAGAGAAATATTACTGAATAAGAAATTAAGAACTACTACTGTAAGGTTTTTAACAGTGCGACACACGTTATCTTGGTCATGCATTTTCTTTGTCATGCAATGACCTTTGGCCGATGGTGAATATATACTCACAAAATTACTTCCAATGAAATGCTGTGTTGCAGACATATAATGTGTGTTACGATTGGGTCTTAAAAATTATTTTGTCGTATGTCGAATTGTCAACTGATAGATTAATATACGTAGGCGATTGCACAAGGATATTCGTAAACATCAAAACAAGCATATTAAGGTTAAGTTTGATCAAGCGACTTTGAGATCAATTGAAAATGATAAAGAATGATTACACAGAGTAATGACATCAATTGTTTCGATATTATAAATATAGAACCGTTAACGATCAAATGAACAAAGCAGGTACATCGAGAAGAAATATAAAAATACATATATCAATTATATCGAGCTTAGCTACCATATCTATTTATATTGAAATTTGACTATTTAAAAAAAGAATTGTACACAATGGAAGATATTTCAATAATTGCATTGTGGGTCGATGCATCGCAAGAATGATTTGCAAATTTCTATAAAGACATCTCTGTCGCTCGTATTGAAAAATTGATAATTAATTGAAAGATTAAGTTAAAGATAGTACTGACCTGCAGGCGGTGGTGGACCGTGTTTAACGGCACTGGCGCTAACAAGGTTGTCCAAATTGACTAAAGCCGAATTTTCACCAAGGAAGGACTGTGGTGTCTTCTTAACGGCTCCCGTACTTGCTGGAAGATTGTCTCCCAGTCCCGTAAAATCAAAAGGATCCGGAGACGTTGTTCCACCTGGAATAACGATGCCATCCCATCGAAATAAGAAGTTTAGTTTCAAAAGTATAAATAGACACATGTCATTCTAAGATAAAAACGAAATTGCGCAGTTTACCATTGTTATTGGGCTGCGGACTGGCTGAGAGTTTATTTCTGTTACTGATGACATCAAATTCATCCAATTCGCCAAGTGGACTGGCTACTGCGTTGCCCTGATTCTGGGCAGGGAAATTATTGAAACCAATTCCAGCGCCGTTAAACCCATTACTGGCAGTACTAAAGCTCGCTGAGCTTGTCGTAGCCGGTAAATTAAATCCAATATTTTGAGGTGATTGAGCGGCAAAGCCAATATTATGCGTGAGGGTAGAATTACTGAACGGTGGAGAAGGAGACGTCAGGGCGGAACCTTCGGCACCGGAAGATGGCGACGGTGACCAAGGATCAGCGTTGCGAGGAGAAGCCACTGTAGCGGGCGATGGCGCTGGAGCTCGCCATGGATCTACTGCAGCTGCTGAAAATTCATTTAACATTCTCATGACTTTATCATAATTTATTAAGAGCACACCTACTATTATTATCATGGTATAAAAGGGTGCTGATATTTCATGTCAAAATTTTTCAAGGAAATTTAGTAAGCGTGTCCGTTTAAGTTTTACCTGTGGATCCTGCCGTCCGAACGAACAATGAACGATGTGAGAACATGCAAAGAAAGTGAAAGAGCATGGATATTATAATCGGGGATCGGAGGCGAGAGGAAATAAAAGAGGAAGTATTAATGCCTGTAAGTAACGAAGAGAAACTTACTGGGCCTTTGTGGTGGGGCAGGAGTCCAGGGATCTATTGGTGGCGATGTGCTTGTCGTCGGGACGCCCCACGGATCGCTGTGTGGCTGTAATAGAAAATGTTACTTTTTTTTTTCTTTTTCAGATATAACAAGGAAATAAAGCATGCCAACCAGTTCAATTACCGTTATACAAAATAACATGTGCCAGTCACTGCCCATTAAAAATAATAATAAGAACCCGTTTTATACACGTATAAGCCAGGATTAACTACATGCTTCTTGCTACTATATCCGTTTTGTTAGTTTAACGGATCTCTCTGTATATACTATTAACAGTTTGTCAGAAAACTCATGTGTGTATAACATAGTAAATCGTCTAGAGCGAACGTACCTTCGGATTAATAAAGTGAGACAAATCCAGTGACTGTAGCGCAACATGCAAAAAATGTGCCACATCACGTAATCATGCAATTTTCGAAAGTCTATTTATTCTAACAAATTGTTTATGTGAATGTTATATTACTTGTGGTCTTGGAGGAGGTGCCACTACAGGAACTCCCCAAGGATCAACCTGGGCCCCTGATGATCCACTTGCCTCACCTAAGTTTACATCCAGTAAATCCATCATATGACTCTGCTTTTCCGTCAGTGGTTGTCTGAGCGAAAAATAGTTTTAAACATCAGAGACTTCTGTTTCAAATGAAGGTAGAAATTTAAAGGGGAAAAAAAAAAGTATACTAAACGCTTGTAATAACATCATACTTGAAATCCTGTTGGCTCTGACTGAGAGCAAGTTGCAATCTGACGTCATCACTGCGCCTCCTTTGTTCTTCCTGCTCTGCTTCTTCTCTCGACATTGCCAGTGCAAGCTGCAGCTGCAACTCTTCCTCGCCGACAGTCTGTGGCCTCGCAGCTTCAAGTTCGGCTGTTCGTGACATGAAATTGAATATAAAAAAATTCACTTACGCAATTCTATCGAATCACTTAAAAGTGACTCGAAGCAAAGACCTTAATTAAAAACGTAATATTAACAAAAATAAACACATACGTCTTGACGCTGATTCAGCTTGATGACAAGGTTCCCAGTCTAGGATCTAAAAAGTGCCAAGAAAATTCCTAAATACAAAATTGCATTACCATTCCCATGACTTAGAACGATAACAGAATCGTCCTATGACAAGTACGTCCTATGACTAAGTAACTCACATCACTGCTCATAGACGACACTGTGTCTGTACCATCTCGACCAAAACCGCTAACCGATTGAGCAAATCTCTCTTTAGCTTTGAGTGCCCTTGCGCGCTCGTTTCTCAATCTTTCATCGTCTTTCAGTAAGGCCACCAGTTGCTTTGCTTTCTCCCGTACATTAATACCCTGGTCCTTGGGTCCTTCCATGTACTGAAAATCTTTAATGATAATATCGAGTTCATTAATTGCCCAGTACATCTTTATAAGACTAAATGTCTCTATCAAACTATTATCCACCTAACAAACCAATTATCAGTTAATAAAATTAAGGTTAATCACAGCATCTAAGGTGGATCATGCATATACATAGTTTCTCTAGATTTCATTATATATCTCAATAACATCTGTGTATGTTATCACTTGTCAGTCAATGAAAGCGTTAAGAGATATCCCCTTGAAAAGCCAAGACGAGATCGAGGCCTTGTTTTCATTACCTTTTAGTGTCTGAATCGCAAAAATATTCTCCTTGCACTGCTGTGCAACTCTCTCAGTCCCAGTCTTGATAAGATACTCCAACAGAACCAGAGCTTTGTATACATGTCGCCAATTCTTCCCATGATCGTTCAGCCTCTTCCACAGCATCTGCATGATCTCCGTAAAAGCCACCACGTTGTAGGTTAGGTCAGCAATTTCTGCCATGAGAGTACTGCTGGGTCCCCATGGATCATTGCTTGTGGCCTTCCTCACAGCTTTCTACACGTAATAAAGTATTACAATAATTTAATATAATCAAGCATAAGAATTGGATCCGGTATAAGAATTTCCACATAATCCTACTGAATAAATCATTTCAATCCTCGCTCATAATTCTGACTCCAGTATTATGTTCTGTCAATTGTCACACCATTGTTAGGTATATAACCTGAGTATTCGTTTACGAAAACTTTTATACATTCAACACGACTTACAAATAGAAAAAGTAACATTACCTGGGCGCTACTGTAGTTGTGAGCGAGATTCATGATGTCCCGCCTGATTCCCGCCAGGTTCACCTGCATCACGTCTTGCCCTTGTTTTCGCATCTAAAACATCATCATTAATCATTACGTGAGCTCGTCACGGCTGTGTATAAAAGAGTTATAATTATTTACAGCCATCTCTCTACACAACATCCTCTAAATCTATCAAAAGGCTACGCCTCCCGTTAGATACGCGAAGAAGTACCCGGACATCAAGCAACACAGATCATATTTATATTCACGAAGAAAATTTACATCGGGAGCAAAAACATTGCGTAATATTCATTACATTCGCGAAATACATACGTAAAGATAAAACGTACAATGACGTAAATTTATATACACATAAAATACGTACGATCTACGTATACAATTATAAATATATAAATATGCACAGATGCACAGGTGATAAGGAAAAATAAAAGGTAACGACGCCTGATGCTCCAAAACGGATGACGTTTTACGTAGAAAGAAAAACTCTCCTTTACCCCACGAATAACTACTCAAAAAATCGAGTCACGCTTGGTAAGAATAGATGTTTTTTTTTTCTTTTTTTCTTTCAAACTGCCCAACACAATAAATTCCCGATTATTCGTTTTTTACCTACTTTATCAACCATCGGCGTATACTCATGATCTTCGCTCTCGGAACGTCTATGCAGAGCCATAGCTCGTGCCCCAGTGACAATGCGGTCCATGCACGCGACGTTCATCACACAAGGAGATCACAAGCACTGAAAGGTATCTTCTCGAATGCAGACGGCAAAAGCACTTCTGAGAGCGCTGAGGGATCGACGCGCTAAACCCAGTTGCACGCGTAGCAAGTGAGACGCGAGGGAGTTCTTTGGGCTTTTGAGTAGAGGGGAAAGCATACGCCGGTACATTATACTGTGTGAGTTCGACTCGTTGCACGCGAATAAACATATTTTTCAAGGTCCCCCGACAAGATCAATGACCAGTTCACTCCATATGATTTAATACAGGCTTGATTAAGGCGAGTATTGCTTATGGTGGTTTTACTATAGAAATTAAATGGACTAACTTCAGACAGTGATACGCTTAAATATATATGGTTAAGTATAGAGTTGTTCAGTAGAAACGCACCGCCTGAAGTTAGCGCGCCCATCTGAGTCTTATGGTAAAACCACGTGCTACGTTTGGGCTGAATAACCTGGTATATTTAAAAGTACATGTTGCATTTGGATATTGCAGAGACGATGGAGTAGAAGGTGAAGACGATTTAGATGAAAGAAAATGAAAATAAAAGAGAGTTTAAAGAGTGGCGAAATCGTTTAGAGGGAAAGTTCGTAAGACGCATTTTCCAAGGTCCGTGGCCTGGTAGCGCTCATTTCGCGCACTAAAATAACAGTAGCCGTGTATACAGATGTTATTTTTAACCTCGTTACACTGCGTGCTAAATCTTGCACGGGAGTTTGCCAGATATTCATTCACTGCAATGTAATTTGTATGAAGAATTCATCGCTGGTATGAAGAAATTAATCGTTATAGGAGCTATGCTAATGTTGGTTCCGACGAATTTACGATTTGACCATGTAACGATTCAAATTACCCGCCGCGAACGGGAAAGCATAAGACGTTTGGGTATTGTCCCGGCAGGGGGTGCTGCTGTCGTTTCTCAAATGTTCAAACGCATACACGATTAAAAAAATGTAGCTGCTCTAGAAACATTTCATTGTTATATAATTCGAAATTGAATTTGTACTGCGTTGAAGTTATACTGTTACTATCGAGGAAAGAGTACTATTATACGGACTAAATTTATAAAAGGTAATATACGAGGAATACCACGCAATTGTATGTACGAAATTAAGGAAGTAACGAATAGTTTAAAAAAAATATAATTATGTTGCTAGTATGATCACTAATCGACCATTGGAAACGAAATGGAATGTAAATAGAAACGATAGCCAAAGAGAACGTCAATGTAAGAGGAATAAAAAAACAATTCAGAAGGCAATTTTTGATATTTCTCAATTAAATAAAATTTACAGCCCATGTGCAACATATGAGAAACATAATTTTCTGTTTTGCGAAACAGGTTTATGATGCATAAATACATTAGAACAAAAGAATTTATATATAGCACGTATGCTCATTTTTCCATGTACTCATTGCAGCACTTACCACCAGACATAGATCTTTGTTTTTACTTTGCGACGTACATTACAGATATGCTTGGCGAAAAGTCTCATAAAATTATGATAACGATAACGAAAGTAACTGTATTAAAAATATGTCCGATTAAAAAACAATGAAAAATTTTATTTTCCATACTGCGTTATATTTGGAGCCTCACACGACAAAAGACAGTGTTTTCGTAAAACAAAACAAAGCATACGAACTTACTCAGTTTCTTCGCGAAATGAGGCAAAAGGAAAACAAAAATAAATAAAATATAATTAATCATAGAGAATATATAGGAAATGCCTGAAGCAAAGGTGAATTTTTCTATATAAAAGTAGGAGACTCCTTTCTCAGCCTCGATCTTCATACCCTCATGGATCACCGTGTAATAGGACTAATAATTTTATTAAAAGAAAATCGAAGCATGTAACCGATAAAAATAACTGAGTATCAATGACAGAGCACTCATTGGCTTTGTACTTGCGCACAAGCAGCACTGACATTTTACGTTACGCCACAGTATACATATATCGTCAGACAGTTACTTTAATGTCACGTGCAATATAAAGAAAACATACGCTCGGCTTAAAGATAATTTCAAACATTCATATGTTCCATAACAAAAGGGCAACTGTTATTGCCGAAAGGCAAGTTAAATAATTGTCAACCGAAGAAAAGATTACTAAAGAAAAAAATAAGTACGCATTTAAGAAAAGCTACATAAGCAATAACGATATACTCACATTGGACGTTTTATGCTTTATGTTGTAATCAGAGATTTTCCCCGAGAAAGAAAAAAGGAACGGCAATGGAACTGCGTCTGAAAAACAAAAACAATCGTAGAGGAATATTTAGTTCTTATTATTAAGAAACTAAAACGAGACTGGTAATTGATATCAGTAAGCACTGAGAAAGTGGGCTATCATTCTTAAAATCCTGATATGAAAGTGGGTTCATACTTAGACTATCTAAAAACACAGACGTATCACACTTATCCCGGATAATGAATAAGTGAAAAACAAAATTGACAAGAACTATGTGTTATATAAAGTAACGTTATTGAATTTATATAAAAATGTGACTCTAGCAAAAGATGATCTGGACCCACAAAAGTACATTTTAATATCACATATGTCAATGTCATTGCGACGCGTCATGTTTCCACGAAGATGATGATTCATGTTAATTACAGACAAGACACTTTTTTGGTATGCAGACGTAGTAGAAAAATATTATGTATTATGATAATCGCAATGATCACTTGATGTTGAGGAAATAATTTAAAAATTTTATATTTTTCCTAGATGAACTCACATGGGACAAGTCGTTGTTGCAAGACTAGTGTATGTTGTCGTTTGTTATTGAAATAAAAAGGAAAAGATTTGTTTGAACATCAGTCTCAATGTTATCACTTTTATATAACGTATAAAAAGTAAAGATGACTGTTCGCCGTTATCTTATCATTTCAGGTATTGGATATACGCTGCTGAATAATTTCACCAAGAATAGTGGCTATTGCAATTTCTGAAATGGAGATGAGCTCGTAATCGTACATTGGGAATGTTTTACGTAAGGAAACCACAAATATCACGAGATATCTTATCTGTCGTTAAAAAGGAAGTAGGTGAAGAGAATTTTCAAGGTGTCCTTTTAAGATTAAATGTCCCTGGCCAGAGAATGAGATCAGAGTAGAACAACAAAGATTAGAAATATTAAATATTTACAATTGTAAAATTAACTTACGGACGTTTCCCAATTCTTTAATGGACGCTGTCACGTACAGTTTGTATAATAATAATTGATTATGTATTACTTTATTGTTTTGTTATAAGTCAGCTGCGTTTAAACACCGTGTACGGAAAACTGGTCTTCATGAGAAAAACCTCATTTCGTAATGGATGCAATGCGACGGAGGTGGAAGTACTAAGAAGTATTGAAATTTAATACAATGAAATTTAGGAGAATAAGTCCAGGACATTTCATGTCACTCAATAATGGTGATGGAGAAATTCACGAAAAATCCAAAAGAAAACAGATCTTACCGATAGGCACTGGTCTACGCGTTTGAAAACTGCAGTCAACATATCTACGTTACTCCAGAGAATCCTTACAAGTGGAGTTAATCGATGGTTAAATATTGCACAACATGTAAGGAACTTCCGCAACCCTTCGGTTCTTACACGTTCGCCTCAGCTGCAGGTGAGAATATAAATGTCAGCTAGTCATTGTATTCATTTGATATACACCTTTCAGTTTATTAACTGTTATGTGTAACAGTGGCCACCTATTGGAGAAAACAGACTCTTTCTGTTCTATTAATTTTTTTCTGATAGACACGTCAGGAAGCAATTGAGAACTTGTCATGATAATCATATTGTAAGCTGTATAAAAAAAGACCTTCCGGACTATGAAATTGAGATGCATTATAAGTCTGATAGTTTTTGGTCAAACAATTTGAGTCTGTTGTTTTTTGGAATCTGTCAATTCATAAGTTTATTAGTCGTAATAGTTCCTATAAAAAATTTTGAAAATAATTAATCAATAATCAATGATATTTTATACATGCGTTATACGTACGTAACTCTAGTGAGTCCTATTTAATTTGTCATTTGCTGTGTAACAGCTGAGCTTGCAACGTCATCATGTAACTTAATACTAATTTATGAAAGGGTCGGAGAAAACGTTGTTTTAAGAGATGCGTCTACTGGGTAACTGACAGGGTTAATACGTTCCAGTTTCCTTCAATGCCAAGTATTTAGGTCATTGTTACTGAGCCTGAAAGGGAAATGAGTGATTGGTATCGAGAGAAATGATGTGGTCATCCAAAAGCGCATATAAATATGTAATGTTGTTACATAATGTGCACAAAGTGCGAGCCGAGTCGTGAAATTGAGCCGAAAATTTTAAAGGACGAGTATCAGAGAACAAAATTAAAAAATCATTAGAAAAATTACGACCTTTACCTTGAAATCAAGTCGGGGTATAAGGTTTGCCATTCGAAGGTCGCTTTTACTATTTCTACGAATATTCATAGATGCAAAAATTGTTCAAATATAGCTGTAAAGACAAGATTTTGCTATATTTTATTTGACAATATAAGAATTAACAGGATATTGCTTCTTGTAAATTTTATATTGAGTTGTGATGGATGCTAAGAAATTGCTTACAAAGTACCACTACTTTCTTTAAATATATTTATTATTAAAGTGTTAACATCTCAAGAGAATGTGACAAAAAATAACTATAGCAATATGATTAACTCTAAGTAGACACATAAGATTGCAGCTTGACGTAAGGCTTCTCATCAGTCCTATAACAGTATTAGAGATATAACTGACCATGGCTTTATTGATCCTGGCACGAGTGCATTTTTTTATTTCAATGAACAGAATCATTTGAAATCCTTTATATAATAATTTCCTTATATGGAAAATTTTTATGTTACCACTCAAATTTCTTAACGATGTTTATCTAACATTAAAAATAAATTCTGACAGCATATATTCCCATTTTACCTTTATCTTGTTCTATGTATAACATGGTTTATTATTAGAAAAGTTGAATTAAGTAGCAACTACTAAAATATTATTTATTAAAAGAATTATAGAAATGAATCATAGCATTGACATATTTGTATATACAGAACTTTTTTGTAATATCTGACCTCTTGTAACATCCCACATATCACATTATGAATTGGGGACACATTATAATGCAAGTATATACTAAACCTTATGGGAGTCATACGTTTACAAACCTACACAAAAATACTGTCACAGGACCACTAACAAGACCTAAACCATACACAAATTTTAAGCGATTAGCATTTCTTTAACATAAATATATGTGAAACTATTAAACAATTAACTACAGTATCTTAAAAGCAAACTCTTTAAAACGAAAATAATACATCAGTACCTGTCCACGTCTAGATGCTCAAGAAATCTCTAGATCTAATGGTTGGCTCAAGGAATTATACCAAAGGAAGAATCCCTGCCTAGATTCTCAAGATTAACGTGTATCTGCTATCGTCATCCTTGACACACACAGAAAGATACATACAATCGTACGATTCTGAGAAAGATACAAACTCGTAGAGAGTGGAGTAACACTGCAAAATATCATACGTCAATTTCTAAACGTGACGTTTCTTCCCCACCGCCTTTACACTCATTTGCACTATACGCTCCTGGCATTCTCTAAGGTGTGAATTTAGGTTGAGCCTACTAAATTCAAAATACATAAAATTCCTAAGAATGAAAACCTAAAGGCGTGGGTGAGATACACTCTGATCGTAAAAGAGAAGTGTATCAGACTCGGACTGTTTTCCTCAATCTTCACCATCAAAGATATACACACCTAGTATGTCTGATCAAGTTTACGTTATTCTACTTACTCGTATCCCGTTATAACTGTCGTGTTTCCCAGGCGTTAATAAACGAGACGCACTTATAATTTGACACACAATTTCTTGCCCAAAACGTTCCTCAAAATAACACAAGACAATTATGACAAGTCCATTCACAAGACTGACGAATCAGCAGCGATAAACTAAAATGGCGACCGAACGTTTCCTCTTCCGGCGTTCGCCCTGCCTGCTTTGCAGTGCCGTATGATTATTTATGGTAGAATGTATTCGTGCTTGATGTTTTAGGCGTGTCAATCACTTGACTATTAGTTATCTAATAATATATTAATAACGTTTTTGTATTTTATTTTCAAAAACTCCTTAATGCTTACGATTAATTATAACTTCCCATGCAGTTTTCCGGCTTTGCTGCAAACCAATTCTTGTCCATTGTTATTTGATCTTTGAAATGAATCCGTAATAGATTTTTTGCAAGTTTCTCACGTCAACACGGTTAATGCGAATTTTTTATATAACTAGAGAATTTGATATTCAGTCTGTCACGCAGAACAGAATGGATTAATTCGTAGATAAAAAACCTTTACACAGGACACCTGCAATCAGGCCACAAGGTGAATATATAGGTAGATAATAGAATCTCGTGTTCAAAAGATGAAAACGTGCCGCGGTTAGTTCAAACTCCGTTTTAGAATTGAGTAAAGTTTGTCTTTACCTGAAAAAATCTATTCCTGCCAGAACGAAATGGATTTAATTTCAATAACAATGAAGACCATGCGAAAGAGTTGATCTACTTTTATAAACATATTTGATTATAATAATATACTGTGTTATTTTTATAAATGGCACGGTATGCTATTCCATGCTCTAATGAACTGCCAACATAGCGGAATCGCGTTAACCAAACCATAACCATACACTGGATTAAGTTTTTCGCAATCTTAACAAATATTTTTTCTTCCTTATGAAATATTTTTAGTATCTTTAAATCATTATCATTTATTTTATATGTACATAACATTTATGCTGTTATAAACTTTTTATGAGTACCAGTCTATAAGCATAGCAATGATGGTCTAAAAACTATAAAATTTCTTCAATACAATCAATGAGTTTTCTTCATTTTATTTATACATGGTAACCTGTGAATGTTTGATTTTCTATTGTAAATTATTCATGTCATCAATCGTGGATCCCGTTACTGGTTTAACGTAGTAAGACTTGCCGATCGGCTTAGTTATGTTATGATGTAATACATTTCAACTACTCCAAAAAACTTCACGAACTCATTTGTTTGTATGTACACTTGCATAGTTTATTATTTGAACTAATCATTCTACATTCTGAAAACTACTACTGTTGAAATAACTGAAAAGGAGACAATTGTTTTGTCATGAACAACAAAGTAATATTTTTAAATGTTTGTCGGTAGTAAGTACCGGTGTAGTTCCGATTGTTATAACGTTTTTATCAGTTTTGCTTGTGATATTATAATCAAGGAATAACATAGACACAATGACTGTCTTGAAGAATGTATGTCGGATGATACTTAATACAAAAACTGTACAATTTAAATTGTACACACGTCAATCGTATTCGTTGTACAATTTACAAAGACTTGCTAACCTCAACAATAGTGTAAATTCTCGTTTTTGCTCCAATAAAGTCAAGACTGAGGAACCGATATGTAATGTAGGCACTTTAGGACATGTGGATCATGGTAAGACAACCCTTACAGCAGCTATTACAAAAGTGATTGCTGAAGAGGATAAGACATGTGAGTACGTGTCGTACGATCAGATTGATAAAGCTCCTGAAGAAAAAGCAAGAGGAATCACGATAAACATTGCACACGTGGGGTACCGTACCAAAGCTAGACGCTACGCACATACAGACTGTCCAGGTCATGCTGACTTTATTAAGAATATGATCAGTGGTGCATCGCAGATGGATGGAGCTATTTTACTTGTTGCAGCAACTGATGGTGTTATGCCACAAACTCGAGAACACCTTTTACTTGCAAAGCAAGTTGGGGTGAAATACTTTGTTGTCTTTATAAACAAGGTTTATAATAAATTTTCATTAATCATACATTTGTAGTCAGTTTTTAATATATTAACTTCCAGGCAGATGTGGCTGATCAAGAAGTTTTGGAACTAGTAGAAATTGAAACCAGAGAGTTACTCTGTGATTTTGGCTTTGATGGAATAAATATTCCAGTAATATATGGATCTGCACTTCTGGCCTTACGAGGGGATACATCTGAATATGGAGTACCTTCAGTAAAGAAGTTACTTGATGCAATAGATACATACATACCAACTCCAACAAGAGATTATACTTCACCATTCTTATTGCCAATAGACAATGCATTTTCAGTTCCTGGTAGAGGAACAGTAGTGGTTGGTACAATAAAACGTGGTATTGTTAAAAAAAATATGGATGCGAATCTTTTGGGTTTTGACGAATCAATTAATACCACCATCAGTGATATACATGTAAGGCCATGCTCAACTCATAAAATTTTAGTAACAAATACTTCATTTTTATTATAAAAGTCTCAAAATAATAAACTCTTTGTATATATCAGATTTTTAAAAAAAGCGTTACCGAAGCTGTTGCCGGTGAGAACGTTGGCGTGTTACTGCGAGGAATAAAAATTGATAGAATACGAAAAGGAATGTTGGTGTGCAAAGCTAAATCTATGATGGCAAGTAATCACTATGAAGCCCAAATTTATTTACTCAGTTCTTCAGAAGGAGGTCGTCACAGACCCATGAGGGTAAAATATTTTCCTGAAATTTTGTTTTCCACTGTGTAATATTATTTTCTCACACATATTCAGCATCGTTTAATTTCCTATAGCCTACAGGTTACTGTCAGCCGCTTTACAGTACTACCTGGAACGTACTATGTCGCCTTGACTTGATGCTACCTGAAGGTACAAACATGCTGATGCCTGGTGAGCATGTAACAACTAAACTAACTCTGCTAAGATCTATGCCAATGATGGAAGGCCAGTCATTTACAATCCGTGAAAATAAATGTACCGTGGCTACTGGGATGGTAACAAAAATCTTGCCGCCTATTAACGTGGACAAACGTAAGTTGAACAAAGCGATATTACCAGACACACAATAGTAAATTTGAACTGTGTATTATAAATAAACAAAGTCATTTTATTCGAATGTGAATTTTATTCCACTTTATCGCAACTATTGGTACCTTCATTCTTTAACATTTTCTTTACTCTTACACTAAACACGCTGTGAACTTTATTATGTAGAATTCCACATTCGAATGATAAACAAGTACAAGCATGAACGTACAAAGTATTACAATGAGATGCATGGGCTGTTAGTGTTAGTCGAGATCTAGACCGCAACAGGAATTAAAATTATTCTTCGATATAGGTACTTTATTTTTTATTAAAGACCAATGTGTAAGGTACATGTGTATGTATATGACTATAGTGATTATCGTTCGAATGCGTGACTGTTCGTAATAATATTAACAGCGTGCGACTGTCGTACACTTGAGAGTGAATGCTTTCCGATAAAACGAGTAACATTCGCAACTCAATCGATACAGGCGCCACAGTTGTGGCAGCAGCGCTCTGTCAATTAGCTATCGTCAGCTGAATAACAAATTTTTAAATGATGATTTACGCGAAGGATGCAAGGAAGTCTGTGACGACCTTCTTCAACTTGGCATCGGATGCCTCGGTGATGGAGTTTTCCTTAGCGATGGTGGCGAGAAGATCTTGCTGGGTGGCCCTATTGAAAACGAATTACACATAAATATATTGTGATTAAGATAAGACTATCTCGGGACTGACGATAACACCGTGCTTTAAATATTTTAATTTACCTAATGTGGGCAAGGAATTCCTTCTCGAAGGCAGTGATTTTGTTGGGTTCCATCTTGTCAAGGTACCCACGGACACCGCAGTAGATGACGGCAACCTGTTCCTCAATAGCCATGGGCACTGTGGACATTAAAATATATTAGTTTGTGGTTTTTATATTTTGTTGGAATAAATGAAGATAAAAATATTTACCATATTGTCCCTGCTTGAGGAGTTCGGTAAGCCTGACACCACGGTTCAGGAGTTGCTGGGTAGCAGCGTCCAAGTCGGAACCGAACTGAGCAAAGGCAGCGACCTCACGGTACTGGGCCAATTCCAGTTTCATGGAACCAGCGACCTAAAGTATTGACATAAAATTTTATGTGACAAATATTAAAATTGCAATGTATTTGATGATTTAATGGAATTATACCTGCTTCATGGCCTTAGTCTGGGCAGCAGATCCGACACGAGATACAGACAGACCGACGTTGATAGCAGGACGGATACCCTTGTAGAACAATTCAGTTTCCAAGAAGATCTGCCCGTCGGTAATGGAAATTACGTTGGTGGGAATGTAAGCGGATACATCACCAGCCTGGGTCTCAATGACAGGCAGGGCAGTCAAGGAACCACCTCCCAAAGTTTCGTTCATCTTGGCGGCTCTCTCAAGGAGACGGGAGTGAAGATAGAATACATCACCAGGGTAGGCCTCACGACCTGGGGGTCTCCTGAGCAGCAGAGACATTTGACGATAGGCAACAGCCTGCTTGGACAAATCGTCATAGATGATAAGGGCATGTTTGCCATTGTCTCTGAAGAATTCACCCATGGCACAACCGGAGTATGGGGCCAAGTACTGCAGAGGAGCAGCATCAGAGGCGGTGGCGGATACGATGATGGTGTAGTTCATAGCACCACTGTCTGTCAGACGTTTTACGATCTGAGCGACAGTAGATCTCTTCTGACCAATGGCAACGTAGATGCAGTACAGCTTCTTCTTCTCTTCGCCGGCATCATTGAAACGTTTCTGGTTGATAATAGTATCAATAGCCAGAGCAGTCTTTCCAGTCTGCCTGTCACCAATGATCAACTCACGCTGGCCACGACCAATAGGTACTAGAGAGTCGACGGCCTTGATTCCAGTCTGCATAGGTTCCCTGACAGAGACTCTGTGCAGAAAAAAATAAAACACAATGAAACAAAAATCACGAGTCAATTATACATTCAAAGTCCATAAATATTTTTATATTCCTTCTAACCTGGGAATGATACCAGGGGCTTTGGTACCAATACGGAACCTCAGCTTGCTGTTCAGAGGTCCCTTACCATCAATAGGATTACCCAGAGCATCGACAACACGACCCAAAAGCTGTTCACCAACGGGAACGTCGACGATGGCACCAGTACGCTTGACGATATCTCCTTCCTTGATGTGCCTGTCATTACCAAAGACGACAACACCGACGTTGTCAGGCTCCAAATTCAAAGCCATACCTTTCAGGCCAGAGCTGAATTCCACCATCTCATCAGCCTGGATGTTCTTCAAACCGTACACACGAGCAATACCATCTCCGATACTGAGTACACGGCCAGTTTCTTCAAGATTGGCCTATAATTTATTATTAATTTTGTAGAACCTTCTGATCTGCTTTACAATTTTGTTACACTATTTATATTAATGTAGCAATGTTAAAAATGTTTGATGAATGTTGGAGCAAATTATGTAATCATGGAGGACATTTTTGAACCACGAACTAAATTTGGAACATTGTAAAATAGAACAAGAACAAAACTAAAACCTTATACAGTGACATACTTAGAAAAATCATCACATAATCTGTTGCAATATATGAAAAATCAGAGTAAAATCTATCTTTCAAATTGTGATAATTAATTTCAATACATATAAACAATATACAATAGTAAGAAATATAAATTTATGTTAAATCAATCACATAACTACTCCGCTATGTAAAGGTATATTTTAAATTAGTCATCTACACTTTTTCTAACACCGTAAATGGTCCTCTGTACCTTTTCATTACCTATTCAGTGTACACATCTAAAATATACAATTTTCTAACAATTTAAGAAATTTGCTTACCTTGGGGGCTGAGCCAAGGATGCGTTCCTCCAAAATGGAAGAGATCTCAGCAGAACGGCGGCTGCAGGATACATGATATTTCCTCGTGGCAACACCAGCCACGGGCCAGTTGATCTACAAATGAATACAGCAGTCTCTAAATCGTGTTCCTGGTTCATCAGCTCCAGATGCTTATTACATAACTCAATCTCATTCTGTTTATGTAATACATTGTCGAGCACACAGAACACATTCGGCGATATTGTTCTGTGAGTTTTGATTTAATATAATCGCGCAAATATGCGCACAATTTACACGGATTAGAAAGGCTACGAACCTGCGGCAACAATAATTAAATGCGGCCGGCGAAACACATTAAGAAACATGTCGGCTATTGAAGACACCCATGTCCGTTAAGTCTCTTTTCTACCTGGACGAATCTCATTTGAATCTGACAAAGTTTATATCCATTTTTTATTTACCTGTATGGTGGAGTTAGGTAGCTGTCTCGCCACAGAGGCAGCCAAACGTAGGGACAATAGAGCCATTTTTATATTTAACGCCCGTCGACCGGACCACGAAGTCAAAGATGGAGAACGGTCAAAGATAGAGACGAGCAGAAGAACGACCTGACCAACCCCACTCTGTTCTCATCAGGCAGGAAGTCGGAAGCCATCGACCCAATTGCTAACCTCATACCCAAAGCCAACGACACCTTGCAAAAAAAACAAAATAGCAACGAACCATTTGTTCCGAGTGTTGCACGAGAAAATTTTTATCTTTTTGCAGTAAAATTTGCATTGTTATTAAAATTTTTAATATAGATAAATATAGAATTGATTTTAATTATATGATAAACTTTAAAATGAACCCTGGTTCGAGGCTACGCGCACTGCAGATCAATCCAATATTGGCGTGAAATAAACGCGCAGATTTTGAACACCAGCCAAAGGAATTGCACGATTGAAATTCATCTTGGGTTTTATAGATTTAAGGCGATAGCGAATTGTTATATACTCGTGCAAAAATAAAGAAACTTTATTTAATACTAAATTATTTGTTATAATATTGTTATCAGTATATATCAGTAGGTTATAGGGTTTTAGGCAGTTTTAGGTACCCTGAAACAATATGGCAGATATAACGAATGCCTCGCGGTGCTATGTCATTTTGTTGAATTTAGGATATACCTTGTATTTAAACAATCCAATTTGATTATTATTAAAAAATACTGTTATAGTGACAAGAGATTTTTCTGTCATGGGCAACAATGGACGCGATATCAGTGTGCATGTAAAAGGGCCCTTTAAAGGTTAAAATTGGAGGGTGCTCAAGAGCGTCATTGCACCGGCGCCAAACTTTGTTATTATCGATACGTATTGATTATTGTTGTTGTATGCGTTTCATAAAACTTAAAGACCTGTTTGCAGTGGAATCAAATGAAAGATCAAAGAAATATTTAGAGGAACCGCATTCAAGGCTGCACTTTTTGCAAGAGGAAGTGTGCATCCGCTTAAAGGAGGATCCTTGTTCTGTCAACGTATCGATCCTACAGTAATTAGACTCTCGAAATTTGTGAATGTTTCTTTGAAATCTTGTAAAACGTCAAGTAGTGACATTACTTGCTACTTCACAATAATAATTGATGGTGTGCATTAGGAAGTGTTTGTTGAAATAGGGACACACCCAAAAGGCCACTAAAATAGAAAAAAAAATGGATTCAGCCACTGAATTGGAGCAAATTGAAAAATTGGCCAAAGAAGCAGAAAGCCTCAAAATACGATTAGAAGATGAAAGACAAAAATTAAATGATGTTACACGTAAAGGATTTTTTTCATTATTATATGCTTATAATGCTGATAGTGATGAGTTTCAATAAATTTTACTTACTATTTGCAGTTGCTAGTGTAGCTGACAGACTGGAACCAATTAATTGTATGAATGTCAAGCCAAGGCGTATTTTAAAAGGACATCAGGCAAAGGTTTTATGTTCTGATTGGTCACCAGATAAACGGCACATTGTATCATCTTCACAAGTATGCATTTACCTTCTATTTGGTTTATTCGAAACTTCTAAATCCATGGGATTCTCTTAGGATGGCAAGATGATAATATGGGATGCTTTTACAACTAACAAAGAACATGCTGTTACTATGCCAACTACTTGGGTGATGGCTTGTGCTTATGCACCTAGCGGTGCTCTTGTAGCTTGTGGGTATGTAGATAATATATACATTCAAATATAATTGATACCCTGAAGAAAACTATAATGCACTATTGCATTTTAGAGGACTAGATAACAAAGTCACAGTCTATCCACTCAGTTTAGAGGATGATGTCTCAGCACGTAAAAAGACTGTTGGTACGCACACTTCATATATGTCCTGCTGTGCATTTCCAAATAGTGATCAGCAAATTTTAACTGGAAGTGGTGATAGTACCTGCGCCTTATGGGATGTAGAGAGTGGTCAACTCTTACAAAACTTTCATGGCCATTCTGGAGATGTTATGTCCATCGATTTAGCACCCAGTGAGACTGGAAATACGTTCGTTTCGGGTAGCTGTGATAAAATGGTTCTCATCTGGGACATGAGAAGTGGGCAGTGTGTACAGAGCTTCGAAGGACATCGTTCTGACGTTAATTCGGTAAATTTCTAATGCAGTCATTTATTTACTATAATATCCTTTAATTCTTTTAAATTACAGGTACGATTTCACCCCAGTGGTGATGCGGTAGCAACAGGATCGGATGACGCCACTTGCCGTCTCTTTGACCTGCGGGCCGATAAGGAAGTAGCCGTCTATGCTAAGGAGAGCATCATTTTTGGTGCCAATGCTGTGGATCTCAGTATAAGCGGACGATTACTCTTTGCTGGACATAATGATTATACAGTTAATGCTTGGGACACGTTAAAGTGCCAAAGAGTAGCACTTCTCTATGGTCATGAAAATCGCGTTTCTTGTTTGCGAGTATCCCCAGATGGTACTGCACTCTCTACAGGAAGTTGGGACGCAACACTACGAGTCTGGGCTTAAATAATGCTCTTTGAAAGGATCCTTGATCTTACTTTTTTTATTATTCATTTTCTCAGTCTACCATGCGACGTTTATCGGATGACATGCTATGATAAACAGGACACGTGGTGAGATGTTTCCTACTAAGGCATGGGCTACGAATTTGTACTCAAAAATGATGCTAAAACGTATTGCCAAAATTTGCCTAGAGAAATATTATAAGTGATAGTATTGTAAGTGCAATAAAGTGAAATAGTATAATGAGGTTGTAGAGTATTGAAGAAAAATGGACCGTTTCATAGGCTGGACCTGATTTATAGTGAATTCGGAAGCCAAATTGTTCTCGTTGTTGAATTAAGACCATGTAAATGTTAATAAATACATAGCAAAGATCAATGATGTTGTTTTATTAATGTACTTTGTATTATAAAGTTTGTTACATTTTGTTCTTTTTTTGTTATTCCATTTCAGTTGTACAATATTATGAAAAATGAGATTCATCACCAATTCTATACTGTTATTTATATCATCAATGACGAAGACGTTTTGAAAATACAGAAACATTCTACTTTATCTATCATTATCTGGAAAAAAAATATCTACTTCAAGTAGCCGCTTAGCTAGCGCTACAACGCGATGTGCAGTGGTCTCAGTCGCGTCTGACTTTGCACTTTAATTCCTTTTACTTCGAGTTGATTTATTGTGAAAAAAGTACTGTGCAAATTTCAATTTGCATTTGGAAAGTGTATCGTGAATTGTGCTGTGTTTAAATTGTACAAAAATGCCACAATTTTCAAGTAAGCATTAAGATATATCATATTTTGCGGTGGTTGTAACCTCAAATATTTTGCAATTTCGCTTGTTCACTGTACCAGCCAGCCTTGAATGCCTTTATTTACTCCTGTGTTTGCAGTTAAGGTAAAATGGGGTAAGGAACTTTTTCCAAATGTGGAAGTCAACACGGATGAAGAACCAATGCTATTCAAGGCACAGCTCTTCGCGCTCACTGGAGTACAACCTGAGCGACAAAAAGTTATGCTGAAGGGTATGACTCTGAAGGATGATGATTGGGGTAATATAAAGCTGAAGGATGTAAGAGAATTATTATATAGATATTATGATACTCCAATATCATGTTTGTAATACTAACTTTTTATCATTATTTCTAGGGTGTTACTGTATTAATGATGGGTTCAAAGGAGGAAGATGTACCTACGGAGCCAACAGAGAGGCCATTGTTTCTAGAAGACATGAATGAGTCTGAAATAGCTACTGCATTTGATTTGCCAGCTGGTTTGATGAATCTTGGAAACACCTGTTATCTTAATGCTACTGTTCAATGCTTAAAAACAGTCCCAGAATTGCGCGATGCACTCAAAAGTTTTTCAGGCGGCCTGGCCGCTGCTGGTAGCACTTCTTTAGTTCCTGCACAGAGCATCACAGCTGCTCTAAGGGACTTGTATGAAGGAATGGATAAAGGATCTTCCTTGCCACCTGTAGTTCTGGTTCAAATGATGCATTTAGCATTCCCACGATTTGCTGAGAAGTCTGAACATGGAGGATTTCAACAACAAGATGCTAATGAGTGCTGGACTGAGCTGATTCGTATGCTTCAGCAAAAATTACCAGCAAAGGTAAGTTCAATTCACTATTATATTGAGTTTCAGGTATTTATTACGTATAATTCCTACAGGAGAACGTAGCAGCAGGGGAAGGTAGTAGCTCACAAGCATGTAAACCAAGTTCTCTTATTGAACAATACTTTGGAGGTACATTCGATACTGAACTGAAGTGTGTTGAATCTGAAGAGGAGCCACCGACTCATGGAAAAGAAGACTTTTTACAACTAAGTTGTTTCATTTCAACAGAAGTAAAATATATGCACTCTGGGCTACGAAATAAAATGCAAGAACAGTTAACTAAAAAATCCCCCACTCTCGGTCGAGATGCAGTTTATACAAAAACAGTACGATAAATTTTTTAAAAATTGTATGTATTAATTACAACGATCCTTTAATGTCACTTTTGAATTTTAGTCGAAAATTAGCAGATTGCCAGCGTATTTGACTGTCCAGTTCGTTCGATTCTATTATAAGGAGAAAGAATCTATTAATGCTAAGATTCTAAAGGACGTCAAATTTCCTTTAGAATTCGACGCCTTCGAATTATGCACTAGCGAGCTTCAAAACAAGCTTGCACCCATGCGCGAGAAATTCAAAGAACTGGAAGACAGCCAGGTAGAAGAGTCTCGAAGTGTCAAAGAGAAGAAGGACAAAGGTGACGGTAACAAGAACAAGAACGTAAAACAGGAGCCCTTCTGGTTCCCAGATGGTAAGTCTACATCCTGCTTTTTCAACAAATATAGAAAAATTCCAGAAAATCTGTAGAAGCCACTCAAATAAGTTCTATCTGCTTTCTCTCATGCTTCTGTTTATTTATAATTAGTAACAGCCTGCAGCCATGTGCACTCTCTATCTCACTATGTTATTTACGGCTGGTTTTTGACGTTAGTAAATATTATACTTTAAGATGGATTAATTTACGTCTACTTGATACAACTAAAAAAAAAGAAACATCAAACAAATTTACTTTAATCAAAAATGCATCAAGTGCTATAGTACTTAGTCTATCCAAGACTAAAATATATAAGGTTTAGCAGATTCTTTTACATTGAAACTCTTATCAAGTTGGCCCTTCCGAAACACCTCACTCGTGAATAGACATACACAAAAATTGCACCTGTTACAGATCTGGGCTCAAATAACAGCGGATACTATACGCTGCAAGCTGTTTTAACGCACAGAGGTCGTTCCAGCAGCAGCGGTCACTATGTCGCCTGGGTACGTCAGAAAGATGACATGTGGTTAAAGTGTGACGACGACGCCGTCAGCGCCGTCACCAGCGAGGATGTCCTAAAGTTAAGCGGTGGTGGCGATTGGCATTGTGCATACGTGCTACTTTATGGTCCTCGAATTCTCGAAGTACCCATAACCGAGACTAATTAATTTCTACTCGAATCTGATAATCAACTGCTGCACGGCTATATGATAAAAGCAGAGAGAAAGAGAAAGAGAGAGAAAAAAAAAAAGAATAAAAAGACCAAAAAGGAAGGAAGAGAATTCAGCCGAGACTGTATTCAACAATTTTCAATTCAATATCCTGATGATGAACGCGTTTAAGGCATTTATGTGACGCGCAATGTATTGTCTATGTATTTGCACTGTTGCATTTGGCACTAGCTTGTCGAGTGCATCGAAAAAGTGTCGTGACGCCTTGTAAAACCAGCTACGACTATACATAATAATTGTTAAATATGTGAAACGAATGTGAGTGGCGGGCTCGTGGTAGGATTTAGTTTCTCTTTTTTTTCGCGCCAGTGCCAGTGATATTAACGCACGTAGTAAAGTTGATACCAAGATGGAGATTGTTGTTTTTAAAGATAATTAAAACCAATAAAGCGTCTGGGCCGCGAATCGAGTTCATGAATTTTTACAAGAAGATGAAGAAAGGAAAAGAGGAGATTCCCGCGTGGCACAGATGACATTTTTAATCAGGACGTTCAGTGTCGACGACTTATAAACAACTCATAACTGTGAAACTTACTATGTGTTCTTTTTGTAATATTAAAGCAACAGTTATTATTTAAAATTTTATACTGCTTATCCCAATAACAATCCTATTCGAATTTTCAAAATTACAGGTAAACTAAACACCACTTTTATTTTTCGTAGCGTTACTTTTACCTTCCCGAACAAAGTAAATCCCGACTTTTGGTAGGGATGCTTCTTGGTACCTGGATCATTGTGGAAAAAAAATCTTTCACAATGCTTAAGGGAACCTTTCTACAGAATCCAATCCCTTAAGTTAACTCAGGTATTTATTTCCAAAGGCCTGAGACGGTTGCTTATTTCTGCGAAAGCCAAAGCAGGACATTTTTATGTTACAACTGCAATAACTGAAGCAGTTCTTTGGTTTTCTGAGATTTATAAAAGTCAATGCTTATTTATGTTACTTTTTGTCGTAATGCAAATAAGCCAAATATGATAGCAAATTTCAAATGATTTCATATATTATTTTAAGAAACGCTTTTGCATCTCCATAGCAACCTAATCAAGTTAGAGAGTCTGATAAGGTAACAGTAACGTCGATAGCTTCTGGTCTAATCAGTAAGTGCTTAAACTTGTTCGTCGGCTCTCAGTTTACCGGATGACTTTTCTTGTCTTGTTTTATCGTAATATATGTAGTGTAAATTGTCATATATAAAACATTGGAGCCTATGTTCGAACTTGGATGAAGATATGTACTCGAGATTGATGCGTTCGAGGACCTTCCGACATCTATTTGAAAAATTTCTAAGGTAATAATAATTCAAGTGAAATATTTTATACAGCATTAGACAGAATATAGGTAGGCTATAGCTCTTGTCTAGTATCTTCTTGGCGACATGCGATATCTGTCAGGAATAAAATTGATAAGTAATTCTTTGGCATTTAAAAACCCTACTTTGAAAATTAGTCAAACATAATTATATTGTACAATACCTCGTGGTCATTCAATTGTACTGCATAAATGTTATAAATAATATTAGATAAAAATTGATGAAATACCGTGACGATATAATTTTAAGTATTAAATAAACGCAAATGGCGCCCGAGCAAGTTTTTAAAAAACGGTTATGGCATTACGAAGTACTTTATACGTTTGATATTGATAACAATATTTCCTGTAATTTTATAATTAGTGAAAGAGCATAAATTGCGAAGAAGGATTCTAACAGAACGCATGATAATTGTTTCGTCATTTCGGGAAGAGTATGTATCATGTGTGATAATAACAGTTTGCGTCACAGTGGATGATAAAGATTGTCGCTTTCATAAATGGAAGTCTTGTTTCTTTTTAACAGCGACTACAAATCGGTAAAACAATACAGTATATTCGGTAAAAAGCAAGAGATGAGATTCTTTCATTGTCTTCCTTTTAGATAACTGAGAAGAAACTATTGTGTAGGGATTTCTTCAGGATTTTACGTATCCCATTATTGCTTGTAGCTAAATCCCAGAAGTCATATTATAATTAACGCTTTATACTAAAAATTGGACATGAGTGTATCAAATCTGCAGGAGGATAATGCTAATATTTAATAACGAAATAACGCAACAACATTAAAGTGTACAGAAATGGCCGCGTCGCTTTAAAATTATTCTCTAGGACTTTAGAGCCTTTATTTCTGAATTCTCATGGGTTTTTCTCGGGCAACATAAAAAAGCACAATAGGATCGAAAAGGTAAAGTAGAAGAGAGTAGAAATATAAAAGAATAAAAAAGAAAGGACTCTCCTCGTGCTATGGTTGGATGGGGCGTTCGTTCTTGGGATTGTCCAGTGTTCGGGTAAATCCGGACGCATTTACGGAGACTCCCGAACCCTGCATTCTGTTGAGCGCCTTCATCATGGGTGGTGTTTTCACCTAGAGTGTCTCATAAAAGACCCGTGAAGACGTCCCACAGGAGGATGGACTAATGGTATCGGGTGTGATAACGCGGCATTCCACGTCCTGTGATTATCCTCATAAATAAAGGATTAAACGTGGATATTCATCCTGAATGCAGGACTGCTCCGTTTACGCGCATGTGAAATCAGCCGTTTGACGGGTTCATAGTGACTGGTGTTCAATGGCGATGGCCCCTTGCTGTCTGATAACAAGTTAAAAGGCCTTTTCAAGGGAGACAAGGACCGAGAGGTGATAACCATAAGACTTATATAGGCACAGCAATTTCGCGGTGTATAGTAGGACGTTGGACATAGAGTCTTTATTATTTAAATATAAATGTGATCTGTGCTAATTTCGCCCAATTTCTACCAGTAGAAAGTGTCTAGGATCGTGCACGTTTGCTCCTGCTCTTGCTACTACTCTGGATGATCGTGTGTCTCTGTGGATCAGTGCGTGCCAGTATAATAAATCATTCCGTGTCAAATTTCAAACCAGGAACGGTACGCATAATCTCAAGAAAGGATATTTCCATTCCCTTTTAATGTCTCTTGATTATCTTGCAACCGGACGTATGCCAAATCAGACGATGTGGAGAAAAACTGCTTCTCTCAGGCCAGTTTGATACTACTAATGTATATTTCTCCTACCTATTCTACATATGTGGATTCATCTCAGGAGTGAGAGTGTCAATTGATTTGTTTTTTATGTTAGTGCGATACAAATTATACTATACGAGAATTCAGTGCAACGTTACTTTGAAAGGAAATAGTCGTGACACAAGGAAAATAAGGCTTATGGAAAAGATATCAAGCGAGCGTTTCCGATAATCACATGAAATATCCAATTGTTATCTACGGAAGACCTGCTAATTATAATATGACAAATTGAAACAGATAACTAATCATAACTGGATATCATGCAAACTAAAACTATAAATGTATAAATCACGAACTCAAACAGTGTTAAACAAATCTGTTATTATTTGATTTAAATTATAATTAGATATACAGTATGCTTAGAGTAGCAGATCATTTGGTTTTAAGGATACCGCACAAGTGATTATTGTAATATAGTGTTTTAAAAGGCCACTTTTAAAAACTTTATTGGTAACTGTTAAGAAAATACCCTTCTGACAAGAAGGGATCTATGAGGTGTAAACAATTGACCGATTGTTATTGACTTCAAAGCTAGTGTACAAGCAAAATGGGAAATTGTTTTAGCAGTCCCACAGATGCCGAGAAGGAGAAGTCGGAAAGGATAGGTAATCCTAGCATAGAAGCTGTTGCTTCGCAGGCTAGTCCTATTCCAACACCACCACCAGATCCCATAAGGCCTATGCCACAAATACCAGACACAGATGCTCCTACTGCCAAGATCTTTGTTGCTTTGTACGATTACGATGCTCGCACAGATGAAGATCTCAGCTTCAGAAAAGGAGAACACTTGGAGATCCTCAACGACACCCAGGGTGACTGGTGGCTTGCTAGAAGTAAGAGGAGCAGACAAGAAGGCTACATCCCAAGCAATTATGTGGCCAAACTAAAGTCCATTGAGGCTGAACCGTAAGTCATTATCATATTAATATATATCGTTGCAATTATATCATTGAAAGACTCGATTAATCAGATAAAAATTTTCAATCTGCTTAACACCACTAGGAAGTTCCATAATAAATCATAGTCAATAAGTTTCTTAATTGGATTAAGATCATTTAAAAGAGATAATGACAAGGTCGCATTCTTTACATGAGTTCAGTATGGTTATAATTATTGAAATGCATGTCACACGCGACTTTTACAGTTACATATTCCTACCGCTGAATATTTGAACGATCGGTCTCTCTGTAATAATTTATTCAATAGTTTTACTTGGCTTATATGCCGATATAACGGTTCGATAAATAGCGATGCCGAAGTGGTCTTACTCGCAAAGTTTTCTTTGTTGCATTTTCTCCTAATGAATTTCTCTCACAATCAGTATAACAGGCCTGCTGTAGCGACCTTGCTTTCACCAATACTGCGCTCTTGTCTTGAATTCCATACAGAATTTATCTTAAAACGTATTGAGAATCACTGGACGTTTATCTTTTAGAGATAAACAAAACCATCGATCCTTCCGGTTTCCTAAAAATAATATTATGTTTCACTATTTGGAAGGCTTCTTCTGTTAGCTTTAAAACTTTAGAAATAAAAATCATTACAGCTTGAACAAATTACGTAAGATTTTACTCCAAATGGAATTGCCATTTTTCTTTTTGATCTTTGATCACCGATTAATCCTTGATTTTCATGTGATTTTGTACTAACAATAGAAGTAGATATATTTGTGCTTTGTACTTTTCTAATAAAAAACTTGTTTGTGTTTTTCCCTTGCAGATGGTACTTCCGAAAGATCAAGAGAATCGAGGCAGAGAAGAAGCTGTTACTATCCGAAAATGATCACGGAGCATTTTTGATTCGAGATTCAGAAAGTCGGCACAACGACTATTCACTTTCAGGTGATTTCACGTCAATCCATAATTAACGTTCATGAGATCCGTGTTGTTATGTCTGACTACCGATTAGGATCGGTACCTAAGTTCACCTTAATGATTTATTCCAAATCAATCCTTAAAGAAATATTCTGCTATTGCTATTCGATAAGCAATCAATACGGTTGTAATTCATATACAAGGTATATTATTCTATCTGATATTGACACTAAGCGAACGATGGAAATTGAAGCTAGTTAATATCCTTCGCTTCATAATATATTTTTCAAATAATTATTGAAAATTGGAATACCCGGAATTTCTTCCAATACTTGGCAATCATTTGTCACTGTGACTGAAAGTACGTCGTTACCTATCTGATTGTGTCAAATGTGTTTTACGCAACCCGAGGATTTCAATTAGTTTTCCAATTGATTGGAATATTTGCTCTTTACTGTATGACAAACATGTATCCCACAATGCTCCGTTCTGTCAGTTAGCGATGAAATTGGCATATCCTGTTGCAAATTGCAATTTCCTGCCTTTTCAGAAGCCTCTACGTTCCTAACAAAGTTTTTGTCAAACCCGCAACTGGCACACTTCACCATCCTTGCATCAAAATATAATTGTTACCCCGACTCATTATCCTCTCACACTACGTTACATTTATTTAAATGATAAGTATGAGTCTTTTTACTTTTTATTTCATATACCCAGACAGACTTATATTCTTTATATATAATCAGGATATATATCTTACAGTGCGGGATGGAGATACGGTTAAACATTATCGTATCCGGCAGTTGGACGAAGGAGGATTCTTTATTGCAAGGCGAACAACCTTCAGGACACTTCAGGATCTCGTCGAGCACTATAGCAAGGATGCTGATGGACTCTGCGTTAATCTTTGCAAACCTTGTGTACAGGTAAGAGATTTGTGTGAGCATAAAATTCCGGATAAATCGTAGTTCTTATTACGTGAGGTCCAGTGTCGTCTAAACGGAGTTTAGACAGCTTGCTGCATGTCGGACAATCATTCTTCATATTATTTTATTAATTTATGTATTTTAAGAACGTGCTCATTCCAAAGGAAAAGAGAGACGTCTGACTTACTGCTTTGATTAGGTAAAATTTGTGCGTGAGAAATAAAAAAAAACTGCCAAGGAGAGATTTCACTGATGAGATTCAAAAGAAATTGGCACAGTTGGCTACGATACGCCCACAATTCGTTGAAACTTCGTAAGAGCTTTTAGATTTAAATCACTCTGTAGAAATCTCTCCTGATGCTTGGTGGAACGAGAGACAGAGGAGAGTCAGTATCAAAAATAACAAGTGGATTGCAAGTATTCAAGTGCATGATTTAATCTTATCTTTTTTTGCGTCTTATTTATAGTTTTCGCGCGAACGAGTTCAATGATTTGAGGCTTCTTATGATGATTTACCCAGCGTCATTTAAACAACTGACTCTGATACTAGCGTTAATGAACTTCGGTAAAACCGATATGACGTATACAATTTATCAGAAAAAGTGTTTAATGAAAATCCAGATGGTATTCCACTATACAGCACTGTCTAGACTCCCGTTGGACTTTGCTTTGTAATTGAAACAAGGCGTGACCCGTTCACACTTTGAATTAAGACATTGTTTTTTGATTTTCTCATTTCTTTACCACGGACAATAATCAAGCAGACGACCGATCGCAATGTTTTGTTAACTATAACATGTATATGTGGATTTGAATCTTTAATAGAATAATCATATGTTCATATAATAGTCGATGAAAGGAAACAAGCTATCAATTTTATATTTGAAAAAAGAAACAATGTATATACATGCTTATCGAGTTCAAGTATATAAGATAATTTTGACAGCTATCAGTGAATGCAATTGCTTTGAGTGGCAAATTTAGATGAAGTACTTATTTTGCATAATTAAGTTTCTTCGCGTTCTCAACGTGAAGTGTCGATTTTACGTTTTAAAGGTTCAACAGTCAACGAAGATACGAGAAGCGATTGCATTTTGTAAACGCCCTTCTTTTAAGTTTGTATAAGGGAAACCATGCGAGGTTTTATCTCTGAATAGACTGTGTTTGTTTCTCTGTTATTGCTTGCCCTACTTACCGCTGGATTTTCTTGGTAAATTGAATGTCCCCATACGAATCATTAATCATTCATTTGTTTTCCCATAACCATAATTGTTTGCTTGTATCAATTTCATATGTCATGCGCATTCTCATAGCACAAACCTGTCCTATACGGCATTATGTTTCAGAGACATTAGGCACGATACGTCCTGTAGTCGTCGAGAGAGCCATTAATATCATTTTATCCATCTAACAGTCTTATCATCCGCAGTCCTTAACATCGACTTCTTATCATTGGACTTATAGGCGATTGACGTTTGATACGTGGAGCGCTTATAATGCGATGTCAGAATCACCTTTTGCTCCACATACGGCATCACGAACGCTCTTGAAGATTCGCCCTGATAGCCAAGCAAGAGGAGTTTTATATATATAAAAAAAGAGAAATCATTCATCTCCTTCTAGAACGCAATACATTTGAGTTTATTTATTTTTAATTAAAGTTTAGATCAATGCGCAGAATAGATTGCATTTGATATATTTATTTTTTAATTTCGCTTCCATCTCGCAGAGCGGGCTGATCAAATTTTGTTTTCGATATTGTATAATAATCCTAGCATGATTAGGTAACAATTTATATTGACAATGTGCATTGTATACTAGCTATTTACTGGATATATTATTATCGTACCTCTTAGATCAAAGTCTAAGTTCAATTAACTTTGGATCTATGAATGACGTTTGTTTGTGCACTTATATCATTAAGTAATTCGTTCCACCTGATTGAATAGATCTCACGTGGGCGTCTTCAACGATTTAGGAATGTTCAAACGATCAGATGCACTTACATAGCCATATCCAGAAGTATTGTTAAATCCTATCAGGCCGATACACTAGCTAAACGTATATATTGTAATATATTTTCAGAGAACTTTTAAATATTCAAATCTTCTTCCTGTGACTTATTAAGATTATAAGTCTCTTGGCAGTTGTGGCTGAATTTACTCAATGTACCGTAGCTTCTGAATAATGGCAGGAAGCTTCGAGCTCAATGTTAAAATTATTTTCCTTTTGGAAAGTTCTACATTTCTTTTTGTTTTTACAGTATCAGATGACGATGACTTGATTGTGTTCATTTTAATGATAATCGAAGGGTGCTACTGTCTTGTTGGTTCTGTGCGGTTTCCGTGAATGTATTTAATCGATATTCTGCAGTTTTAATAGATTGTTACCTGCAAAACTCTTTTAAAAGTGATTGACAGGGGACAATTTTGAAGTTGAATGATTCTTTGAAAAATGCGGACAACCCACGGAAGTCAGCATTAGCTGTTAAGTTTCTTTAACGAATGAAAGTCTCTCGTTAGATAGTTGAAAATGAGAATGAAGATTTTTCACTAGGCATTTGTGGAATCGATGAATGAATAAAGTCAATCATTAAGCATGAATGTCGTTGCTTTTAATTATAACGCAATCGATGGAGACTTTCGACGAAGCGATGCCGAGCGTGTTTGAATTAGAAATAAAAGCGAGAAAAAGTAGAGAGAAGCGTGTCCAACGTTTTGCTTGGCAACCGATAAGGTGCGTGTGAAAGCATGAAAGCAGCCAAGACCCATATTGTTCCTTCCTATTTATTTATCTCGATGCATATACTGCACCTGCGGTTTATAATTCATTTATAATTGTATACCTACTCTTACTTCACCTATTACATATTGTTAGATTAGAAAGTCAGACTTCAATGAAACACTTGACTTCTGAACCGTACAGACTGAAACCAAACAAGACCCAACCAGAAGTCATACAGTTTGAATAACAGCACCGAAAGGGTTTCCAGTTAATCCATTTTCCTTATTGTGAAATCAGATATGTGTAGTTTTCTTATTCTGATAAATTTATTACATTGCCGTAGGCTCTTGAAACATTAAAAACTGTCATATCACTGTTTCATAGTCTTCCATCTTGTTCGACCTGTGCTTCTCTTCATTGCTTTTGAAAAGACTCGCCATGAACATTGTACGATAAGGTATTCATCCGTGATATGTATTTTCATTGTTATCATGAAAAGGACAATTTGATTGCACTCTGATCCAATCAGGCATTGACTGGCTCGTACTTTGTTTTGTTCCCAGATTGAGAAACCCGTAACGGAGGGTCTAAGCCATCGTACCCGGGACCAATGGGAGATCGACCGTTCTTCCCTCAAGTTTGTTCGCAAACTAGGACAGGGTCAGTTCGGTGAAGTATGGGAAGGACTGTGGAACAACACCACACCGGTGGCTATCAAGACGCTCAAGCCAGGCACTATGGATCCTAAGGATTTCCTTGCCGAAGCACAAATCATGAAGAAGCTTCGGCATGCCAAATTAATTCAGCTTTATGCTGTCTGCACTATGGAAGAGCCTATATACATAATTACTGAGCTTATGAGAAATGGAAGTCTTCTTGAATTCCTGCAAGGTAGATAGATTGTACAATGTTGTTAATGAACAGATGAGAAAGACACGTGTGAGACTTAATTAATATTCTTTCATCCTCAGGCAAAGGTCGCGGATTGAAGCTGCAACAGCTGATCGACATGTCCGCACAGATTGCAGCTGGCATGGCCTATCTGGAATCACAAAATTATATTCACAGAGATTTAGCAGCAAGAAACGTACTTGTTGCCGATGGCAATGTCGTTAAAATCGCTGATTTCGGCCTAGCAAGGCTCATCAAGGAGGATGAATACGAGGCGCGAGTAGGTGCCCGTTTCCCTATAAAATGGACCGCACCTGAAGCTGCCAATTACAGCAAGTTTAGTATTAAATCAGACGTCTGGTCCTTTGGTATTCTACTCACAGAATTGGTTACATACGGAAGAATTCCATATCCTGGTAAGTTCACTTTTGTATGCTTCTTTAATCTCCAAGATTCTAAACAATGGTGATTTTCTTTTCCTCTCTTTCCAGGTATGACCAATGCTGAAGTTTTGCATCAGGTGGAGCATGGTTATCGTATGCCGTGTCCATCAAACTGCCCAACAGCACTGTACGACATAATGCTAGAATGTTGGAACAAGGATCCGATGAAGAGGCCGACCTTCGAAACACTCCAGTGGAAGCTGGAGGACTTCTTTACCATGGAGGGTTCGGAGTACAAGGAAGCATCTGCGTACTAAACCGTTTTCAAAGGGTCCTGTTGCGTGTCTCTTTCTTATCTCGTTTCTTAATACCGCGTTAAAGCATTCGACGAGGACGTCCTCGCGAATCAAACCAAAGTCGAGATGCTCTGGAGAGTGTCCCGCGTACGGGAGAACTTCAGTGCTGCAATTACGAGTGCCGTGAAAATTATATGCAATTCTTAAGATTTGTGTTCATCGACTTTATCTCGTATGAATTAAGGATCGGTAGGTCAGTGCATGAACAGAATTAAAGAATTACTTGCGATTGACAATTTAATAAGAACCGATCGATAAGAGCACGCTGCCTCCATTTTTGTGTATTAGATAAAAGGTAGACACGGTACTGTTTATTTTTTAACGTCATCATACCATTTTCTTTGTCTATCTATTATTTTCTCTTTATCCTTTACTCTTTGTCTTTGTATTATTTGTTGTTTTTTTTATTCGTTGTTCCATTCTGGCTGCCATACGGGAAATCGCAAGCATTCATCGTGGTCGTAACGGTATCGCTCCGAACTATGATATTTTGATGAATATTCTATCAAACATGATAACGACCACGGTATCTCTGTTTTAGCGTGCAACGCGAAAGTGGAGAGCGGAAGCTTCGATAATGATAAAAGATAGAAGTAATGATTTAATTTAAATAAGTGAGAATATTTTGGGGGATTGTCTCGGAACGAATCGCAAGCTTTGACAATGCTACTCGAATGGGATTTGATTGTCTTGAAGTTTAGTGCTAGTGGTAGCGAGATGGTTCAAAAGTATTAATGTAAGATATTCGGCGTGAAGTCTGCCAGAACTATGTTCGGAAGATTTTTATATCTAACCGCAATTAATTCTATGTACCATTTTGCTATGTCTTCGGGGAGGGACGGACACCGCGAGTTCTCGATTTCGAAATTATGTTTACATTTTGTAACGAACGAGTATACTGCTGTTGTTGCTGCCGTTGCTGTGGCTGTGACTGTTGTTGTTGCTGCCACCGCTACTTATCTTCCAATCATCGATCGCTAAAGTTACGGGTATCTAGATTTTTTTGTGCTAGAGTCAAAAGAAAATATTTCCATTAGCGCAAGATAAATCGGACGACTCTGTCGCTTTTGACAGATGTAGATAAATGTCGCACTGAATTTTTTTTTTTCGATTCTTCTGCGCATCGATCATGTGTTAATTTTTAAATGAATTTGCTTTTGATGTTATATGTGTTACAGGACGTTTCCTTATCATGATATAAAATAGAATCAACAGATGGTCCGTCCAGAACAGCGTACGTGACGATATGGCTCTAGTTTATTTCTGTCCTGGCTTCGAGTTTTCGTGTTCATTTAAATCTCTGACGGTTCGATTCTAGCGACTTCCGGTCTGCGACAACAATTCACACGAAACGTACCAACGAGAGACGTTCGAAATAAATGTATCTAATCTCGAAAAATGAGAAATCTAATCTTAAATGTTCATAAGGAAAATTAGGCGTTATGCGATTTATTAGCTAAGTAAGCCTTAGGACTTTATTCTGAATGTCGATAAGATTAAAGGAACAATTAATAAGAAGAATGCTAATGTTCGCTGTCTCGAATCTTCGGCCGTTGTGCATTTCAAATGAAAGCGTATACTTTTTCAATTAAGCTCTTCATTGATGAAAGTGTTTTGATAACGTATCTATTGGTACGAAGCATTTGGACTTCCGGTCAACAACAATTTATTCCTCAGTACTAATGAATTTGCTTTTTTTTTTATTACTGATTATCAAGCGAATATTCGCCCCGTCGCTACTAACCATCGTTCATTTTACAAAGAAACGTCTTTCACTTTTTTCATTATTTTATCTTTTTTTTTGCTTTATACATACATAATATAGCCTGGAGAAGGGCGTAGCTCAATAAAAGCCCGGAGGATAGTCGAACTTTATTTTTCGTGTTTTCACACCTTAACGATCGTATCTCTGTAGAATATTGTTAACAAAATTGCCAGTCCGCGCATAATACCAACGACTGAGCCAACCTTTATTTTTTAAGATTTTCAAAGTACGCGCCATAACGTCACCTGCAATATTTAGAATTTGACAGTGCGTATGGTCAAGGTCATAGGGTTATATATATATCTTAAATCCCTAAATTCATGCTCAGTTTTCAGGGACCAGATAGACGTCCGTACGTCAAATTTTCAAAATTTCCATCGCAACTTGTCAAATTCTCAGCGAGAAGTCAAAAAGTGAAAGAATCAAATTGCAACAATTATTTGTCCTTCGTAACGTTGCAGAAAATTTTTAATTATATATCTTCCCCCTTTTCGTCGCTTCCTTAACCATTAAGCTCTGTACGGTGCACGTTATGCTTTTTCGAGTCTTGAGTATCGCTGCTTGATTTTGTATTGAACAGAACAATTGCACCCATTTGATGTCAACGCGACGTTTTGGGGACGCGTATTTTTCTTTATTCGCGAAATATAATAAATGTTGTATGTAAACGATTGGCGAAACTCAACGAACATGAATTGCAAGCCCGTTGCGTCGTTGTGGTTAGAGGAGGAATTTCTTTTTCTGGACGAGCGAGTAGCGCGATGTGTATTATTATTAGTATTACTATTATTATTATTATTATTATTATTATTATTATTATTATTATTATTATTATTATTATTATTATTATTATTATTATTATTATTATTATTATTATTATTATTATTATTATTATTATCATCATTATGAAATGGATACTTTCAGAAACACGACGTTTACCGATTACTATTCGATTATTACAATGAAAACACGTCTATGTATACAGTTACGTAACAACATTACACGCTATTGTACTAACTAGAAAATTATATATATATACATACATACATACATATATGCATATGCATGTGCATACACAGAATCGATCATGAACAGTACATATATACGTAAATACAAGAAATATATATACACATATATATATAGCGATTGTATAATTTTATATATATACATATCGAGAGGTATTTCGAAAAATAATATTACTGGCTCTTCAGTCCTTCGATCACCTTACTCCATCTTCACACTGTACAATGCTCTCTTCCTTATCTCTATGACAATTTAAAACCGGCATTAATAACCTTTGTTAATATATATGGTAATTATATTTTGAGCGCTTACAAATTTAAAAAAAAAAAGGAGTCACACAGGCGGTCGTGTTTCATACGCTTCTGCATTATAGATAATTTTTTTTGTTTTTCTCCATTTTCTCCCTCTTGTTATTGTCGTCGTTTATTATTCACTATTACTATTATTATTGTACTAGTAATAAATTACAAGAATTGAATAATTTAGCGCTCCTTCCAAGGAATACAACGTACGCTGTACTTATAATAATTTGTATACGTACGTAAAATATATCTGCAATCACGCACAGAGCGCAGACGCACATTCGAAATGCGCTGATCTTAGCGCGCAAAGCTGGTTTAACGTGGAAAGTGAAAAGTCTCTAGATAAATATCCCTAGGCATCGAAACTTGGCAGGTGTTCGTTTACAGGTGCTCAGTCGGCCAGTGCTGGCCCGTGCGGCGTATTCGTGTGGTCGGGAGTTCGCGCTTCTCGTACGAGATCTCATTGTGAATGCGTTTTATTCGGATATTTGATTTATCTTTTCTCATGGTGAAAAAAAAGGTCTGGAAGTGTTGCGAAGTTTGAATAAAAAGCTCAATGACGATGCTTCGACTGGGTCTGGTATCAAGGAGAATCGGTTGCCAGCAGAACCGCCGATCGTCGACATAAAAATTTACCAGGAGTTGTTCAAGTTGTAACATCGCGCTACCACGGGAGTGAAGGCTTCTCAGGAAATCGTAGCTGGATATTATGCTAATCACAGCGCGGTCAGAATGCGGGAGGAAGAGCTCGAGATATCACTCAAGGTAGACACAATATTACTTATGATTTATTATAGCAATTAAAAGTTCTTCAGGTCCTCCGCGAAGCGTTAGATTATCTTGTACCTTCGCATCGCTTTAATTGTAAAGCGTGTTTTTTGAAATTCTTAGAGTTTCTTAATCTACAAAGCTCCTTTGGTAAGGGGGATTAGTAGGTTCTTAGAATTATCGTTTTTCTTACTCTTGACAGTCTCTATGGCGTGTATACTGTATGCTGTGGCGCCATATACAATTATAACACGGAGGAATATGCAATGTAGTGAAATTTAAATGTCACGAGTTAAATTCTTAAACTGTGCAGGTCAGTGGACGTTTATGATCGATGTGTCGAAGGAGGTCAATGACTATATTATAAAGTCAGGTTCTGGGGCGACCACTTGCATTGGATGATAGATTTTACTTTATATAAGGGTATGATATTATACGCCTGGCTTCTCTCTATATGCTCTTTCTCTTGCTAACTTCATATAGAGCCTTTGGTGTCTACTTCTATTGCGGCTAACGGTACGTACCGGCGTTTTCACAGGTATGTGCAGCAAACACATCCACGCGTTACTTTTACTTGGCTTATTTTACTGGCTCTATTATCGCCGTCACAGTACTGCGATGTATACTCGATACTCTTGCTTGACGTCTACTTTTTGTTTGATTACTCGATGCAGGCTATAGGCAGTCGAGATTCTTCGTCATGAGAAACTTCAAGTAATAAGATTATTCTTACTCGGAACAGTGAAGTACTTCGCGTTTCTTGTAGATTCTTGATTTTATGTATACGTATGTTTGTGGGTATGTATAGACGGTTACTCAGGCTATTGCACCACCTGAACATGGTTCTGCCCATTTGATATCTATTAATTCCCATGGTAGAACCATCTACAGGTGATGCAATAATCCTTAATTACTCGTATGTATACACTTGAGAGCGTCTAGATCCCGGAATAAGTAGTGTTTATTAGGCATTTAAGTAAAATTGTTTTTTTAATTGTTTTTATACACGAAAAAATATAGGTAACTTATTTGGATATGCATATAGCAATTAATTCGGCGTGTTATCAATTCATAATGTATATTTTGAAAGTTTTCGTTGGCTCGGGTTTTTTTCTTAATTGTGACATATATATATCCATAATCCATATACATAGGATATAAGTATCGAATCTGTCTGGGGCGCGACACACTTTAACGTTGTGACAATTTTGACGAAGCGATTAATTAAGTATAAGATCAGTGATTTTAAAAGGCAAAAACACGTTTATGCAAATTCGTTATGATGATATGGAACGCGAACGGTCATTTCGTATAATTTCTCGTGCGGCTTTTTTTTTTTCACGACGAACATTCGGAATGGTTAAAATATCATTGACGCGAAGTTGGCCATGAAAAAAAGGATAACACTACGACAGGTAGATCCTGCCTATTGGCTATATAAATGATGGCCGTCAATTTCAGAAGAATAATATTCAGATAATATTCGATCGCCAACCCATGCATTGATGTATGAATTCAACTGGGGACACCCTATATATATATATATTCGCAAAGCTCGAATAAGTTCGTCGCTAATGTTTTTCAACGGAAATGATATAACGAACTATTTAACGACGGTCTATCGAATCGATCCGCTATCGATGAAGCCTTTCGAAACGAAAGTTGGAAGTACGTTTTTTCCATTGGGGATGTAGTATATTATTGATTAGCCATGACATGTGCGATAACGTGGTAAGACATTTTTTTAGGTTAGTCACGTAACTCTATAGATATAACAGTACCCCTATGTTGTTTTTTCATTTAATATGAATTTTTTCAAATAATTCTTGTTTGCACGTAGCTCGCTTCTTCTGATGTCACAACGTTTAATGACAGTGACGCAGACCTTTGACTTTTGTATGTAAATGTAAATATATATGGAATTTAAAGAAGGAATGGTGACTGGGCGCGTGCGAGATTCTCTTGGATCGTTTCCTGATTCGAAGGACCGGTTTTTGTAAGGCGCGCGCGGACTTGCAACCTTTCTTGAGGTAACCCACTTCGTACGGCAAGTGCACCGTTATCTCTTCGATTCGATGGGATAATTTAAAGTAAGGTACCGCGGCCGAGATCCCATACCCATTCGAAATTTATCTGTGACACACGCGATACCTTGGTACCGCAAATCGGAGCCACGTTGAGACACAGTAGGAATTATAAGCCGTTAACAAGTTTACGACACTGCTAGTCATGTATAAAAAAAAAAATTTGATTTCGTATATGATATATATACATATATATAGATACAGTTAAAAATTGCACTGCGAATCCCATCAGCTGTATATAATAATTTCGAACGATAGATACGTCCGTAACGTTGTTGCAGGTAAATACATTTTAATTGACCATAAATTTTTTTGTACAGCTGTCACTTTGTATAATTTACACCGTTTAAGAGGGGGATATGGGGCTTTTGATGAATTTAACGTAACTAAAAGTATTCTTCGTGGTACGCGTGGCCCAACGTACGTTATAATTTGTTCCTTGGTCGTTTTTAACCGTGAATTTAGAAAGTCGTGCACAACGATCAGAAGTCTAGTAATTGGGCAGCTGGTTTGTCTTGGTGTAACACGGCTTGGAACCAGTTCCTCGTGTGATTATGTTTAATAGGACGGGAACGTTACTGCTACGCAATGAGGTCGGTAGGCAAACTTGTCAAAAATTGACAAGTTTATTTTTCGATCCCGATTGGATATTTTTATTTTTTATTTTTTTCTGCATTGACTTTTACTTCCAACTTCGTCGACTCGTCGTCATACCTTTTAATTTTGTACTCGTGTATTTTCTCAGGTGGTGATAGTCGGCAATGGGGCTGTAGGCAAGTCCTCCATGATTCAACGATTCTGCAAGGGTACCTACACGAGGGACTACAAGAAGACGATCGGCGTGGACTTTCTGGAACGACAGATCGAGTGCGTTTCCACTTATAATTAGTACGCGTCTTCGCACGTGCTTACTTGTCCGTTGGTTTTTCTTGAAAATTGTACAAAGGCAAAAACGCTGCTCATAGAATTCCCAGCTTGATAGGCCAGTGCCAAATACGGTATGGAATTTTCGTACGGCGATAGAGTATGAAAATTTGTGTCTGTCAGACAAATTATTCATTAGTTTCTCTTTAAGACTTTTTTTCCATACCTTTTTTTTTCCTTATTATTCGTCAGAGCCAAACGAGGTTAAAAAAGATCAGCAACAAGGCACATACGGATGCTCGTACTTTCCACCGAGTATCTGGTAGAGAACTCTAACTGGAAATCTAGGTATAGAATTACGGATACGGATTTGCATAGCTGCTCTTTTGTTCCTCGTAACGTCGGGCGCAGGCTTCGCGGCTCTCCCGACATGAGAAAAACCTTGCGCACTGTTGACTACGCTAACGAATCGTGAGAATTTCCACGTGAACTTGTCTCGCGGACTGTGCGAAACTGCGCTGGTTACTCTGCTCGTGGAAAATTCGTGTCAAACAGTAAATTGCACGTCTGTCTCGTTATATCCTACCCGTTAAGGTAGTAAACAAAGTAAAAAGTCGAGCAAAGCGGATTGCCAGTAACATGAGAAAAAAAAGCCTAATCGCGCGCGACAAGTTTTGAAGCAATTTATTGGCATACTTAATTGTCAATAAATTCATAAACAACTTATCGCTGGCAATGTAGATTTTATCACGGATAGACTTTTTCTTATACGTTAATTGGTACTGGTGATAAAATAGTAATTTTTTTTTTTCCTTCGCAGAGTCGATGCCGAAGACGTACGACTGATGCTGTGGGACACTGCAGGCCAGGAAGAGTTCGATGCAATTACTGCTGCCTACTACAGGGGTGCTCACGCTTGCGTGCTCGCATACTCAGCCACGGACAGAGACTCCTTCGACGCTATTCCCTCGTGGAAGTTGAAGGTACGGACCACCCCGATACTCCTCTACGGAAATAGTAAAGTTGGCATACCCCCATGGAACGTTGGATGAAAAAACTGGAACTACTCCAACTGGAGTCCAGGGTCACTCTTCTTATGGTATACCTAAATGCCATTCATCGCACGACTTGGACTCTTGCAAAGAACTTGACTCCAGCATCATCCTCCGCGGCCTTCCTTACTTCGAGATGAAATTGCCCGTCGATCCTTTCCAAGCTTTAAATCTACTGTCTGGCGTCGAGTAACTCCTTCTGAGGAAACTGGTGAAGCTTCGCTGTACGTACAGTGTGAAGCCAGTCGAGACTAATACTAAAGGATAGATAGACCTAGTGTTATCTTTGCATCGTATTTTATGGCGCATCGCATGTAACGACTTTCTACAGCTTAACACTGTAAGGTATGGTAGGTGCCAGGAACGTGTAGAACCTGTGATTATTCGATGACGCGTACGTGCTTATGTGATACGTCATCCTTACTGTTTAATGATTAGTCAAATTTTGGACTGTTGTGTCGGAGATATATTGTGGCGAGATATTTTATATGTGTATACCTTGGAATATGCATATCCATAGACGTGCGAAAGGATCGATTGTGCTTGTTATGCGAAATTTTTTAATATACATTTACTACTGGATTTTTTGGGGGTCATGAATAAGTCAATGGTAAACCGTGCTTGTTGGTAAAGATGATGTCAGTGATAAGTGAAGGGAAGAAAAAATGTATAATTGACTTTTACAATAGTTTGCGTCCCGTTTTATTGGACTTTATGGTTTATACCTACTGCCTGTAATGCTTTTCTTATGCTAGCTCTTAACTGACTCATGTGACTTTTTTTTTTCTACAGGTGGAAAATGAGTGTGGAGAAATTCCTACGGTGCTGGTACAGAACAAGATGGATCTGATCGATCAGTGCGTCATAGACCCGTGAGTGTTCTACGTCTTCAAGTTTTAAGCTAGGACAAGTGATGGATATACTTTTGTTAAGGTGGATACTTGTTGTCAATGGAGACTATGTAGGGTTGATTCAGTGTGAAGTGTCAGCTGATTGTAATTTAATGTAGACCACGTGCTTGTCAATTTCTGCTTATTGAGTCCGTAGACGAATAATAAGGTATCTCTGTTATATTTTATTTAGCGAAGAAGCCGAGCGACTTGGCAGAGCCCTGGGATGTAAACTGCTGCGAACCTCTGTGAAGGAGGACGTCGGCGTCGTAGGCGTCTTCAGGCACCTGGCATCGAGATGCCTTCACGAGATGCGTCGCTGCGAGGACGACTTTCAGGACGACTTGAGACTCTATTCAGCTGGACCGAGGTCGCCCTCTGTAATAAGTCAGTGTTTGAATATTTTTTTTATTTTCCTTCCTCTATGCTTTCATACTTTCACGCATTCCACAGATTAATGTTATCGAACGATATATCGATAGGCACTTGGTCGATGGCTCGATCCTTTGTCGAGTTAAAGAATAACTGCACGACTTCACACGACCAGTCTCAATAGTTTACATCGCGTGCATTTGGTGGTGGATGTATCCTGCATAGAAGGATAAACCTGGGAATATGTTATCACGCACGAATCTTCCTTGCGCAGGAAAACATTCGACTCTGCAATCAATGGAGGATCGATAAATCCTATTTGATATTCAATGTAACGGCCAAGCCTTGTGGTTAAATCTGAAAATTTATTAATCATTGCCCACTTGGCCCGTAGACAGCAATTAATTTAAAGCGTGACTTCAGTATACTGGATCATTTTATAATTTTTATATATTTTATTCTGCGCGTTACGTAAGAGGACGCTACGTTTGTCAATGTGACGGGGGCAACATTTTTTGTGACACCGACCAACGGCGTGAACGTGCACATATAATTTTGGCAATTTATGAAGTTTGCCAAGGACTTGAAAAAAATATATAATGATACTCATTTCAGGATGTACGTATGAGGGAATCCTGGATGACGTTTTTTATTGGCCATGGAAATTATCATCTTCCATAATTTCATTATCTATAAGCCCGTCGGCCGTCGGTATTATCTCTATGATTATCATGATCAATAAGTAATTTGCCTATATTCTCTAGTTTCGTTGTCAAATTCAAAGTTAGGACACGATACAAATTCCAAGTAAGCATGAACCATTGAAAAAAAGTCCAATTCATATAGCAGAGTATCAATTGAACGGAAAACTTGTAAGCCAACTTGTAAAGCGTATGATAAAAGTACCAAGCGTAACAGGTGACCTGGATAACAGAGGTAGAAACTATAAAAATAAATGTCATCGTCCAACAAAACTATAAGTGTAGCCGTAACGTAGGGTCGTTGTATTTATAGAAAATAATTTACTAAATTACCCCTCCGCGCCATCGGTACACGTAATATCCATTCCAGGATATAATGGAGTCTTAATCGTTATCTCTAACCTCATCCAGCATACCTCGTGCATCTTCCTGGCTATATACACGCACCAGGTTGACCTCAGTGGTAGCAGCAATTTCACAGACTTGCGATCAACGCACTAGCTATCTCAACTTGGCCTGTAATCACCTATATCCCGGGCACGCGATCCTGAGTAACAACCTCGCGAACCCTTAGCCAGGGCCATTCGCGCCACGAACTAAAAAATAATTACTTTTCCAAGATTCCAAAATGACCGGTCCGAACGTCACGCGATAAATCCACGTCCGAAATAGTTCGCTAACCACTTGCCAAATATAGTATACATCGTATATATTAACCTCAAAGAACCTGCCGATTCGTTCAGTCATCGTTTGCGGCTACCTGGTGTGATCGATACTTCTACGGATGTAGCTATGGTCACGCAACTATTCTAACCTCCATAACGTACTAGTCACTTCGTATATCTATCTAGACAAACGAATAAGGGCTATCCCGGTGTTATTTTAGGATGGCATTGATGAAGCACTAACCTCAAAATACTAGTCGATTTGACATACACGATCCAGATCTAGGCCATGGAGATCTAGATAATCTGTATATATGTATACAATACTTGCAGTCGATGGTTATAATCTGCGAGAGCAGAATGACAATATAGATACATGCGAATTGCGGACATATGGATACGTAGACTCTGGTGTACGCAGAGTGAAGAATTACCTTTCTGGTAACGCTATTTTCCTAGAGCACGTTAACGCACTTTACTGTGGAATTTGCCGATCGTCTTATAAGACTTTTCCTTCTTGTACGGTATGCGCGTACGCGACTATACAGTGGCTATACAGTATGTGTATATTATGTGTACAGGGTGTGCAGTACGTAGCGTATGAACGCGATGGACCGGTAATACCGGGTAAGGTTAGGTGTCGATTACTAGACACCATGGGTTTCTAGTATATGCATATAATGCCTGTGCATTATACATTGGCCAGACAGAAAAATCATTTAATGCTTCCGTTCCTGGTTTTACGTTGTATACGAGCAGTTAGTGATACATTGGTATGAGAAATGGAGATTTTATTTTTGTATTTTGGCGTCGAGAGAAACGCGAAGAATTTATAATGACAGTGCAAGGACATTGGTCGTGGATTTAAAATGATTTCATTAAGATGTCTCGCCGGATGTCTATACTGGGTAGTGGGTTGCGTTACTACTTACTGCCTGCATGGGAAAGGTTTGTCTAATGAGCTGGCAGTGTACAATTATAAGGGAAATTAAACAAGATATTCCCAGGAGTAGTTTTAATTGAGGGGGAACGCCAAGAATCGTTTATTGATGCTTTTTGTGCGTATAGAAAATATTGGGAAGCGACGACCTGCTAAGGTTTGTTTCTTGTTACTTCGCAGGTGCCTTCAGTCCGAATGGTTCAACGGGTGGACGCAGTGCCGGAAATGGTACGATCGTCCTGCGACCTGGTGGGAAAACGACGCGGCATCACAAGAAAAAGAATTTTGTCAAGAACGCCTGCAGGCTTCTCTAATGTACCTCAATCTTCTTCGCCTGAAAAGAAAAAGTGTGTTCTTTGATAGACGGGAATCAAAAGTCAGCAAGAACTTTCGCGATAATCAAATACAATATTGCTGTGACGACGGCGCCACTGACCAATGGAAAAGGAAGACGGGAATAAGAAAGAATAAAGAGGGAGGCTTTCGCGTATAAGGATTATTGTAATTTTCGTGGACGCTTTTTGTTACTTTTCAAAATCAAAAAATAGCTCTTACTGTCCAATGGAGTATTGTCGACGAAAGGACAAGGAGAATACTTTAATGCGATAGCCTCCACAAGAAAGAGAGTACCTTTGCTAGCATAAGAAGCCAATTTGTAAATATGTATTTTATCAACGTACGTAGCTATTATCATTGAAGGAGTGACTAACCGGTTTTTTTATTGATTTTTTATATTGGCACAACGCGACTAGTGACTCCAGGCCCGATAGGAGGATTCACACGGTAATATCATATTTCGTGCCGTTATCCAAACCTCTCCTACTTGTGTAGGCGAGATATACGTACAGGCACGTTCGCAATGCTGTACCGTCGCCCACGTTTGCAGAAGATGCTGCAGTCGCAGTCATCCGAAGGATGCACGTTTGTCGTCGCGTGAATAATTTGTCTCAATGCGCTGATCGACAAGGTACAATAACATTATACGTAGGTGAATGTGAGAGCGCAGTAATTAACCAAATATAAATAAATCCTTAAGAATGAATCACTGAAACAATTATGGATCGTTATATTTTATTATTTTAATAGTCTTGACATCAAGGACCAAGGCGCGCCTAATAAGTCTGTAATTTAATCCTTTGCGATACTCCAAGCGTATCCAATGTGAAACTCCTTTCTCTTTTTTTTTCTCAACTTTTATACAGTCTGCGATTTATAGCGGTTTTCCGGGAGCTCCTGTAAAATATAAGATAATACTTTTCAAGTATTTATTACACAGTTGTGAGGTTTTAACGATATATATATATATATATATATATATATATATATAGTGAATGTATTGTCAAATGGCCTTCACCTTTAGCAAGGTCTTCTGGGTAAGGGCCGATGACCGACTGGATACCGTCAAGCACATCTCTCTCTGGCATCTGTGTAATGATCAGACGGTGCAGGAGAGGCCTTCCGCTATGAATTCTAATTTTTTATTACCTGTCACAAACGTAAATATGCAAACGATATTCCAAAAGAAGAGATGCTCGTCCATGCGAGAACTTCATTAGTCAATAACTTCTGCGGTGTGGCTTTACAAAATATTCGAGTGAAACGATACTTCATTTAATGAGTCAAATCTGGTCTCAGACAAAATCTTACCAATTTGTTCTCCTAATATCTTAATATTCAATCATTCTTTTGTCAAGGACAGTGTATCGACTTTGTTGCATAACTTTAACTTAGCACAATGTAAGGAGGTTACTGTCGAGCTGCTCCTATTACTGGCTACATTGGTCAAGTCTTCTAATATTAAAGTTTATTGATCCGTCTTCCGACTACAGCAAACCATTCTTTGGAATACTGGCACCCTGTCCGCGATATTGTTTGTATTTTTAGCCATTACGTTTTATCATTTAATGCGATTACCGCACAGTTCCGGTGAGAATTAATCGATATTTTATACCACGTGTTTCAGAGTACCAGTGGCATGTTGGCATATTCATAAAATGAATTATTGACGAAGGATACGAGAAATAGATGAGGGAACATGCGGAATTTATTTCTATACGATTAAGTAGATTTGAATTCGCTTTTGTTTTAGGATAAAATTCTTTGGGATTTGATTTATCGAAAAGAATAGATGGACTTTTTGGAATCTGAGTGTTTATTATCACAGAAATGACAATAGACATGTATTTTACATTGTTTTGTACATCGCAGATTAACCTGGACGAGATACATCTAAACACGTTTTTTTTACTATCTGCCGTATACGGCCTAGCAAAGTATTGTGGCTTGCACAAAATAAAATTATTTTTGAAATTATATATTTGAAAATGCACTGGGCAAATTTACAGGTTTAAAATAATAATGTGCTTTAATTAGTTGTAACGCTACTTTGGTCAGTAAAACTTAATATTTTAGACACGAATAACGCATAAATTTTATTAATTTAATTATATTTCGAAATCACGGCCATTTATTTTTCTTATTCTTAAAAAAGAAAACGAGAGTCTTAATAATGTTTATAAGAACATTCATGCAGTTGGAAGAGGATAATATTGAGGATAACGAACCATCATACAATAATGTTAATTGTAATTGGAGAAACAAGGGACGCTCCTATCTGACAATATGAAAATTGAACATAATCTTATTTTATTTACAATGTAGCAAAACTACTTATTCTGGAATTCATATGTCGTGAAAAGAGTAAGAAAGAAAAAGATTTAAAAATTAAACGCTCAACGTTGAATGTTATTAAAGGAACGTTACTAAGAGAAGTTAGTATAGGAGGAAAGTGTGAAAAGGAACTACTCCATTACCAAACTTCAGATATCCTAGAAGTATTTTTTTTTCTCATGATAAGCATCCCTATTATCCTTCTTCTTCGCCATGATAAACTTCTATCTGCATTATCTGAATAACCAGCAGGACGTATTTATCAATTTAAGCAGTAATATTTCCAAATAGCGTACGTTTAGCAAAAACTATCTATACAAACATACATGAATTTTCATCATTTAGTATTAGGTACATAGCGCGAGTGCATGCTTTGAGTAGTCCGATCAAAAGTGCAATTTGAGCGCTAGATTTCGCTTTTGTTCAAAGGAATCTCGATGACTAAGTCACGTCTGCTGCGAGGAATGCTGCATATTTCCATTTCTTTTGTTTCCCTCTCTTTTTTAATCCCCCTTTTGTCTTTGAATCTTTTATGTAAAGTTTCTATGGAATATATCCTGACCCCTGTCCTGTATTCTTTGCATGGATTATACAGCGTGGCTGTATCGTGGAATCTATACAACGAATTACATGTGTGTTGCAATGGAAGGGCTGCTATCTGGTTTCCATCTTCATAATCATGTAGCTATTGTTTGCTCTCACTGCATCTCTATGGTGTGCATTTTATCAATGTAGTCTAGAAGACCCTGCAACCTTTTCTTCACGCGCTTTTGATCGTCCAACGTACAGCCAAGGATGGCCATTTCAAAGTTTTTGTCTGAACTTCCAGTAGTATGTGATGAGCAAGCATTCATAAATGCTGCACATCGCTGCCGTGTACTAAATGGATCATTACGTAGGCCAACAACTAAACTATCGATAAGACCATTCACCTACAATAGAAAAAATTAGTTATACATTGGTATCAACCAGTATTCTTTTTAGGTAAAATTTATAGTTTTATTCCAATACCCACCTGATGCAATGCTTCCTGCTGAACATGATCACGTTGAATTTTAACAAGAACTTCAACTGTTAAGCAGCGCATTGATAGTCTTTCCACGTATCTCAGTACATCATCTTTGTCGCCTAAAAATATGGTAATTATAGATTTTACATTCAAAACTAAAAAATTAATCAAAGATTCCACTATTAACAAATTTTTAAATATATATTGTAATACAAATAATTATCACTAGAACCTATATGAACAAACAGGAAAGGAAGTTTTCCCAAAATCAGGCAATCAACAAAAAGTTCCAATTTCTTTTTAAATTACTCGCAGATCGTGATCACTTATCAACGGAGTTTTAGAAATACCAGATTGTTTGAGAAATATTGAACAAAGTCAAAGCGGAAGTATAGAAATTACTCGTACACGAGAGCTCAAATTAAAATTATGGAGTAACTTCTATAGTCTTCCGGCCGACGATGAAGATATTTCTAGAAAATCCGAGAGATAGACGTGATGTGTAGAAGTTAAAAATAAAAATATTTGAATCCATAAAACAAAAATACTTACCATCATCAAGAGAACAAAGATGATCGTTGTTACGAAGAGTATCCAAAGTAGTAAGAAGAGTGTCTTTCTCTTCCTCAAGTCGCAATGCACTTTTCCTCAGCTGTTCGACATGGATTTCGATTGAGTCAAGAATTTTGACTAACCTATCTTTTGGTTTTGTAGAGAATTCACTATCGGAGCTTTCCACAATATGCGGCAATGGGCTCTCCATTTCAAATTAGCGAAATAGACCACCAGTAGAATACGTAGGTTCTATCTTCGTTAATAATGAAATAGAATTTTGCACAGTTTCAATTTATACGTCGTTATCTGGCCACGTACGTTTCAATCGTGGTTATTTCTTGTTACATTGCGTTACTTCCCTTATGATTTGCGTGTTTCTTTTTTTCCTTAGAGGCTTGAAGCTAAAAAAAATGATATTCGGACACAGCACCTCTCGCTAGCCGACACACTACTGCAATTACGTGAATGTCAGGTACACCGTTAAATAAGTTGGGAGTAGATAGTGTCTCCATCTATCCGAAATCAGGTACTACAGAATTCGAGAAGATGCTCGATAAATCTCAGGCATGAAATAATATTAAAGAAGAGTCTCGTATCTAGCAGAGTTCGGCGGTAAAGTAAAAAGGGATCATAGCGCTGCGGAGTATGTGCGCTTCGAGACGTTATGTTTTAGTTTTACATGGCAATTTACAATCTATGTAAAGCATGAAAGAGGGCTGTGCGCTTTCATGCAATTGCTGTAAAAGACATCGCGAGAAGTGAGGTTAGGCGACACTATCCCTTTGAGTCGCATAACCAAATGCTGTACAAAAGCTGTCTCGTTACGACAAACTACGTCAGCTGATAGGAACGGAAAAATAAATAAGAGAAAGATCGTTTCGGTGCTGAGCTACGCGGAAGAGAATCATCGCCATGGCGGAATTCGCGTTGGGCGAGCTCAGCGGCGAACAAACTGAAAAAGTTCTTCAGTTTCAGGTAACTATAATAATACTAGCAACAACAACAACACAACCAACAATATTACCGGAAATCAAGTGGATTACGACAATGACATTTGTTTTTTGGAGCAACATTAGAATTCTCTTTCAGAACGGTTCTTTTAATTTGTCCTTGGCACCTTTTGTTGACTTCAGGGACATGATTGGAATATTAACTGATAATTATGTCAAATATTGCATACTTTTAATTGATAATATTCCTCAATTAGGTTTAGCTTAGAATATTGTGAAGCAATAATCAAAATTGTATTTAACAAAACATTGTAGTTTCAACAACATTTGATTGTATAAAATGTTGATTCATTCTGTATTAAAATATATTTGTATTTTAAGGACTATTTTATTGTAGGATCTAACTGGGATCGAGGATCTTTCCATATGTCGTGATGTATTACAAAGACACGATTGGAATTTGGAAATTGCTGTGCAGGTACATGTGTCTTACGACAGCCCATGTCTGAAAGTATTTGAATTGCATAAATAATTGAATGAACTACAATTTCATCATTTTAGGAACGATTAAATCTTTATGAAGGCAGACCATCGATGTACGCCCAGGATTCAAGATCGCGACCACCACCAGTTGTCGATGACACTGGTTCTCGAATTTACTTTAGTCCAGCTGGAAGCTCTGGTGGTGCTGCTGGTGGTTTATTATCCTATGTTTTTTCAATGTGCTACCATTTGGTCAGTGGTATTTTACAACTCGTATTGGCCATATTTAGATCAAACGTTCGACCTGGTAAGAGTCATGATCCAAATAACATTGCTTTTCACTTGAATCAAACATAATTTATTATTTATTTCAGTATCATCCGATCCAGTTCAAGATGTCATGAACTTTATACGCTCCTATGAGGAACGGTATGGCACTAGTCATCCAGTTTTCTATCAAGGATCATACAGTCAAGCTCTCTCAGATGCTAAACAAGAACTTAGATTTTTACTTGTTTACTTGCACAAAGACGAAGCTCAAGATATTGAGCAGTGGTGCAGGTATATATATTGATATGAATATATTCAGTAATACCGGTTCAGATTGTTTGTGTTAATTTAATTTCTTTAATTTTATGCAGAAATACTTTGGCTGATCCCGAAGTTATTCGTTACGTTAACACGCATACGCTTTTTTGGGCGTGTAACGTTCAGTCCGGTGAAGGCTACAAAGTTGCAGAAGCACTGCGGTCTGGAAGTTATCCATTTCTGGCTCTTATTGTTCTAAGGGACAATCGTATGACGATAGTCGGCCGGTCAGTATAAGAAAATTATCTTTGACTGACTGAAACGATTGAATTTTTCTTTTTTAATCTTTCAGTATGGAAGGTATTCCGTCACCAACAGAACTCATTTCCCGACTGCGCACTTTCATTGATAACAACGAAATTAGCCTGATTCAGGCACGACAAGATAGGGCTGAACGTAGCGCAGCGCAATCATTGCGGCAACAACAAGATCAAGCGTACGAGGAGTCATTGAAAGCGGATCAGGAAAAGGATCGAAAGAGAGAGGAGGAACGAAGGGCGCGTGAGGAACAGGAAGCTAAGGAACGCGAGGTTATCAATGCACAGGAAAGGGAAATTGAACGAATCCGCGTGGAGAAAGAACTTACCATTCGAAAGGTTCCTTCAGAACCTGAACCGTCGAATCCCAGTGCGTGTCATCTGCTAATTAAATTAGGTGAACGGACGGTCAAGCGAAGGTTTCTTCTTACCAATACTATTGAGGTAAGAATAATTAGTATTAACACTAAATTATCTGTTAGATAAGACGAGAAATATAATGTATATGCTTAAAGCTTCATAATGTATCATTCATTGCCGTCGTTAGGTAATTCTATATACGCATACGTTTTTAGAATGATCAGCTCAGGAGATGCAGGAAGTTTTTCATGTTACAAGAAATGGGATTCAACTCCGTTTAAATTCATTAAGTATTTTAAATCCTAAATTGTACTGATTCAGATCTCTTATAATTTTAGGATGTATACCACTGGATATTTAGCCAACCGGACTCACCGACCAACTTTGAAATCACCACTAGCTATCCGAAAAGGGTTCTTTACCCAATAGACGAGATCCAGACACTATTGCAAGCCGGCCTGACATACCGGGAGGTCCTCCACGTTAATGATTTGGATGACTAACTCGTCGCTGCCCACAGTTCGCGTGTCATTCCCAATAGCGATGATACCGTCAAAAGAGACATTTATTCAAAGATAATAATATATATTTGATACATTCTAGTATTTTACGTGCGGCACATAGCCGGCAACTGAAAGAATTCGCTCTAGGAGTGAGAATTCATCGGAACCGGCGACTTTACACAGTCTTTCTTCACTCGGAATTTATTTGCTTTTTGCCTTTTCATAAAAATTCCTATTATATTAACGGTAGAACACGAAGACTAATAGTTAGGCTCATGATCAATATCATCGTTTGATTACACCGAGTAGGTTGCCAGTTAATTATATAATTCATATCGTTCCTCAGAGAGAAGAGCAAATGTATAATTAAGGTATAATGCTGGAAATCCATGAAATGTATTCCATGTTAAAACAGTTAGATTGCTATGATAAAACGTATTTCGTAAAATTACGTACAGATACTTGATGAAAAATGACAGGGCATATACAAAAGTCATTGTAACGTTTCTTTTTCGATGGAATGATTTTGCAGTTAAAAAAATTGTTTTATTGCGCTTAATTACTTATATTACTCTAAAGTACAATGAATTTGTGGGGATATATATGTATATATATTCCCTAGAAGACAGTCCTAAGGCGTATCTAAATTCCTAAGCATGCACCTGATACACTTAATAACAAATATGTCCGCAGATAACATTAAAATAAAGATGTTCTGCGTGATTATTGTGAAATTCATTATTTGGCTGTAGTATATCATCGATTACACAATACCAGCCAACATTTAAGAATTACACTGATGAGCACCTCGTGTTCTAACGTTAAACATTATTAAAATCTGCACATATTTAGGATGATAAAAAAATGGAACGCGAAACGTTCTGGACAGAGTATAATGGACCAGTAATATCGCGAATATTAAAATTATTTATGTAAGAATTCTGTGTAATCGACATTATCGTCTGACGTCAGAGTATTTACGTTAAATTTTTGCAATATGGAATTTACGTCAGACTGAAAAAAATGATTATGAAACTATTTAGTTCAATTCTTAGTAAATCATAAAAGTTTAATATATCCATCCAATTTGTTGTCTGGGTCATCTAAATAGATACCGCTGTTTTTATTTTTATTTTGTACTCGTAATAGCACTTCAAATTACTTTTACCGGAAGTCTGTTCCGTAGGTCGTCGGTTTCGCAATATTCGCGAAATAATGCGGCAGCGCGTCTCGGATGCAATCTTTAGCATTTATATGTATAAATCTTAAGACGTAGCCATAACGCTAATGTTACGTGAATGAGGTTGAGGCAAGTCGAATATTATGAAAATCATGATTTTCAAAATTAATATTTATCCGTTTTGAGATTTCTCAATATTTCAACGTTAAGAATTATATTGAGTATCGTCTCTGCTATTACCGAAGTAAGATGAGTAACTGAAGGAATCTTAATATAGACCCATTTAACCATTTATATTTCGTTAAAAAAAACTTTTAATGAAGAACTTGCCCTGCCATCATTCTTGGAAGTCGTCTCCTTCCACTTTTCTCCTGAAAATTTTTCTTAATTTGCTGTATATGTATATACACATCTGGACGCACGGCGTGTAATTTACTTTACCCGTGTGTCGAAATAAGTAGATTATCTTTTTGGCGTTTCGCGATAACATACCATCTAATACGTTGTATTAAATACTTGGGAAATCGAATTTGTACGTTTAAAGATGCTGTACATCAATAAATCCCGTGTCACTCGATATACAAGTTTTTCATGCGCTTGTACTGCGCACAATGAAACTAGCGAATTAATTGCTTTCAATTATATACGGTTTGGCTTTTCTTACCAATGATCGAAGACTGCTCTTTCGCTGATTGGACTATAGATACAATTTAAGTAATGAACATCGCCAAGAATCAAAACAATATACTACATTGAAGAAGGCACGACTGTGACTTGTTAATAACGCGTTATACATATTGATGAGCTTTTGTCAATTATCAACGAAAGACCGCAAGCCATATGCAATTGCATCAAGCTTACTTTTAAACAGATCAATATGTTTCTCTATCTGACGGTCTTATTCGTTATATTGATCATTATTTTTGCAAGGTCTTACTCCCGGATCTCGTAAGTGTATTTTAGATATTTTCAATCTTAAAATTGATTTTATCGTGTGTGACAATGCGATCCGAGCGTTCATGTTGCGAGGTCGTCAAAAATTTTTAGGCATTACATAATAAAATTTTAATATAATTTTTTTAGAAATCGAGATAATGCAGGACCTGGACTGCACTTGCCGAGAGTACAACTTGTCGCCAGGACAACCACATCAAGGAGGCTTTCCGAAGGGAATGTGATACAGGATGGTAAACATGTGAAAGAGGTATCTTCAGTGGAAAACAATATAACTAAAAAGATAAATGATGCTGGGAAGGATATCGATAAAGGTATTCTGTTGCTTGAATGTACTACCGAGGATGAGGATGACAAGTTTGTTGCAGCAGAAGGTAAACAATTGTTTAAGATCGCGGAAATTTGATACGGATTTATTACTTTGTTCTTTATTGCAGATTCTGATGTTTCAATACAGCAAGCGGTTGCGAATAAGACCTCTTCAAAGGATAAGGATAATCAAGAACATATTTTGGAGGCTCTACAATACTTTGGGCAAAAGAGTCCAGGAATTCCTCAGCCAAAACCTAACACCACTAATATATACAATTTGATTTTACAAGAAACCTTAAAGGAGTGTAGTAGTACGACGAAGGATAATATCTCCAGCATCAACAAGAATAAGATAGAAGTTGAGAAACCAAAGAGACCAATCAAGAAAGAGAATTCAGAAGGAAAGGCAGATTTCAATAGTTTGCAAACCATACTGGATATAGTAATTCGCGAAGATAGTTCAAAAAACATCGACTGAAATCCACAATGTAAACGTAATAAAAACCCTGGAGCCTTTCTGAAATATTTTTTCACTCGAAATTCAATAATAATTACCGCGTAATTTTATATTTATCCAATACATTACAAAGACAACTTTTATCATACGCTTTTTTAATGTCAAAATTTAGATTTATGGACAGCGTTAGTGTCGTTTGCTGTTTATAACAGTATTAAACTGTATCTGGGGTACTTGTCGGGTCGAATGATCTCACCGATGATCGGCCGTGTGGTATCACAGTGGTATAGTGTGTTGTACGGTATTGTATGGTGAAGTGTGTTGTTGCAGAGGGCAGCAGCAGTAGCGTGGCCTCCATAGCCGAGGCGAGGCCTTCAGTGCGAAGTGGAGGCCAGTGCGGTTTTCGTCCGATCAAGAAATGTCTGTCTATAGATCGGTCGTGCGCTCAAAAACGCACCACCCTTGTATAATTGCGCGTAAACCGGCGCTGAGTCCGAATCACTAGGAAGCTACGATCAACCGGCCTCCAAGCGTGACCTAAACGTGTTCCTTCCGTGCTTCCTAGGCTGCATCGAAACCGGCCGCGAGCCACAGATGGTCGCCTCGCGATCGCCGACCACTGTATTTATAGGCGACCAGTTTATTTTTACGTTCGACTTAGCCATGCCCGGCCCCTGAAGGATTTTCACGTCCTCGCGTAAGTTATCTATATAGTCCCTGATTACGATAAAACATTGAAAACCATCCTCCAGCCGAGATTACGCCTAACATTATGCGTGGGTGTGAGACGTGAAATTGGAAGGTTTACGAATAATCTTTTCCTTATTTCTCATCCTTTCGAGGCTTTCTCTATACCTCTTATTATGTTGCTTAAGCGGTATTACATTGCGATTGTCTAGTACTTTGGACTCAGCTCTTCCAGCGGGTGATACTTCTATTTTTGGCAAGTTATCCCCCATTCGAGAAGAATATTCAGCTACGGTAATGCTAATGTCATGACAAATCTATGACGAGTCCCACGATGACTCGGTTGAAGGTTAGGTTCGCAAATATTCCGGAGTGCCGGATAAGAAGTACAGTGATTCATTATTCCGATGGAATTATACGGACGATACTAAGGATTTTCGAATTGAGACGATAACTTAATTCATATTCGTGGCATTTCAAATGGAAGTTGGATGATTTTCAAACGTTTTGGGAGCGACATTTATTTTTGCATATACTTCGTTATGATTCCATGATTATCTGTTTACCGTTCTTATATATATTCTTGTATGACTTATATATACAGAGTTTGAATTTATTTTCGGAGGAATAAATAGTTTGAACTCTTTGAATAAGTGATGGTGTAACTTGGACACCTTTTATGGGCAGTTAATTTCAACTCAATACCTTTTTAGAATGGTTCCACGTAAGTTTGATCTCTGAAATGTACTCCAATATATAATTTCAATATATTTTCGCCGAACCAACTTTATTTTGTAATATTTAATCCTTCCAATATCCATTTTTTCACGTGGTAATTTTATGCAAAATACTTTTTGGAGTTACACTAGACTCTGAAAGCACGACTCTCTACATTTATACCCTTTAACACACGGAGGATAAAAAATTAATAACATATCCTGCATGAAACAACAGTTACTTACATAGTTGTAATATTTGTCTTATAAATGTTTCCAACGTGTTTGTCAGCTTTTTAGGATTGATACCTTGACTTACCAATTACATACAAAAGACAAGCAATCCTATTTCAATAATCGCCTTAATATCGACCATTAAAACTTTTTGAAATATTAATTTGTACCAACCTGTAGAAAATAACAAATAGCGACATGTCAATATATCAATGAAATTATCTATCAATTCAAGTTACAACCTAGAAGCAATATATTTCATGATACTTTCCTACTATGTTTATTATTATGTAATTAATATAATTTAACACTGGAGGTATTGCGTCTTTTTTTTCTTATGACAGTACAAACTATAGTACGTCATCCTCTAGTAAGAAAGTGAGCCAAGAGATTAATCGTTCAAAATGCATTATATGTTTGTTCCTAGCGTGGTGGTGTGTGACCCTGTGAGGTGACAGAGTTTGGCCCAGCGTCCAGTGACACTGGTCCATCGAGGACTGATAACACCTTAAATCATTAGACCAGAATGGAGTCCTCTTCCGTCGCAGGGCGCAGGCGCATTGCCACTAGGCACTCTGCTGAGGATCAGGCTCTTGATCAAATCGCCAAGGAGGTACGAGCCTAAAACGTGCTAACTCTATTGTCTTCTAACTCCTCTATAAATTCTTGTGTGCTTAGTCTTGGAATAGAACAGCTTGGTGATGATTGCAATAACCGCTTACGTAGAAGAGTGTACGACCTTACATATATTATACAATAATATTATACACAACGTTTGTATAAGAACTGTATCAAATTGAATAGGAAATTATTTGTACTGGGTACAACAGGTTTCTAAGAATTGACAACACTAATTGTCTGTGTAAAGCCATTAACATTGTAGTATGTGTAAACAATAAAGGTAACCCGCATGTACCTCTTGACGACATAGGCGCAAATTGTCAAACGAATACGAAGTTGAAGGAACTGTACAAAATTATAAATAGTGGCGGATACTTAAGCGGGTTTTCGATAAGGACGGAAGGAAAGAGTGAGAGCGCATGTTTAGATTAAACAGCGTCATTTAATAGAGAAATATATTCTTATTAAGCGTTTTATAACGATGCGTTCAATTCGGAGCATTTGTGTATAAGAAACCGGATCTTCCGCCGACTAATGAGCGAACGAAAGATACCTGTTCTAGATAAATATTGCGAAATTTAGAGAATGAGAAAAAGTAAGGTAAATTCAATGATTATTATACTTGTAAAATCCAATTGATAGTCACGACGCTCAATGTGCTTTGAAAAATAAAAGGAACTGTGACAGGTGAGGCTTATCTGTTGCGCATGGATGTTTTCTGTTTCCAGCACGAGGTAGTGGGAGACCGTGTGCCGATGTGCATGATAAGAATTTCTTCAGTAAGCAGTACTTACGTGGGCAATGGCCGGCCGACCCACGCTCTGAATGTGACTCGAATCATTTATACGCGAGCTCATCCGAAATTAATTTACTTTGACCGTTACGAATTCTTCAACATAACATTTGTCGTATGTTATATCGTTTCGTTAGCATTTGACGAATAGAGGAAAAGTTGCGCGGAGAAAATTAAATGATCCGAACGATCGACGACTTGACTTCAATCGATACTAGATGAATTGATCATGTGATCGATATAAATTTTCGATAACGATTGGACTCCCGTGATAATGTATCGGACAGTTTGTTACTTTGTTCGACCGGTAAAACATTGAAATGGACGAGCCAAACAACTTTGAAGACGTGTTGCTCGACACGTGTGAAGATATAAGTATTAACGAGGTTCTGGATGTCAGTGCGCAGAAAGTAATGAGTATTTGAATAATTTAAAAAACTGCATACGTAGACCGATAAGCCACAGTCACTCATTTGACAATATTACAACTAAAGTCATAAAGTTACCTTCAGCCACTTTGAGAATGAAAACTTGTCCAAAAAAAGTATTTGCACAGTTGACTGAGCTCTGGTCGAGTAACTTTTGACAGTTTAGAAAAATTGACCGTTAAGACGGATTAGCGTTGATTATTTGTCACTAATTGGTTGCCAGTTAAGTTTCTCGCAAGGAGACAGTACTAGGTACTAGTTCTACCTAGGAGGATGTTCCTTGTAACAGGATGGATTTTTGGTACGTTTTTTCAGGCAGAAGCTCGTTTGGCTGCACGGAGACAGGCCAGGGCCGAGGCCAGAGAAATCCGAATGCGAGAGCTAGAACGTCAGCAGAAGGAAGCTGAGGAGAATGCCGATAGGGTTTACGATATGTGTACAGGTGAGGATCCACGTACGTTTCCTGATCGCATTTGCGTATATATTTTATTCGAAATAAATAATTATTCTTTCTCACTTACTGATTTTGTCAAATTAATATTCTTATAGCCGATGTCAACAGAACCATGAGGGTAACGCCAGATCCGGTGCGAAGTTCACGCTTGTTAGTGAACACTAATAATTTCCAGTCAAGTAGACGGTCTTCCGAGGACTCTCTTGAGGATGCTGGACTCAATAGAGATCTTCGTGTGAGTTAATAATAATATTTAATTGTACATTGTAGCATTTTATTCGGTGCCTCATACCGCAAACACGTACAAATGAAGTTTGAACTTTTTACCCAGTAGATATTAAAGAGCAAACGTCGTTGTCAAAGTTCATCTCGATGCATGAGATTTTTTTATAGTCAATTTAACAAGCAAAATTGATCACCCTATATACTATTCGAATTATCTTCATGTTTTAAACTGCATGCTTAAATTTCAAGACATTTTATTCTCATTTTTTTTTTTCGTAGCTGGAACTTAAGGAGCTGGAGGAGAAGTTCAGAAAAGCAATGATCGCAAATGCTCAGCTAGACAATGAGAAGTCCTCCTACGCATATCAGGTTGATCTTCTGAAAGACAAGCTGGAAGAGTTGGAAGAAACAGCAGCCCAGTTACGTCGTGAATTACGAGAAAAGAATCGAGAAGCCGAGCAACTCAAGAGGGTCAGTCAACGGCTCAAGGAAGATTTCGATTCTTGTAGAGCTCAGCTACTCGAACGGGACACATTAATTGAAGCAAGTTATCAATTTTACTAGGCAGCTTCATGCTATACGTGCATTGTTGCTTTTAACGTTATTAACATTGTTATTACTACTTTTACTTCAGGAGAACGGTCTGGTCATCGTTGAGGACGAAGGTAGCGAGGACGAGGACACTGAAAATGAGAATAGTTCCAGGGGACCCAGGAGAAGAGTTCTAGTCAGCACCGAAGCTGCGGAATTATTACAAAATGCAGGGGAAGGATCTTTAGGTATGCAGAACATTTATGCACGATAATTGCTTGTTCGTGATAAAATATGTTTTTATTATATTACATTATTTTATATTACTGCAGACGTTCGACTTAGAAAATTCGCTTCGGAGAAGAAGGAATTACAGGATGAAATTCGGCACTTGAGACTCGAATTAGAGGAAGCTAGAAATAGGGTCAGGTCCGAAAGATCACCAGGTTCCGTTCTAGGTAAGTGGTTATAACGTATATTAAAATACTGTAATCTTTGACTCTGGTATTTTTCATATATAAACAGCTTGATTTTGCTGTATAATTATTTCTGATAACGAACGTAATTCGAATTTCACGGTTTGATGAAATGTTCCAGGCTGTTTATCAGACTCCGAGGATGTTCAACGAGAAGCCAACAAGCTTTTGGCTGATTACAAATTCAAGTTACAAAAAGCCGAGCAGGACATGTCGACATTGCAAGCGACAGTCGCGAGGCTGGAGAGTCAAGTAATACGATACAAATCGGCAGCCGAAGCCTCGGAAAAGGCTGAAGATGAGCTTAAGGTCGAGAAACGAAAACTCCAGAGAGAAGTAAGTTTTTCGTCTCACAGTTTCCTAACATTTTCACTATCAAAAACGGATACGTATCAGGTCGTCCGAAGAGACATGTCAATTCTAGAAATATGAATCATCGTTAGTACGTCATTAATATCAAGCATCCATCGTTAATCGATAGCAGCAGCTAAATTTTGGTTGGTTAAAAACAATCTTTTGATATTCCAGATGATTTCAGATTACTTTGACGAGTGTCATTTCCAGTGAACAACTGGGTGAGCTCAAATAGAGTGACCCCTATTTTCGTTTTACTAGTATCGCCCACATCACGTTCTATTCATTAATTCTGTTTGATGTACAACATATCCTGTTTTCCTAGGAAACCAATTCCAGAAAAGCATATCGCGAACCGTATTTAGTTATTTGTGACTTTCTTGTTCAAGTTCCACGTTAACAATCAATATCATAAAATTCTTCAAGTCCTCTTCTTTGTACTCCACACGTGTCCAAGCATCGTTATCAATGTATCCATTAGTTGTGGCTACTTGAAGTCGTGCCTAATGGAATATGTGAAATGATTAATAATCCAGTCCCAAATAAATATTGCATTGAATGCTCATTTCTTGAGAAATTGATAATGCAGGTTAAAAGAGATGTACTAATCTATTCAACAGGTAAGAGAGTCCCAGGGACGTGTTGAAGAATTGGAGACGGCAAACTCGCATTTACAGAGACGTCTGGATAAATTGAAGAATGCTAAATCAGCCCTGTTGAAGGAACTCTGATGATCGACTTTAACAAGATTCATATGACGAATAGTAATGTCGACGCCTTTTATTGCGCAGCCTTATGGAAAAAATTCGGACACCACTTCGCACTACTGAAATTCCCTGCACGAGTCAAGCCTCCGGAACTCTTGTTTTCGTCTCGCGTTATGTATCATTCAAAAGAATTTGAGCTCTGTGAGAATTCTGAGACCTGTATCCCCCATCTGCGATCACGTACGTTGAGTGTAAGTCGTATATTGTGCCGTGATATACTCAGATATGAGGAACAAACAAAAAATACAAAGCAAAGAAAACAAATTATGAAAGAAATAGATAAAGAAAATGAACAGATTTCAATTATCTATCGACGGGCAATGAAATCTCTACCAGTTCCAATTATCCAGGAAAAATTAAAACAAAAAAAAGGAAATAACAAGCCAGGAGGGGCTACTCAGATCTCGCTGAGCTATTTACCTTGTACGTGAGATCTATTTATCGACAAAAATGGAGTTTTCATTTTTCTCTTATGCTCGTATTGTTACGGTAAACACTAGGTGTCTCGAATCGGAAACTACCTATAGTATCGTCGAATCTAATTGCTGAAATGGACAGATAGACTAAAAAATACTTTAGCCCCCAGCAAAGCCATGATTTTGATTAATCCAACTCGCGGCTAATTAACACGTTATTAAACAAAAGTAATAATAAAGAAACGTTTACGCTCTCCGCGCACGGGAGACGTACCGCGTTCAACGGTGGTAAGCGGTCTTTCGGTATTTAAGGAAAGGAGCAGGCCACGTTTATAATTTAATTTTTTTTGTAATTATACCGCTATTATTATTATTATTATATTAACTTATATAAGATCACTGTATTTTAACTACTGGCGATTTATCCATCTTATGTCTCCCCGAAGTCTTCCTTCTTTTTTTCCCACTTAGTCGAGTATCAGTATTTTGGAAAAAAACCGCGGGAAGTACAAAACAAAGTCGATTCTTCGAAACGAGACATATAACACTTTCTTTCTCTCTACTGTTACATCTCCGGCCGCTCCAGCATGTCCTGTTCATAACTGTTCACTTCCTTTTAATTTTCTTTCTTTATCGGGATGTATGGACGCAAGTCTTAAGATACGAGGCGCCTATATTTCAACTCTACGATTATTGTTTAAAATACAAAATATATATTGTTTAAACGGTCAAAATGCGGTGATCGCATGTGTTTAATGTTTGTGCTTACAGTCGTACTTTTAATATATAAGTGCCTGTGGGATTGCATTGATTGCTGCATCCAATCCGTAAAGCTATTGTTAGTTTTACAACGTAACATTATTTTCATGCATCAATTTTGTATGGACTATTACTTGTCCGTCTTTCTCCTTGAGAAAAAGGTTACTAATCATATTTTGATCTATGAAAGACAAAAATAGTTATTGGAATATAACAGGACGGAGTAGTAATAATCAGTGGAACTCATGCTGTAAGACACGTAAAATGTTTTTATTTTTACTTGAGACTTCGCTCAATAATAATAATGGCGATAACATCATAAGAGAAAAGTACCATGAGGTAAGTGAACTCGTTCAACATACTTATTAGTAAAATATTGGCCAGTGAGCTTATCGCACTTGTACATTATTGTGTGTTAGTAAAGCCATGACGTCATTTCATGTAAGAACGATCTATTTATGCTACGCCCGTAACAAAAGCATTTATCTTTGATACAATTTGCAATTCAAACAATGAAAAAAGACAATTTGACTTTGTTAAATTCAAGACTGTTATTCACGATATGCACTGTCCTCTTTTTTTGATACAATTAATTGCTTTACAGCAAATAGTTACTTTCGTTAATAATATTTTTCTTACAGGATTACTTGTTCAGCATAAGCCAAGTAGAGTACTTTGTGACATAAAAATTTGAAAGTTGTTAGTCGCACGATAACGAGTATTAATTCTTCAAGAAATTAGTTTGATTAGTATTTCGATGACGAAAGCTAGCGTTTCTGGGTAAACTATATTTTTTGATAAGCACCTTGAAATTAATATACAATAGAAAATCGAGAAAAAATAGAAAGTAAGTGGTTACTAGTGAAAATATATCCTCGTGATAAGTACGAGAACAATAAGTGTTTAGTATCATATAAACAGAGAAGTGACTGTTCGTGAATGAACCTTGTCCAATAGTGATATCGAATCTATGTGAGCTATGCTGAAAAAGTATCCTAAATACTATTCCTTGTAATACATGAAAATTGCTGTAAACTTCGCATTGGATCCTTTGGATTACCTTGTTTTAGTAGATGCAAAATACTTAGAAGCTGACCTTGCCACGAATCTTGAAGAAACCCAAAGAGTTACGATTGTGAAATAGCGCGCCAAGCCCCAGATAGTTCTCGAGGATAATTGAACTTCCAGTTAGCACCTGGCATTCTTCCGGCAATAAATTTACGATATTCGCGTGAAGATCTTCTACGTCGAATCTCGACTTTTCTGTATCGTTACCTGGCATTCGGTGCAATAAGGATTTTAAATAATTCATCTGCTAAGAATATATTTACTAGGCAATACTATGGCCATATATTTACCCTTGTGCCAGAACAGCGGATGACTGGTATACGTTAGCCAAGGGATATTGCGAGCGAATGGATTCCATTTTTTATCTAGAGATAGTGGCTCTCCTCGATTCCACATTAATCGTAGACCCGTTGCATTCCGATCTCTAGGAATCAAATATAGAGTCACGTGTCACTATCAAGTAGATATAAAACATGAATACACGAAATGCATCATGTCAGTACTCAGGAAATAAAAGAAGGTTCATCCTTACTCTAAGAATAATAGTATTACCAGAGAAAAAAAGTATTTAAACGTAGAATAATGTAAAAGGAATTGCAATACAATAAAACACCAAAGCGAAAGATGACAAAAGCTACTGGACGACTATCGGTTTGATATAGACAAATAATATTTGAGATTTATGAATGTATGATTAATCTACTGAACACAAAATTTGAATGAGAAACGAAGCAGCGTACAAACGCAGAATTGAGTCAAGTCCGCGAGGGAATCCCTCGTAAGGTACCTAGGCTCGAACCGTTCTAAACCAGCTCCTGTGGCCATAGAGGACCACTGCTGACGCACGCCACACTGAACAACGTTCGAGACCCCTTCTGCGATTCCATTTAGACGTCTAGAATTAAAGTGTATGGTTAATACATGCTGACACATTGGTTGAGGAGGTATACAATTTTGTACATATAAACAAAAGCAGTGTCAAAGAACAAAAAGCAATGTATTGTGAATGTTAACTATTTATAGATGCATGGAGTATGTAGAGTCATGTCATTTTGTTTGAATGAAGCAAGCAAATGAAAATTGAGTACCACTAATATTTTGTGATGTGAGTGGAGTGTCTGTGCCTTTTGTACCCCTCTTATTGTCAGTCCTTAACATTAAAATGAAATAGGATTACTTAAAAAAAAAGTAATTAAATCAAAAAGTGTATTAAGTCGCAGAAAGTTTTTGTAAAGCTATCTTACGGAATGAGCGATTTGGGTGGGTAGACCAATTGACCAGATATGAGGGTGTCGATTACAGATAACAAAACACGATTATATTCGAGAATCTTCAAAGAGATGAAGTCGTACTTCACTGAGTACAATGCATTTTTAGTTAGGAGAACCAAGCGTTCCTTTTCTGTATCCCATAGACTGATTCTGAAAGCAAACACAGGAAGTCAATGATACATAAAAATAGTGTGTTGTAGTAACTGCAACAGTTTAATAAATTTTTAATCCAGTTGCACATCATACTCTGTAAGAAGCCAAGATCCAACAACATCACTATCATAGTCTTTGATGAGGTCTGTACAACAATCCTTGAGAGCACGATCTACAACTTCATTACGATCAGAAAAGAAACTTTGAGCATCTATTCGCTTAAATGGAATACTTGGCAAGTTTCGTGCTGTTGTTTGTCTTGGTGCTAAAAAAAGAGATTAATTACACATCATTAGGAAACGAATCAATAGAGTAAAATCTAACTGTTGAGTAGACTTACCAGGTGTAGAGGATTCTGAAGGCTGGTTGCCATCAGGAACTTCAACATCCTTGGCAATTTCCAAGGTAGCCCGCTCAAAGTTTATTCCTGGTCCTTCATCCAAAGAAGTCTCATCCATTTTATAGGTCAGGCTTAATTAGCTTGATTTAAATAATATATAAACAATGCCTTAAGCACAAATGAAAACTTGCTATTGCTTTTCAGTTTACAGGAATGGAATTTCAGATAAACAGTAAAAACACATTCATTCAACACAATTGTCACGTTGATACTTCACGTATTCACGTTCGATTGCAACGCTATCTTGTAGAAGTATATATAATCATTATTATGACGACGAAATTTATTCAAACTGTATGTACAGAGACCGTCGGGAAGTTAGCATTATAAGATAAAACTTTATATGTTTTCAACGTAACCGATAATAACCGGAAAAATAAGGAACCGAAACCGTAACTATTAATCGAAATTTCTATATTGGTCTCTTGGAAGCACTGGATAACAGTATCCGTTTCCAGTCTTCTTTTTTTTCTATAATTATTTCTTTATCTTTCATTTTTCACTTTCTTATACAAAGCTTTCCTTATTTACTTTCTCTACCTTTATACCTCTATTCTTTACTTTTCTAATTCTTGCCTTCTTTATTTCTATCTTCCTTACCGTCTTCTCGTTTCACTTGTGAGGGTAACTTCCCGACGATGCGGGATCGAGCAAAATCTTATACCTATATGATTGTAGTGCACGCGCGCTAAACTGTCGACAAATCGTCGATATTTCTATCGCAATACACATATTTATACACCTATAGACAAATACAATAGCTGTATCCATCGATTTAAGTGCACAGGGGCGTGATTTTACTACGAAGCGCAACTTATCATCGTTCCCATTTCTCTCTTTGCTTCTTCTTCGTAAAATGGTTTAGAGCCTATTCCCCATGAGAGAAAAAGTCTTAGCGAGAGTTTTGCTAATTGGCAAAAAAGTGAAGACGAAGAAGGAAAAAATCAGTTGCCCAGAAATACAAAATTCTGGCGAAGAATAATCAGAAGTAATGGAAGTTGCCATTGCGCAGGACTTCCTACTTTTCCTACTTTTACTACTTTTCCCACTGTTCTCTTTTCTCGCTCCTCCAGAATAGTCTGGTCTTCGTGCATACGCTTAACGCATCTTCTTCGCCCCTTGTTCCCACAGTCATTACAATCTTTCTTCTTCACTCTATCTTTTTAACAATCTTCCTCTTTTCCCCTTCAACGACATCTTGCTTGACTGCTGCCTCCAAACGTTTCTACTCTATTTTCGAATCTCCTATTCCTTCCTATATCTCCATCACTCTCCTCCTAGTATATCCTTAAAAACTAAGTTTTTAAAATGTTTTTCGGAAAAAGAAAAGTCTAAAGTGGTAGCGCATGTAACATAAAACACGTATATTATATTGTAGTGATATATGTAGTATATGTCTAATGGTACTGTTATTGTTAATCATTCGCAAGCCATATACTGTATACGTATACTGTATCATTATTGCATTTGTCCAATAAATTATCATGTAACACTTATACACTTTTCGAATCTCCTATTCCTTCCTATATGTCCATCACTCTACTCCTAATATATCCTTAAAAACTAAGTTGTTAAAAAGTCCTTTGGAGAAATAAAAGTCTAAAGTGGTAGCGCATGTAACATACTACACGTATATTATATTGCAGTGATATATGTAACATATCTTTAATGGTATTGTTATTGCTAATCTTTTGTAAACCATATATGTATGTATATCTGTACTTCGTATACTGTCTCGTTATTGTGTTTGTCGAATAAGTTATCTTGTAACACTTATACACTTTTCGAATCTCCTATTCCTTCCTATATCTCCATTACTCTCCTCCTAGTATATCCTTAAAAACTAAGTTGTTAAAAAGTCCTTTGGAAAAATAAAAGTCCAAAGTGGTAGCGCATGTAACCTACCACACGTATATTATATTGTAGTGATATAAGTTAATATATTTCTAATGGCCTTGATATTACTAATCTTTCGCGGACAATATATGTGCATCTGTACTTCGTATACTGTATCATTATTGCATTTGTCTAATAAATTATCTTGTAACACTTATACACGTTGATTTTCTTTTGCCCTATGCAAATATCCCAGAGTGCGAGTGAGTTCTGCCTCTCTCTGACTCTCCTTAATTATAACAGTATCCTTTTCCTTCTCCTCCACCTTTATGCTGCTACACTTCTTTTCGGCTATGCTCTATTTTCTCTGTCATTACTTCCATTCCATCAGCAAGTTGCAAAAAGTAAAGGGATTTTTTGAAAGTGCCCTATCGCAATTTGATCTGTACCAGTCTCTTCCGAGACACAGCTGATTTTCGAATTACTTTCAGAATTATTTTATCGAGAAAGTTCACTCGTTCTCTCAGAGATGGCGCCACATATCATGCCCAGGAGGTGCTGCCCTCTTATCGGCGAAAATTCGAACTAATGCGAATTCTTTAATAAAAATTAACCCACTGAAGTTTCGACGATGCGATTTTCAAATTACATTTGAAATCATTTAAGGTAGTATTGATGAAGAAAAGCGAGGACAAGATATAGATTATTATCTATAAAGAAGATTATTATCTCTATAGAGAAGGAATGGAAATTGGAGCACAGCTAAAAAGGGGTTTCGCAGCATAAGGGTGGAGAAGAATGCTGTTAGGCCGGAGGAGTGTAAGAAAGAGACAGAACTCATTCTTACTCTGGGATATTCGCATAGGGTAAAAGAATATCAACGTGTATATGTGTTTAAAGATAGTTTATTTGACAAACGCAATAATGGTACAGTATACGAAGTACAGATATACATACATATATGGTTTACAAAAGATTAGCAATAACAATACCATTAAGGATATATTACATATATCACTGCAATATAATATACGTGTTGGTATGTTGTATGAATATCAACGTGCATATGTGTTTAAAGATAGTTTATTTGACAAACGCAATAATGGTACAGTATACGAAGTACAGATATACATACATATATGGTTTACAAAAGATTAGCAATAACAATACCATTAAGGATATATTACATATATCACTGCAATATAATATACGTGTTGGTATGTTGTATGAATATCAACGTGCATATGTGTTTAAAGATAGTTTATTTGACAAACGCAATAATGGTACAGTATACGAAGTACAGATATACATACATATATGGTTTACAAAAGATTAGCAATAACAATACCATTAAAGATATGTTACATATATCACTGCAATATAATATACGTGTAGTATGTTACATGCGCTACCACTTTAGACTTTTATTTCTCCAAAGGACTTTTTAACAACTTAGTTTTTAAGGATATATTAGGAGTAGAGTGATGGACATATAGGAAGGAATAGGAGATTCGAAAAGTGTATAAGTGTTACATGATAATTTATTGGACAAATATAATAATGATACAGTATACGTATACAGTATATGGCTTGCGAATGATTAACAATAACAGTACCATTAGAGATGTACTACATATATCACTACAATATAATATACGTATTTTATGTTACATGCGCTACCACTTTAAACTTTTCTTTTCCCAATAAACAGTTTAAAAACTGAGTTTTTAAAGATATATTAGGAGGAGAGACGCATGGAGACATAGAAAGGAATGGGAGATTCGAAAATTGAGTAGAAACGTTTGGTGGCAGCAGACAGGGAAGATGTTGTTGAAGGGAAAAAGAGGAAGATTGTTAAAAAGAAAGAGTGAAGAAGAAAGATGTTTATGACTGAGGGAACAAGACAAGAAGAAGATGCGTAAAGCGTATGCACGAAGATCAGGAAGAATGAAATATAAAGAAATAAGGAAGTAAAGAAGAAATGAATATAGAATAAGAAGAAGGTTGTAAATGGATATAGAAATAAACAAGTGAGAATAAGATAATAAGAATGAAATGAATATAGAAATGAAGAAGTAGAAAAGTAAGGAATTGAGTTATAAAAGTGGAGAAGAAATGTGGAAAGAGATAAATAAGAAAGTGAAGAATGAAAGATAAAGAAATAAGGAACTAAAGAAGAAATAAATATAAAAATGGAAGAAGGTTCGAAATTGTTCCAAGAGACCAGTATAGGAGACCGGCTCGAGGAAGAATGAGCGCTCCGAGTCCGGGCGCTGCCTCGAGCGCTCCCCCCCCATCCCCACCCCTCTCTGGCTCCCCCCCACTCCTGAGTCCTGTGCGACTGCAACTTCCATTACTTTTGAATATTCTTCGCCAGGATTTTTTATTTCCAAGTGTTAACAATTAGCTTTATTGATTTAATTATTTTAATATTCCAAACACTTAATTTATTAATATTTCAATTTAAGCGCAATTTATTTTCGACATTTTACAATCTCACTTCAATTTTTACTACTCCGTATATTTTGCTGGATTTTGAATTAGCCTCATATTTTTATTTTGAATAAATTTCGAAAGTAAGCCACAATCTAATAATATTTAGTAACATTTCGATAGCTTTATTCAATGTTTTAATTTTTCAATATTTCTGGGCAACTGATTTTTTCCTTCTTCGTCTTCACTTGTTTGCCAATTATCAAAACTCTCGCTGAGACTTTTTCGCTCATGGGGATCCCCCAGATATGTATTTGGCAGAATCGCGCGTAGAGTATATTGGAATGGTAAGCTTAAAGGTTTCAGGATTAAGCAAATAGATGTTTTTCTAAATACTGTATGTATTTCTTCAAAATCTTTAATCATATGAAAAGATATTATTTGGCACTCGTCATCTCACAATTAAGGAAACAGGAAGCAGAAGGAAATAAAAATAATAAAACGTTTGTCTTAATTCAAAACTGATCAAAATTTGTTTGCTTAATATAAACGCCAAGGAAACTTTTCTATTTCTTGTAAGAAAAAAAGAATCTTTACATGTTCTGATTACATGGTTAATAAATATACTACAACTAGATAATAAGAATCTAACATTAGAGCAAATGTTTGCTACATATCTAACAAAGGCAACGATCAACGCGATGTTTAATATTACATATTATTACAAGATATCTATGTTACAGGTGACAACTTAAAAATCAAATCGCTATGTTCTTACGCTAAATGCAATGTATTGCGATAGCATCGAATGAGAGGTTCGATGACTCTCTAACTCCGTTCCACTCAACATGACCACTAAGAAATAAGATTATTAAGAATAAAATATTCATTCAACTCTTTTTTCTCCATATGAGGGTACTATACACCAGGTCGAAACGAGTGGAAGCGAGTTAGTACAAACTAGAGTATTTGTTATATACAGCGGTAATGAAGTTAACATCTTAAGACATAGTCCTTCTGATTTTCCATATAAATTAAGTCTTCATTGACGTAAATAATATATATCTCTCTTGACTCTTATAATACACATTGTACTCTCTGTATTATTAGGATGGTAAATTTTAATGCGAAAGCATTTAATCATTTGTGCCAATCGGCACGTGTACACCCTCTCGTTTAGTCTCTTATACCAATTGTAGATAAAAACAATTTGAGAACGTCATGTAAACATAATCAATAAAGGTATACCTTATTCCACGAATCTAATCGTCTCGAGAATTTTTTAATTTACAACCTTCGAATTTTCATAGCTTATATCAGTCTCGTAACCGTAGAAATCGACATAGTTAATGTCTATTTGTAACATTGAATATCGTCAAGCATGTTGTCTGACGAAGTAAGTGTTAAACTGTGTTCCTCGTGCATGCCTTTTGCATAGTTAATTTGTTGTGAAACCTGTGAAAGGAGTATCAATCAGAATATTGGACTAAAAATATTACGCTGTCGAAATAAATTTGGTTAAATAAATTGTTGTTACCCATTTTGCCACATCCTCATTGTCGCAGCGAACTTTTGGTCGGCGCAATGGTTCAGGTCCGTCAAAGCTAATTGTCAATGTTGAATCTGTTCTTGATGTTAATTCAATATAATGTAACATGTTGCCATTGGATTCGAGCTTGTGCGTAGGTTGACAGTGCAACAGATCAGCGAGGCTGACCTCAGTGACAACACCTTTAGTTCCACCGGATATAACTCGTACGCGTTCATTTGATACTAATACTCTGAGATCGTCAGTGCCACTACGAAGACATTCGTAAGCCACGAATAATTCAGAATAGTCACGGCTGTTTATACTGTATAAGAATTCCTGTCCCTCAGCCTGCTGATGGTTGTATGGTGGTAAGAGTCCTGCAGGTCCACTTGCCACTCGAGGTAACCGATCTCTTTTTGGTATAGCGCGATGAGCGCTGAGAGAATTTAATAATTAATCATTGTTGATTTTTGAACACAGAAAATAATGTTTCATGTAGTATGCAACTTGTTTTATTACCTTCTGCTCGTTTCACGAACTGCCGTGGCCGTTTCAGTTGCTAGATCAAGAACACCAACAACGGGTTTCGTTAATGTTCCAACGACACCTTTTCCAAAGCCAGCAAAAAATCCCTATAATTTTATAATGGAAAAACGTTAGAAATCTTTATAAAATTGCATTCACTGAGATCTATTAAGTATGATTAATTACGGGAAAGCCTTCGTTAGTGGCACCATCATATGTCTGTTTGAATATACTAGTCACACCACCAAGAAGTCCAAATCCCAATCCTTTTAGACCAGCAACTAGGTGATCGCTACTGCCTGCGGTATTCGAACGAATTCTTTGTCTAGCTTCTTCGTGTCTTTCGTCCATTATTACCCAGCCGAGGCCATCGGATAAGGATTCTGTAACTTTCGCAGCCGAATTCGAAATTCCATGCGTCACATTTTTGACTAGGGTTTTCACGCTCCCCTCGTAAATCAGACCGGACACTCCTTCGGATACGTCGTTCACGAAACCCAAGGGATTTCCCAAGAAGTCAACGGATCCCAAAATGACTGCAGCTTGCCATTTCAGCTCCTAAACATAATATCAAATGTTTCGATATTATCCATAACTAGATTGTATTTAAATCCATTTTATTTTGTGGTGTCAACTTACATCTTTGTAATGTTTTATAATCGAGTGAATCAGAAACTGGCTGCTCTCGAAAGGATGTCTCTTAATAAATGGCTCCAATTCGATCGTCGCATCTTCAAACTTTATTAACGTTAAGCCAAGCTTCCGCTTGATAGTTTGTAGTTGTGGTGGCAATTTAGTTGTAGTAAGAACACTCAATTTCACCTAAAACAATGTAAACTGTAATGAGGGAACGGCAAGTTTATAACAAACAAACAAAATTACCTGATTAGGAACAAGTTTTAATGCACCAAAGTAATATCTAGTAGCATGTGCAGCAGAGACTTCTGAAATAAAACGCTGAGCCTTGAAATCATTTTCATCGACTGGTGCATCTAGTTCAGATCTACCAGCGCCAACAAAGGCAGCTAGTCTCAAAATCAATCGTTCCTCTAGATGAACACAAAGAGGTTTCACCGTGAGCACCAGGTGCTTATAAATCTCAGCATTCCGTTTCTTGGATGGCAATTTCTCTGCGACCAGGTGTACAGCAGGTTTGGCTTCGGAATCTGGCCTGGCAGTTCTGGTTGTATACAGCACCGATGAGCATTGCGCTTCAAATAGTTGATTATCAATCTAGATGTATCAAAGTGTGTAAATATACAGCGTAATATATTGCACAGTGTACTGATCCGAGACTCTATCATTGTTATACCTGAACATCTTCAACGCTCACATCAAGTGCAGTGCTACTTGGCATTCGTACAAGTTCCAGCGCAATTCCTGCCAATCGAGCAAAGAGCAACTCCTCGGCTGGTTTCCTTGATACTATGGAAAGTCCTAAACCAGCCCCTAAGCGCACACTTAACTGCAGCTCACGAGAATCTACGCTCTGCGACTCCGCAGTCGCCTGAGTTGGTCGTTCGGTTATAGCAATGTGCGACCAGTCTCGTTCTTCTGGCAAAGCAAACATCTTTTTCTGTGAAAAATATGAAAAGATGTTTTAATCTTATATGAATGAATAATTGACTAAAACACCAATTTTTAAGGTCTTACTCTTTCCAGGATGTCCAAAACTTGTAACACTCTTGTTGGTCCGTCGGTCGTGACTCTAACAGACAGAAAACCAGATCCAGGTCGTAGTCTTTGTCTACCAACTCGCTGTTCAATTGGTGGAGGACTGATGTGCGTCTGTGGTCCTAACGCGGCTTCACTCCCTAAAAAAGATAAAATGAAATTATGTGTCAAATTGATATTTTAAGATTGGAAAATTATTAGGAAAATTGAGAAAATTTAATATAGTAGAACTTAGTGTAACCTTTATTCGGATAATGAAATAGATAGAGAGAACAGAAAGACACATAGAGATATAAGATAAAAATATATGGTTCTATTATATGCTGGGGATCGATGAGAAAAATGTATGGCAATGATATGAAAAAAAATTAAGCAAATTATTAGTGTGTGAATTTCAATGTGTATTATTATAATCACGAAAATTCCTTGAAAAATCTTTACATCCATTCCACCAATTTTTGAAGTGCACAAAAGGATTATAACTGTGCATGCTCATTATTTAACATATACTGAATGACTAAACAAATGCGTAAAATGGAATAGTAAAAATTTGAATGCAGAAATGTTCGATTTGGTATATCATATCACAAAAATGACACAGTTTAAACTGAGTTCAATGTTATACGTACACATTTGCCAGCGGGCGACGCCGCCGCCTGTAACATTCATACAGGTTTAGAGATTTGATCTTTCGGTGGAAATTAATAAAAATCACTGAAAGAAGTCGAAATCGCGGCAAGTTGCAATAGAAATATTGTTATAAACCATGGATCAATAGAAAGCTTTGTAGATTTTCTTTGCTGAAGCATAGACCAAAGATGCTGAATAAAATAAAACTGATTACGTGTGAGAAACACAAACAATGATGATGAGGCTTTAAAGAAATAAATTAACGTACTAGGATATTAATAATTATAGTGGTATTCACAATTTGAAATATGGACCTGTACTACATAGACTGAATAGTTTCATCTGAATCAATTACAATATTCATCGGAACATGGATTTTTTCAATACTCTAGTTAGTTTATGAGGATTTCATATCAAGATTAGTAAATAATTAAAAACGGACCTTCGTGAAGACCCATGAAGCCATCTTTGGCCTGTACACACATATTCTGATGGGCACAGCAGAGTCTGCCATCATCAGTGAATCTCCAAGTCTGTGTAGACCTTCTTCTGGGATCAGGTCGTCGAAGAGCCAAGGAACAATATGTAAATGGCTGCGGTGCGGTGCCAGCAATATCTAACACCAAAACAGTGTCAGGTGTCCTTGCATGCTTGTCCCTCGGGGGGCTTGACCCTAGAAATAAAATTAGTGAACTCAGCTTACTTTAATTATGCAATATTTTATTTTACGAACTCACCTTCATGCTGCAGTTGTCCATCACCAGTCATTCTCCAAAGTTGACTACGTGCACCATACTGTTTACGTCGTAGACCTACCCAACCGCCAGGACCAGCTTCTAGGACTAATCGTTGAGTTTCTACGTCAAGCGGATCTAAACCAGTTTCCCCTGTTCCGAGATCACCATCGATTTTAAATGTTCCTGGGTTCAAAGAAGAAATTGATCATAGTGTTATCACGTAAATGAGCTGCTATGTAGTAATGATTAATAATACAAAAATATTTACCAGTGAAAGCAATGTAGATGAAGTTTTCATAAGTCAAGCCCCTATTCTCTCCAAGTATATTCAAGTCATAGGATGCTGTTACACCGCCTGGTGCAGTTACTGACAAGGTTGCTGGACGTGTTGGTTCATCCAGTGCATAAGGAACTGATGAGTGTGGTCTCACAGTCCATTGTAAGCTGTCAGCAACACCACTCTGTTTAAGTGTTATATAAAAGTCATTAATACGTTAAAAAAAAATCATAAAGGTAATATGCAAAAGAATATACCTGATTGATGACTAGAGGAACCTCTGAGAAGTTATCCACACGTATGGGCGGTGGCATCGTGTCAGCATTTGTAAAGACAATAAAGTAGGTACTTTCCTGCAGAACGACATCAACCCGCAGAAAGTGCATTTTTCCAGTTCTATCGCGTAGATTAATAGTCAGTGAATAATTGCCATCCAGCTGAATTCCTCCGGACCATGCACAATGATCTACATCGATCATGCGGACACAGAGTAGTTGATCTTTATCCAATCTTGGCCAATGAAAAGGCATATGACAATCCGGCATCGCCGTTATGTACGTTGCCTGTGCACCTGGATGACTCTGATACACAAAATGGAATAGCACATGTTAATTTATATGATAACAGGAAGTGTATACTGGACGTTAATTTTTAGTTCAATTTACAACTGTCGTGGTGAAACACTTTTGAGCCAATTCCAATGTGCATGATGATTTGTTATGCAGCTGGTATCTTGGTGACAGCGTAACAACTGTTGTTGCCGAATAGCGTCCTCTTGCTGCTCTTGTTGCAACTCCAATGAGGTAAACGATGTCCGGCCTACCATCTCTAAGACTGACTCTGAGTCGAGGTACCTGCAGGGTTATTCGATTGTCTGACGTTACATGAATATTTGCATAAGCGATGTATATTGTTGTGAAAATCACCTGCACTCCCAGCTGTAGATGAAAATGTTGACACCATTGCGGCACACCTTGAGGATGAACTCCGGTGCCAACTCGAATTGAGAGTGTTCGACTGGCTTCTTCGTCACTGAATGAAAATAATAATGGTGCAACCATTCGCGCTCTTTCGTGCTCTTCAAATTGTCCAGCAGCTTCCGTGCCAACGCCCTCCTGACGGAAAACCAATGGCAGACCAGTTTTATTTATTATCCAATACGGCGCCGTTATGTTCACTCGAAGTGCTGATCCTTTTTCTACTACTACAGCTGCGTAGAGGAACAAAATTCTGCCCATTGAATCTGACAAGCGTAATCGACCCGTGAATGAACCACAATTTGGCGGAAGTAGCAACTGTAAATAAATCATTTAACATAATTTAAGCGGCCCTACATATGTTTATGCAGTAAGTCCCTTACTGTTCCTGCACCAGAGTAGCCATCGAGTCGTATTGTAATTTCAAGTTGTTCATTCACGTTTGGTTCATGAAGATCGGCACTTTTTCCTGGTGAAATTCGACCGTTCTCTGATCCTGCACTGTACAAGAATTCATGTGGTAACAAATTGGTAAGCGTAACTGGTGCGAGTAGGGATATCGAATGTGCAGGAATCGCTTGGCCAACATCAGCTGGGTAATTGTTCCTTTTCACAGCAACGCACATTCTAATAAAAAAGAAAGTGAAGTGTAATTAGGTATAATACTAAATATAAAAATGTTTTTATAATGCAAACAATGATTTTGATCGTTAATACCGAAAAATATTGTTCTGATTGGTTTTGCAGGTTGTATGAATTTCAATAATCTCTGAGGGTTTTTTAACTGTTGTCCAATCAGTAGGTTCCATGCAATATTGGAATGAGTATGTTGGATGAACAGGTCTGAGCCACATTTGTACTCCAGTGTGCGTTAATGGAATTGATACAGTTGATTGTGCGGGCACTTGCAATACTCTTCCACTCACATTGGGATACGTTGGCACATCTGAAATTTTACAAATAAATTGAATTAACAATTGATATATGCGAAATAAGTTTTAAATAATTGCAAAATATTACTAACAACCAAGAGGTTTCTCCAGCTTCACTTCAACGGTGTATGCTAACTTGTTGAGTACTTGCAGAGCAGAACGTACTGTTACCAACTTTCTTGCTGATCCTTCTAATTCAACAGCAAAAACAACCCTGGCTTTTGATGTGGCCTGAAACTAGTTTTAACAAATAAGTTTCCTGAGTTGACTTGAATATATGTCAAATTTCAACTTAGATGAAAAGATAAAGCAACCTGATGTCCCTTGGTTTCTGCGTATGCATGTCGAAAGTAAATTCCGACTCTGTCAACAGTAACAGAATCAACTGGTCTCCACCCATCAACTAGAACAGCAACTTGATGTCTTCGAACGATATGAGTTGAATGATGCCTAAGCTTCCCTCTTCCTTCGAATGTGAATGGTACAGTTGCTTCTGGCGCAACTTCTATCCAAGTCTCATCCTTATTTAAAATTCCCTTAGTTTCACAATGCTGACCAACTTCTTTTACACCATCAGCAGTAGCAATAAAAGTCTTGAACCAAATCCAAGATCCTGTCTCGTTTTTCAGAGCAAATGGCACAAAGGGAGACCGTCTTCTGTATCCTGGTGGACTGCCGAATGGTCTACTCACGACATCCTTGCTTGATAAATAGTAATCCTGTGTCCAATTATGCTTGACAAGTTGCACTAGCTCCACGAGAGTTGATGTGATGTTAACGTTGACGGAATCGTTTGAATTGACAGACATTTGTAATCTCTTTGGAGCTAATGAACTCGTTAAAGTTTGTTCCCACTCGATTGTGGCTCTCCAAGGTTCTACAAACGGTTCCCATCCGCTTAGTGCACGATTATAATAGTCCACTGTGAAAGTTGCCGATACAAGCCCGGCTCCAGTAAGAGCTTGACGTGCTAAAAGATCCGATAATGTCAACTCAAGTAAAGGTACATCGGCGTCCCGGCAGTCATCAATGATACAAATCCTAGAATAAAAAATATGAATTATAGAATCTACTATCACTATACAATCCTAACAAAATAAAGCATTAGGGACCTAAGACAAGATGTTTGAAGTTCCAGTTGGGAAAATCCAAGTCCGTTTCTAACTGATTCAGTACTAGGTACTGCATTTTGTGTAAGCCAAAGTGCCGCATCGTCCAATTGTCCGTTGCATCTATCGAGTGCAGCTTCGCAATCTATTTCAGTAAATCCCAGAGCTGAGAGTTTGACAACATGACTTTTGGTAATCGGTGGTGGTGCAGTTGATCTTTGTTTGGCCCAGAGAGTTTGTTTTGGCAAAGAACTCAACATACGGACAAACATTGCTACGTCGTGGTAACTTAAACGGACGCTCATTGGCTGAAGTTGAATTTCTAAGGTTCGTTCCTGAGTCAACTCCAAGCTCGCACTAACTGGATCAATTATAGAAAGTGCAGTTTCATCCTCCATACCCAAGATGCAAGAGAATAACTCGCACCTAGATAAGTTACAAGATAGGGGTTTCTCTCCATGTTGAGGATTGGAACGGTACACAAGAATTGTAGTTGACTTCAGAATAACCGTGTTGGTGTCAAATAACGACGTATCCTCGACTAGAACCAATTCGGAATCCGTGATATTCAGCTTAAATTCTATGGGGATGGTCTCCTGAATCTTTTCAGGATCCTGAGAAAGCACTGTTCTTGATATTCCTGGAATAGGAGCTGGCTCAGGTGCGTTAAGTAGTAAAAAGTCTTTAGCGGCTTCCCACCAATCAAGGATGGCAGTTAGTCTCATGCTGTGCAATAGAATAGTTGTTGCTGCAATATTTGTTCTTCTTCTGTGATGCACTTCAGCCTGTACCCGATCCTCAGCTCCTGAAATTCAAAGATACTTGTAAGATCTTTGCAGGAGGACCATAAATGTAGTGCAATTATCTACTTTTCTGTTCTGATAATACGAATACGATTAGTTTTCATTAGATAAAAATTTACAGTCTTTAAAAAGTGATCCTGAAATCTTGAAAAGATTGTACCTGCATCTCGTAAAGGCTGAAGAATACTCGTGAAGACGTTAGAGTGTCGATTGATAGGTTCATCCTGAAATCTTGTATCCGTAACTAAAATCTCACGCGACACCAAGTCAATATCCTGCGAGCCATCACTCAACGAATCTAAAGTTAATCTCGACTTAATGAAGTTGACGCAGGCCAATGCAGCTAAACCGTGATTGGGATGAAGTCTCAGGGTCACGTTCACCAATTCCAATCCAATCCAGGATTTCGTCCAGACTTTGTCCGTCTGTATTTAATATTAAATTCGCACTGTCAGAATATGAATACTTTTGGAAATCATTTAATTTAAGTAAAAAAGACTTGCCTGGTCATTAGTTGGTGAAAAATCTGTAACTGTCTCTAGATCCTGCATATATACCCTAAGATCATCAAGATTTTCGCCTATGTTATAAGACAGTAAACCACGTATCAGCATGTACTGGGCTGGATCCAATGCACAGTCCATAGTGGACAAAGTACCACGCACGCTCAAGTCTGGAATAAGTCGACTGACGCGAAAGTCTAAATTTCTTTCAACCCTCAAACTCAAGTGGCACTTTTCAGTGAGCAAGGATGGACCCAGCTTTTTAACGGTAAATCCACCAACCGTCAAGCAATCTAAATCGGATTGATCGTCCTCAGTTTTTAATTTCTTCACGGCAAAGACATCCATATTTACTAGCTCGAGTAGCATCACGTCAAGAAGACATTCGGAAGCTTGTTCAGAAAATTCAAATGAGTTGTGGGCAGTCAGTTCTCCCAGATCCAAAAGAATTAACTCTTCGGATGTTGAGCTGACAGGCAAGAGGATGACAGGCGCACCAGCGTGCAATTCCAATGACAGTCGCATGCTGCGTTTGTTCATATCGACAACTGTACCATCATCAGCCCGTAGAGTTGCCATGACGGTTTGCAACTGTGAAAAGTGACTAAAGAAGGCTTGCAATTCAGATACAAAGCGCTGAGTGTGAACGTAATGTACAGCTGACATTTTAAGCTTCAACCGAGCATCATGTTCTCGATTATCTGAATCTGAGTAACTTGAATATTGAAAGTTCAGGGCTTCCCGTCCTGAAGATAGGAACCTTCAAAATAAATGAATAATTGTTAACTAGACTAAAAATAATTGTGCTCAGTGACAAAACTATTAAAATATACCTTTCTCGATATAATCTGCCATGAGGTGTTAAATCAAGAAGAGACATGGAACCCAAAGAGCCAAAAATTGTTGTTTTCCCTCCAGCTTTGAGAACATGAACACTGGCATTGGAAATATTGGCTTTAGCGATTTCTCGTTCTGACTGAATCAGGACTAAAGTTAACGACCTGACTTCCACTTCGGTTTCGGATTTCATTGACACCGTATCACAACTTCCATCCACCTTATCGTATCCATTTGTTAGATCTGTATCCACATATGTTCTGTGCACAGTAACGTTAGGTCCAAGTGAGTTAGGTGCACCTATTCCCAGAAAGTCTAAAACTACCATCCAACTTTCAACGCTGACAACTAAATCCAGACAGTTGAAATCAACCGAAACGAATTTGCATTTTTCCAAAGGTTCATCATCTATGTCAGTTTGTATTGGTTCTGTAATGCGAATACTGATCAAAATGAGATTTTCTTCGCTAACGACTCCTGGAGACGGTGGTGGCGTATTCGGTGTATTCACCAGAGAGGCTGGTTTTCTTCTCCAATGGGCTGGCACAGCACCATAAAGTGTGTCTGTTTCTAATCGATCAGGTAAGCTACCCCAAACAAAATTATTTTTCCATTGTTGAGCAAATGCCAAGTCAGGACAGGATCGCGATACTCCAACAGGTAATCTTGCTCTTGTCGGTGCAGTAGATTGCATCATATACCTGTATCTAGATCCTACGGCGCATAATAAATCTTCCATCAACAGAGATCGAAGTGCAACTTGAGTTGTTGATTCGAATTTCTGTAACTTCTCATATTTAGCTACAAAATCACGCATGGATAAAGCCACCAATGGTTGTTCCAGGTGATCCTGCTTTAGCTCTATACTGAGTATAGGAAGTTCGAACAATACTTTTAATGACAAATCAAATTTATCCGAGTAATAAGAAACTGGCTGTGATGCTTGTGGTTTTCGTATCGTAGTTTCCATCACTTCAGTGGAGAACAGTCTGTTGATTGTGTCCAAGAGTTGTTCGTATTGTCCTCTTGATAAAGAAACTTTCAATGGTGTCACTACTGTCCCATGCACTTGAACTATTGGACCATCTGATTCAGAGAGAAAACCTGGACTCTGAATAGGTCTGTACGGTTCACGTTCCACGACGATTTTTAATAGAGTATCGTGAAGAATTGGTTTTCCTGATTCTTTGCAGTTGTACATTACTTCTGCGCGTATTGGCAAGGCCCCATGTGTCTGACTATAAAAATTATTTTAATGACAAAAATCTGATAGAATATTGAAATTAACGATTTTTTTCTACTTACACGCCATGAGGATGAGTAGGTCTTGTAATAACATCCAGAGAGTAGAGGTTCATGTTGCGTACCTCAAAAGTAATTTTGTTTCTAGAACTTGAAGAGATTGGTGGTTCATGCTGTAAAGACATTGTTCCTAAGTGTGCCACGAAAACTTGGGTACTGTGTGAACTCCTTGGTATAACGAGAACTGGACTATCTAATAGGACATCTAATCTGAGAATAGGATTAGTACATTGCTCAGGAGCATCGGCTGATAAACTTGGTAGTCTTCGACGTTGTGGTACGGACCAATCTTCAGCATTAACCAATCCAATAGCCATGTCTGTAGCAGCTGCTCCAATTTGTCTTGCTAAGTTGCTCAAGTATTGTTTAAATTCATCAGCACAAGATCTTAATTCAGAGATGAGATGAGGAGCATGTGTATACCAGACGCTTCCAATTCTAACAGTGATTTCCGTCAGGCTTTCTGTAATATCTGACTTTTCTAATGGTGGGGCATAGTGTGTACTGCGATTAGCGGAGAATCGAAAAGCCTCAGGCTGATTAACAAGCGTCACATGTTCCAGAGGATGACGAGGAGGATCTGCCAAAGGATCCCGACCGACGCTAAGAATTCTTTGGTGCATTTTTCCTGTTGGAGTTTGATCTAGGACCTGAAGTCCTCCAAGAGAACCAGACACCGATGCATCAGATGCTAGGGTGGCTTGAATTCTTGCATCAGACATAGTCGCAGTAGCTATTTTCTGTCCCACCAGATGGCTTTCCTGCATAACTGCTCTCAACAGTAACACATTTAGACGATGAAAATCAAATGTAATTTCTGTTCTGGTTGAAGATTTATATCCTGATGTGACATTGGCTTGTGATTCTTGCTGTTGGTATCTTTTATTTTTATTCTCCTGGGGAAATAGTCTTCTGGCAAAGCCCATAAGTTCTACTATTGTTTCCTGATTTGCAATGATATCTAAATTATTGAATTGTATATTAGCTACTCGAAGACTCTCCAACGGATCATCAACCAGCATAAGTTCAACCACTATTAAAGCTTCCGAATCCAGTTGATCCAGACCAATCAGAGAGTTGTTCTTTGATGCAACTGGATTTTTCGAATCATGTGCAAGGGTAGATAATGCCCGTGATAAAGCAACGGAGGACGTCAATCTCCTAGGAACCGAAGGGTCAGGTGATCCCGGTGAATTGGGCGATGTAGGTGACGTCGGTTCCGAATCACGCAAACTTCCTGAAACACTGTCCATACCCACGTGCTTGTGACTTGCAACTAATAATTCAAAATCCGGTCCAAATTCCTGCAATGCATCAACCAACAATAGTCCATGAACCGACAATGACGCACTCAAGTCTGCCGGTCTTTTGCTTAATGAAGCGCGCACACCAGACACTTGTAATTCTGCGACACTTCGACCTCTTGACTGAAGTTCAAAAGTCATTTGATCAATAATAAATTGTATCATCATTGGACAGCCAGAGGGACGTTCTATACTTTCTTCTTTTTTCGGACTTCCTGGTTCATTCACCTCAACACTACCCATTGAACCAGCCAGCAAATTCCACATGGATCGAATTGCTTCCACTTTTTGTTCGTTCACATGAACCACTAATCTTGGTAGATTACCGGACACAGTTACCGATGGAAACTGTGGATCGGTCGTGGTGATGATTCGACGCTCTATCTGAAGAGAGATATTGAATCTTTCCAAAACATGAAGATTCGACATCCCTCGTGTACGCGCGTGCTTCCAATTGTCTCGAACTTTGCCCACTAAGACTTGAAGATCTGCTAGATCTATTGTGTATTGGTCGTAGAGTCTTTGGTGTAAAGCTGCCTCTGACAAGGCTTGTATTTCTTGTAGCGATCCACTTTCTTGACTTCCTGGTGGCGTCGAGCACGGTGTTTCATATCTTTCATCGTCATCGTCACTTGCTGTTGGTGATCCTGCCTTTAGAATCACCTCATCCTTATTGTTAGATAGATGCAATCGTCCGAAGTCTACAACGACAACAGCTGCCCCTAAAATAACAAAAATTATTCTTACTGATTCGTCTTTGGCAAATATATGAGCAAAGATAGTTTATAACTAAAATACCTGCATCAGTAAATTTCTCTACTAGCAAGATCTGTGGTGCGGATATGTCAAACTGTAAGTCCCAAGATGATCTGTATACAAAATCCCCTTCGAGTATTTGCTCCCAATTCTTCATTATCTGTCTACGCGTCCTCCTCTTCATAGCCTGAAGCTTCTGATTAGCTGCATGTCTGTGCGGTTCGCATATAAAGTCTATAAGCCATCTAATAGCTACGGGATTATAAACAACGTCTAGAGATCGCGAGTGAACTCGCAACGAATGGTCCATGCTCAGGTGCAATGGCCTCTTCTCATATACCAGCTCGAAAAGCGTAGACAGTTGACTAGTTAATATGTCGGACGATCCGCGGAGTCTCGATGAGGAACCCGTAGAACTCGACATACTTTGTGGTTGAACCAGAACAGGAAAGCTGGAATTTTGTGTGAGGAAGTCGTGAAGGTAAAGTGCCCCAAGGCTGACTGAGAATTTATGTGAACCCGAACGAGGTCGGGACTCGTAACTCAGGTTGACTTTTTCAAACCGCAATTCCATTACAGTCTTCTCAGCAGAACATAGGGAAATAGCACCACGACTCAGGGCAAAATTAAATTGTCCGAATACAGTGTCCCTACGTAGCAGTGTGTCGTCGTCCATGGTATCAGCCAAGGCATCTAGCAATTCTCCGTCAAAGGGCGACGACTGACTCTGGTTACTATTTGGCGTTTTTGAGTACCAGCCCCACCATTGTGGGAACCATTGCACTAGCATACCCCGTGCCTGTGGGGAACTTACATTGTTGCTATTGGTCTCCATCGTTTTTGGCGGACGCACTTTAGTCATCGCTATGTCACGCAACACGCGTAATTCGTCATAACTTCTTTCTTGCTCCACAATGTCTTTGAGTTGCTTCGTGTCCGATGGCAGGATCGTCGTAGGTGTTCCTGAGGACATGACAAATAATTTACCGAATGAATGTAATACATTTTGTTTTCATAAAACAAGATTTAATATAATGATTAATTATAAAGTAGCTGATGGTAAGGTTGTATTTATAGTATACATCATTAACATACACTGTGTAATTCAAACTGTCAGAGAATTAAAAAAGCAGCATGCATTAACCAGGCTGTTAATAGCGGATATAGAGAATGTGAAATTACATTTAAGTACTACGGGTCACGTTACCTAGCAATTTTGCGCAAGCTTCAACGTACGCAACATTCTCTCTAGCGCGTCGTAGAACATCTTCCCAGGTACAGCGAGGTTTTAGAGTATCAAGGCCTATATGATATCGCGCTGCGTATTTCCACCATTCCTTTGGTGCCTCACGTACCGATTGCGATGGTCTACAACGTCGTAGCCTTCTTTGTCGGTCGATATCTTCCAATTGTCTAACGCATCTTACCATTTCTTCGTACTGTACCTGCATAACACGGAAAGTACGATTTTTTGCAATACTTCATGATGAGGTGCTTGGTAATTCTCTAACGAGTGTATTTACATCAGTGATAGCAAGTGGTACTTGATCCAGCAATAGATCTAAGACAACTCGTGGTCTATTTGCGGAACGTAGTGGTCTGTCTGATCTATCTCGTTTTATATGAGCTCGAGCGCTCACCGGCGATAGAATATGCTTCCATTTACTTTTTTTCGACTCGCTCATAGCAATCTGTAAGTCAATCCAATGTGATATACTGTACAAAACAGTAAAAACTTCATTGAAGTGTAAAAAACCAAGTAAAAATTGTAAAAATCACTGTTTTTTAACTTACAGCTAAATCACCCAAATTAAGATTGCTGAAAAATTCATCTTTCTTAAGATGGTTCCAATATACAGAAAGGCCGTCCAGTTCCATAAGCTTGAATGATGCGTCGCCAAGATTCCAGGATGTTGATCCTGGAATCCAGCTTGCGTCGCAACTTTGAGCTGTTAATGCTCCAATAGTTACGCCTAGAGCTATACCATCGCCTGAAGTAAATATTAGATCAAATTAATTATCGTTCAATAACAAATTTCAATGAAAACTGTACTATGATAAGATATCTACCATTGTCTGCTGCAAGGGTGACGTCGTCTTCGTATCGAAAGTGCACGTCTTTTATATTGAGCTGAAGATTTTCTATGATATTTGTCACTAAGGACGTGCCATAATTCAGCCAAGAACTGTAGCTTGCAGCATAGTATCCTGGATCCCGTTCTGTATCGGCACGCCATCGGGCTTCTAATGCTTCTAGTCTACTAAGTTTATATTCTAATGCTGCTTGTTCCTCAGCTTCACTGTCATACTGAAAATGTAGCATTTCCAATATTAATGAATACAGTGATGAATACTTTTTTTTTCTGAATTGACATGGAAATACCTCCTCTAAACGTATTGGCCCTGCAACCAAGTACAATTGCTCAATGACTATAACCCATGATGCAGTTCTTATCTGACGTACTGGAATTTGTAGGCGAACTTTTCCAAGAAAGCCAGCTTTAATTTCTACTGGAAGTCCGATATGACGCAGTGCCTCTCGTTTCAATGGCAAATTTTCAAGTTCAACCTCTCCTGAATAACAAAAGCAAAATACAAGATAAGATGATCTATTTAATGGATTAGAATCATGTGTTATAAAGAATAATTATTACAACATGACCTAACTTAGATAATTAATATTATAGTAAATAAGATACACTTTTATGAAGTTGAAAGAGAATGTAATACATTTTTACCAAAAACTTTCTTTTAGACATCTTAAAGATGACTTATAGATGAATACGGTATTTGGATAAAATGTTGCAAAACAATTTAATAACACAAGATAATATATTTTTTTTCATAAAATAATCTTATCTATCTACAGAGAGATTTGAAAATATGAACTCATTCAAATTATATTTGCATGTATTTTTAACAACACTGTACATTTAGAGAATATTTTATACAATGGTTGATTAACCATTTGATTGCAATAAATATTTAAAACATTAAAGTATGAAAACCTACATGTGGGGTGACATCATAAATTGATACACAGAATGTACTCAAGTATAAGGAGATTCATAACTTTTCTTAAAAGGAATGTCAAGGCTAAAGCGCAAATCAGTTAACATTTCTTAATTAATGTCTTGTTATAGAAAACGACGAAGAGTGCAGCCAAAAGTTCCTTAACGATAAATGATGGATTTAGTAAACAATGATGATAATCAGTGTATGGAGACTGAGATAAGCAAACACATAACATAACCGCACCTGAGAGTAAGGCTATGCTGAGTTGATCGGTGTTCAGATTTTCCACATATTTTCCCAAATAATTATTCAGTACCCAGGCTACAAGTCCTTCGAGCATCGTGATAAAATCGTCGCTGAATTCTCAGCATAAATACTTTAACGCGCACTTGTCTGCTGAGGTTACGTCCTCTCGAAGTCATCTATTATTGCGCTAACTGTGCGCTGGTGTTGATGATTAAAAAGAATACCCTACGTAGGGCTTTCTTTATTCTTTGGGAAAATATGTATAGTAAATTATTGAAGTTATTATTAAATATTAACACCAATCATCTTTACGTGATTGCAGTTACGAGCCGACTAAATCTCTGAACGGAAACCAATGTTTTTGGAATGGGTAACGCGCGTGAATAAAGAAACAGATTTTGTATAAGAATATTCGTATTATTTTACATTATATGTTAATTACACTGTAATAATTTGGACTGACTATGAGACTTATAAAATAATATACTCTATATTTTTATATAGTTTCTTAGTGAGCTATGCTTTGTCATTAGATGTAATAATGCTTTTTGAGTCCAAAAAAGGCATTATTATTAAAATATTTGTAATAGATTCATGAAGTATCACATTTAGTTTCGTGAACAGTCCAATATAAATATCAGTGTATATATATATATATTGTTTAACAAAATCTTCATAAAAATAGGATATATTCGATATGGCTTATTTTTAGACGAGTCGTATTTGGTCAGATTTTTTACCAGGATAAATTACAAAAAGAGACAGCTGAAAGGCTGACAATATTGAACCAAGAAAGTTTGGTATCTTGATGAAAGGATCATCTTGAATACACCCATAAATAAACCATAGACAGGATACAATCAGTGAGGCAGTAATCACTGGAAATGGCAATCCTTCTGCACTCTTAACTTTCATCACATGTGCCTGAAATATAGAAAATTTAGATAGAAATTTATAAATAATGTGTGCCAATGCATGTTGAAAGACAACTAATATTCTTCTATGTATTACAACAATTGTCGATTATAATGATAGAATGAATAAATTACCAGCATGGTTAATGGTGATGCAAAAAATATAATGGTCAAACCACAGCTCAAAAGTCCTGTCCATTTTGTTGCTAATGCTTTATCTGGTTCAGAGAAAGAGTACATATACATTGCAGTGACAAAGCATATAGCCACTGCAAATTGTTTTATGACAACAGATTTTTTCACACTGTACAGTATGAAAACAAATGTGTAACTGAGTTGTAAGGATGTTCCAAAAACGTTTACAAGAACAATAAACGAATCGTTTTTCAAAATCCCATAGAGTAACCATAGGCTACATCTGAAACAAAAAGACTAGTTACTGTTTTAATAATTAATTAAAAACATTATTTTAATATACAGACAGATATTTTCAGAAATTCAAATATTAATGAGATAGCACTAACCAAGGTATAAATGATATAGTAAGTAATTTAAGAACTTAGAGAATTATTGTTTTATCAAGTGTCTGGAAAGAAACAGCATGCATGAATTGATATCAGTTAATTCATTCCAATTACTATAGGAAGTGTAAAATACATGAACTTATCAGTGACACGTACATGTAAAAATATCAATGACATCTGTCTCAATAAAATGAAGCTATATTTTATTGATATTGATATATAAATATGATACAATAAACATATTGAGTTATAATTTTAAGCTATAATATAACAATATATTCTTCTTAATCTTTTTTGAATATCAGTTTTTTGATGATTTAATAAGTAAAGACTCTTTAAATAGGTTATTAATTCATAAATTATGTAGATTATCAAGAGATATATCTTGAAATATGAATACTTACGACATAAAGCATGTCACAAAAGCTAATCCAGATGTTTCTCCCGTGGTTCCTTTCTTAACAATTTTTTGGCATACTAATCTGAAAACAAATGTTTATTTTATTAACAAATTTTTAAATTAAATAAGGGTCAATTGTTAATAAAATGCGGTAATGCATTATATTCAAGGTAGTTTAAATTTCTATATGTATAAAAAACTTACATGCCAGCTAAAAACTGTAGAATTGTACAACATGAAGCTGTGGTAGCTAATGCATCCCTAAACGCTGTAGAGACCATTTTGTATTATTCATTTTCTTATATTACACTTGAAAAGAACATGTGTCAGATCCATTTAGATCTTTCTTCAAAAAATTTTAGATAACTCAAGTTACTAGGATGAGATGCAAGGGCAAGCACTGAAAAATTGAAGCTAAAGTTACAAATATTTCTGTTAGGTGTCAAAGTAATTGAATAACTGCGATATACTTCATTATCCAGCACATTAGACACTTGAAATCACATTAAACTGCATGTAGGTATCCATATTATTTGTCTTAAAAGTACCGCTGAACAACATTAAATTTTTAGGTTGTGACGGACGTCCATATATTTGACGTATCAAGCATTCTATTGACTGTTTTCCAGTTGGTGTTTCCATTCTAACCAATCGCCTTCTCATGTTAAAGCCTTGTCGCCTAATGGAACACTTGAGTGCGAACTGTGGGCCAATGATACAAGTGTCCACAGGAATTCGCGTTACATTATTGGTCGAGAGTTATCTTGGCCAGCGCTTTCGGTGAATGTAGGGCTTCATTCAAACCAAAGACAGCGAGCAGCAGGCAACGACCAATGGACATAGACATCAGTTGGTTATGTCATAAATCAGGCCCAAATAATCTTACCCATTGGTTACCTGTTGCTCTTTACTTTTGCTTCGAATGTGCACTTACCATCGGCACTCACAAATCTTAGAGTTGAGAATGGGCCTTAAACACGTGTATATGATGCTACATGTTTATTGGTCTCTTTAGGCCCTTTTGTTGGGCCAATCACTGACGTTTAATTTTCAAATTTCTCAGCCTACAGGATATGTCCGTTAAACAATTGTAATGAATCGTCAGGCAGTTGAATGCCCGGGTGTTTATATTACGGAATTCATAAAAGCACCCAACGGTTCTTTTTCCTGCAAAGGAAATTAAAAGTTTGTGAGACATCTAACAAATAAACTAACAAGAATTTGATTACACCAGCGTTAAGCCTCTGTAAGTATTAATTTTTAGCATCATGATATCGTCCTGTGCATCCACGATTAAATTAGATTAATCAAAAATATACTTAAATTACTCGAATGATATTGCATGTTTACAAGAAAGATTTTATGAATTTCGAGAAAATATATGTTAGAAATGTTCTGTATGAATAACTAATTTTTTTGAACTATGATATTTCTTTTTGTTGTATACATTACTTTTCAATTGACGTTTTGACAAATAATTAGGGTGATAATTCGGTAAATTTTGACCATTCTTATATTTGGGATTTTAATTGATTTGGTGTGCCAATACAGTCCTCCAAATTAAACCAATTGAAAAATTTTATTATTGTTTTAGAGTCCATTAGTGGTCCATTGAAATATTTCATATTTGTACATTTGTGTACAAGATGGATCAGTGGAATGCCCCACAGTGGACAGATTTTACATCAAGTCCACAACCCTTATGCGAAGATTATTTTGACTATGAACATAAAGAACTTGAGCCACATTTAAATGACTGTGATGAAGTTGAAGCAAGTTCATCAAGTGTAACTGGTTTGGATAAGTCACGTACTGGAAGTGTTCCTGTTGCATCACCCACAGCATCTCCTAGCAAGATTGTTACAAGTAAGGTACCATCTAAGAAGGAGGATACGGAAGATGACGTAAATATAAATTTGAAGACACCTGTGACTGTAATGCCATTGATGAAAAAGCATCGTAATTCTACAGTAGCAAATAAATCCACATATGAAGATATTTTGGCAGATGCTATGAGCAAGTTAAAATTATTATCATCTAAAAGAAAAAGCAGACGATCACACAATGTGAGCATCTATAAGCCATCAAGTAGTATTAAATTACAGCCTAGAAAATCTGTTGGGATAACACCTTCAGAAAGCTACTCCTGCAAGAAGAACATTATAAAAGAATTGCAAATGATTCATCCTGCAGAAACTGAAACTGTGCGTGACGCTGTAGATGAATCTAGAAAACAAGATAAAACAGAAGTTGAAGATAAAACAGAAGTTGAAAAAATAACAAAGCCAGTAAAATCAACAATTACCTCCAGCTTCAATAGAGGATCAGTTGCTAATCTTCGAAAATCGGTAGCGAATCCAACACTTTTGACTTGTAAATATCGAAGATATAGTCTTTCAAAAAATCGAACAAGGACCAATCAGTATATTAGCCTTGCCGAAGCAGTTAGCAAATTCCAAAATCAAACTCCAAAGCGTTTCAGGACAGGTATTACAAAGAATAAGGAGCCAGGTCCTCTGGCCAAAACTAAACAATGTCTTAAGCCTACACAGCCCATCTCGCCTGTACTCTTATCAAAGACTCGAGTACGTACAACTGTATTTGCTACAAGTAACCGAGACATTAATGGTAAAGCGATTCCATCAAATGAAGCAAATCAGAAGAACAAGTGTAAAGCAACGCCAGTGGACCTTCGTACATCAAAACCATCAGTCTTGCAAACTTCAAATACATCACAACTGACAGTCAAGAAACGTTTCAATAAGATAACAATGCCAATTTTAGAATCCAATCAGTCACAAACTTGTGGTTACAGTTTCAAAAATGTTGAGATATCCAATTTCGGGGTCAGACCAATAAATACGCACAAGAAGTCGACATCAGCGGTTCCCTTCAGTTTTGAAGCGCGGGAGAAAGAACTTCGAAAGAAAAGGGCGGAAAAGCTTGAAAAGTTACAGGCTGAAAAAGAAAACAGAAAAACAGCGCCTATTGTTCATAGAGGTGCAGCCGACACTAAATTGTTGCCTAAGAATTTACATGTTGCGCCGCCTATATTGAAGACAGACAGAAGAGCCAAGGAGAGGCGCGAATTTGATCAAAAATTAAAGCAAAAGGAATGTCAAGAGGATGAAACGCGTCGACGGCTAAAAGAGGAGCGATTGGCCAGGGAAAAGGCGGAAAAAGCTCTACTTCGAAAAATGGCTGAGCCAAAGGCAAGGCCTATGCCAGTTTACAAACCAGTGGCTATTTTGAAGTCAAATAAACCATTGACTGCACCGCAAAGCCCGGCTTGGGCTGCAAAGGCAAAACACTGATATATAGCTTGGACTACAAAGATAATATACTATGGCTTGCAATACCTTTTAATTAATGACAATTCTTTGGTTTTAATTTTATTTACTCTACTATGCGGTTTTTTTGTATGCCTTACTTTCATTTATATCTACTCAAATGTGAAATAATAAAATAAATGTTTATCATCCCTAAAGTAATTGATGGTTATTTATGAATATATCGATATATTAATTTCATAAAGAAGTATCAAGGTGATCATTTATCATTTAATAAACAACGATAGACACATACTATAACATAAATAACTGGAACATTATTAAATTATAAACTGTCATTTGGTAAAATTTGTGCTCTATATTGTAATCAACTAAAAAGATATACAAATTATAAATCGAAACGCTTCATTATACGAACAGTGTCTTATTACACGTCCTACCTTGGTCATAGCGCCTTACTGTATTGAGAGGGTCAAAACTTAATTATTACATGTATATATCTACATACATAAAACATAAATAAGAAAAATAATATTATGTATTGTCCAGATGCGTACATGAGCTTACAGCATTTAACATTAAGATGCAGTATATTATTGCCTAAAGCAACTTCCAACGACCCGTCGTATACCTACACACATTGCAAAGACGGAAGATGCAACGTATACATCAAGTTATAACGCTAAAGTACTCGTGACAAAGAATTTAGAGTTTTTAAATTAAAAATGTACATCTGTATAGCTAGATAAAATTCCACATTTTTAATCTTGCATCAGTAAATCCTCTGAGAGAATCCATCAATAAGTGGATATACTGACCTAGAAAACCTATGGAGTGTCATTTTGAATACTTACATAGTAATTTAAAAAACTATATACAATTTTCAGTGTCTGCTTTAATTGTTCTAGCTGCTAGCAACCGATCCAAAGAAAGTCAATAAGAAATCTAAAGCATCATCAAAACAATAAGATTCACAAGATAGTTTGCAAACATTCACATCGTTTAGTTTTAATTTAATCAGCTCGATGCAAGTTTTTTACTTGGATCTTGATCTGTTCATAAGTGACCCATAGAACAATGTTCCAAGAGACGAGTCTGGCAAAACTGGGAATGAAGCCTTTATAGAATGCAAGAGGACCTTCCTGAACGAACATCCTAATAGCAGCATCCATAGCGCCCTTGTATTCCCCGGGTGCGCTGTTCATGTACCTGGTCTTCACAACGTCAACTGGACTCGCTGCCAAAGTTGTGCAGAGGCCAGCAGCAGTGGCAGCTGTCAAATGACAGGGGATGCCATCGCGCAGATATCCAGAATTCAGGATGAGCTCCTTGATAATGTCGTAGCAAACAATTTCAGCCACGTTTACAATCGCATTGCGAGAAATGTTCGGGAATGTACCTGATGCAGAAATATAAAGAGATTATTAAACAATTTAACTAATTCATTTTTCCAATTGACTAATTAATTTAATATTCTAATTACAGTAATTTCTCAACCGACCTTTCCACAATCCACGAGCTCCTTCATTCACTGCGATGCTCCTGTAGGCTTGTAGAGTTGAGGTGTACCTAACAGAAGTCTTGCCACTGCTTCCAGCTTGGAAACGCACCTTAACAACGTCAGTTGGCTGAGCAAAGAGCACTGCCATGGCACCAGTTGTGATACCAGCTGCGACACGAACGCCAATGTTCATCGAGCCACTTCTATTATTACCTGTCAAAGAAAATCACATGATAAAGTAGCATGAAGTGGAGGTCGGACTAGCCTTGAAAGAAATCGTTTAGGTTCAGGGCGTGGAGAGGGACGTTAGTTATATACTTACTATACTGACGTATAGTTAGTAAACGTGCCTTGTGACATTTATTTTCAATCGTTATACAATTCGGCTTTTTTTTTCATGGCGTCAAGTGACAAATTGCACAATCGAATTTTACTTGTTCCTACCCCAAGATACTTGTAAATTAATTGATACTTATAATAACATCGTATCGTGTATTTGTTATAAATTTGACTCATCGAATATTAAGTTTTATTATCGGCCTCTATCCCAATCCCATCGGGCATGTTTAGTCAAAATGTTTTCTTGGCGTCATATCCATATTTGAATTATGACAATTGAAACCTCCAACAGTCAGGTTCTGTACGAATACGAGGATCAGCAATAATTTATTAGGCGGATTCGGTCGATCCGTTTACGACTCACCCATACACGGGAGAAAAAGGGATTTTAAAAAACCTGAGCGTTATCTGTCCTCGCAGAAACATCAATCCACGTGTCTCAGCGAAATTATAGTTAATCAAAGTTAGTGTTTGATGGAAGTACCGTCGAAGAATCCAGCGTAGAGTGACTTCACGCTGTCGTAGAGGCCCAAGCGTACGCTGGCGAAACACATCTGTCTCTGGAGTCCCGCGGACAGACCTCCGTACAGGCTCCTGTAACCACCCTCGCTCAAACTCACGCCCTCACAGTTTACGCTAACACTCCCCAGGGCATACTTTTTTTCTTTTTCTTCCGACTTTTTACCTTTATCATTTTATCTTTTTTTTATGTATACTTTGAATGCACGGACAATTGCGATACCAAGTTTCTGGTATGTCAAATAGGAAGAGAGGAGAAACTTATAAGAAACGCAAGATTATGAATTCAACATTAAAATAAAGTCAGCATAAAATAAAATCGAAAGCAAAAAAAAAATCTACCAAGGAAGTGTTAAATAAAAATAGAACAAAATTAAAAGTTGGGAAGTACGCAGTCGGATTTAACGAAATGCTTGAATTGCTAGTAATTATATAAGAAGTATTATCAATTATATTTCATTTTTCAATTGTATGTTATGATTTTCAAATTCGACTAGTTACTTGCCAATATAGTTTTTTCTTTAAACAAACGAAATAAAGTGTTGTACGAAATAAAAAATTAAGGGTCGATCATACCGACATCGGTAAAAATTTAACCAAGGATTAACCAATTAAGACTTCGGATTGGACATTTAATCTTTCGTTAAATTTTATCTGATTTCAGTGCAACTGACACTAAGAAAAATAACAAAATAAAATAATAAAGACTCGAAGCTTTTTGCACAAATCTTCTTTATCATCTGGAGATAAGTTCATCGTAATCATTTATTACACTCAGAGACATTCGTTTTATTACGTTAACGAATTGATCGAAGATTATGAACAACCCTTACAGACAATGGACATTATCACAGTATTATGTACTGCGATTTAAGATCCGTTTGCTTTACCTACCCTTTCGCTTGTTTAAATTACCATTCTGATTATGGACAACATACCTTGCTCCCTCAGTGCGCACAATGTTTCCAAGTGTCTGCAGCAATCCTGGCTGAGCCGTTCGTACAGCAAGAACGGAACCTTCAGCCGATGCGAGCAACAGCGCACGGCCTTCTCCAGCAATCTAATAAAAATATCAAACGAATATAATCACAATTGAATATTCGCTTTTATACATTTCACATGTTCTTTATTACCCTACGAGCATTTACCTGCATTCGGACTTTCGCAGTGTCAAGAGGAAACGTAGCTACGTCGGCAATGCAGGCCGCAGTTCCTGCCGTGAGAAGTTTCGCGGCAAGTGGCATATCGTCTGCTGCGCCAGGCTTCATTTTCAGGTTATTTTTCGGTCTCTCTTTGTCTCAGACTTCTTTAGCTCGCCTCCTTACTATCGTTTCGTAGTTCTTGCACTCGGAGTTAGTGATTGTATATCGATACACGAGGTATAAGTCAAATTCAACTGTTACTATTTGCCCCTGTGTCTGTTAGTTCCAACGTTAGAAGATTCTCAGAAGGTCGATACGTTAGAGCAAAATTCTTTGGTAATAATTTACATATACACTATATACAGTCCTGCCGTAGGAGGAAATATTCAATTTTCCATAAATTATTATTGCTTGCTAATAACTGATATGTATGTACAATATATATACAAATCCTGCCAGAGGACGTAATATTCAAGTTTCCATTAAGCGGTAAGTAATTCAAAACTCTGTGCTTTCCCTAAAGTGATCGGGATATGCGTGCAGTCCTTCTGACCGCGAGCACTCGTGTTTTATTTCCTTGCTGTTAAGTGCTTTGTACATACTATTCTTCTGCAACAGAAAAAAATTTTTCTCACGGTCAGTACACCACCTATATTTTCGACTCTTAGCTTTCTACGCGAATTTAAATAATCATACATTTTTTTTCTTCTCTGACGTTTACAGGCTCAATGTACACGAAGGCTACAGTAAACATTCCGGAAATTTTACACGAGCATCACCCAACGTGCGTCACGCAATCAACCATAATTCCCACGTGCAATTTGTAGCAAACGACGGCGCAATGAGCAGGAATTATGAAAACGTCAATGTAAACAAATAGTGAGTGAACGCTTTGTAAACTAACAACTCTTATCTACATATACTATATGTACAGTGAATGCAATACGTTGGACATGGCACGCGACCTGAAATAGAAACTGCAGATAGAGTTGGCGAACAGCCAGCAAAGTAATGACGAATTTCAAAGACTTTTTGAAAGTCCTCAAGAAAGTTGGAACATTACAAAGGACTAAGGAAACGACTCGAAATGGCAATGGAAACTACAAGTGCGTTAGCTGCGATCAAACACGAATATTATGCGAGGATGACAGTGACTAATGAAAATGGCAAAATGATCAAACAGATCGAAAGTCCAGGTTCGAAGTCTTCGATAACGTTTTACAACTATAAATAATTCATCTTATTCTGCCTGCAGATTATCCGGCGCGTGGTTGACTTCGCTTTCGCCTTAATTTCATACAATCACGAGACACGTGACAGTCACGTTTTTATCCTGGAATCGAATTGATTTATCTGAATCCCAGATAAAGATTCTAATATAAGTATATATAATTTTATGGCTCCATAATATGAATCGACACGTGTAATCAATGTCGGATGATACTTGGCGATTAATTAAAAGGTCATACGACGCGACACTTAATTAGAGTTATTCAAGTTTATCTAAGTTTAATAAGGGGTCTGACTGTTGATACTAAACTTATTAACTCAGTGATGATTTTTAATTACAAATGTATAACGTAATAATTGGACATTTAAATTATCACAATACACGAAACAGATAGTATTTGTAATTATGTCACGTGTCACCAAAAATTCAATTAATTTGTAACCATAGTACGTCGAGATTAAACATTGTCCATTTTTTTTGCCATACTTTTTTTACATATAAATTTCAAGGTGACACACTTTGCATAGCATGTTTCGACATTTTCATTTCCTAAACTTCCAAAATTATCGGTTCAACAAACATTAGCAGACTTGTACGAAATTTATATCAGAACGTTTGAGACTCAATTTCACGGTTTATTTTCAATCTCTACGAGTAGCCTTGAGAACTGAAAGTGTAGAACGAGCTGCAGCGTTTGCCTGTAGTTACTGTACTTCTTTTTTGCTCGATACAGAACCGCGAACAAAGAACAATTTACACAGTGTAATCTTGGCTCGTGAACTAAGCGACTTGCAGATCAAAGCAATTAGAAATACCGTTAAGAAATATTTATACTTGATATATCTATTGATGAAAGTACAGTTTCTCTCGGAGCTGGCAACAGCTTCAATGTTGCAATCACGGTTTATGATAGTCATTCCGGCTGAATGGCAGGAACTGCTTGACAATATATGAAATAATGATTAACCTGTATTAACCCGGCGCGCGCAGGGCAAACAAACTTTCCTATGGCGACTAAAAAATCTCGAGCTTTTGGAACACACATTTTCAACTGTTGAAACAAAGTTCTCAACCTTTAGGTAAAGTACCAGTTTATTTTTAATCCACAGACAGATGAGTCTACAAATGTTACTAGATCCTAAAAACTTGTTTGAATTAATTATTTTAAGATATTAAAATGACAGCTGTCAAATTTGACGTTTCAACGAAATTAACCCTTGGTATAAAATACGACCACGTGATATGTTTACTTGCTCAAGTGTACTTGCTCTGCCAACTGTGTATATAGTTAGACTGAAATGGTGGTAGGTCAAGCACATTTCTTATTCATCCAAGTTGAACTTTGCACGCGCTACATTACCTACACGGTTTGCGTTATCGATGTGACTGACAGTATCGCGACAAAGGGACCATAAATAATGCTTGTTACATATTTATTATTTAAAGACGCGATAGTTTCCTGTCTGTCAAATCGATGTAGTCATTTCGTTTTACGTGTCCAACGCGCATACGCGAGAGCATCATGAAATTCTGTATACACCTTTTGCGATCGGCGTTATTTATTTACATTTCAATGTATTTATAAGGTTACGAAATTTCTTTAAATTCAAATTCTTCGTGCCATTATTATTATTTTTAACTACTTGTCACAATAACAGCATTGTCATCAGGCCAATTGTCACTTTACTGTTTAACATTAATTTTTTCATTATTCAAGGTCACTGCGACTAGAGTATAAATATTGTTGTACAGTTGAAAATAAAGTTTGACTATCCTACATACATTGGGCAATGTCCGCATTCATGCAATGCGGTGTGTATATATATATATATATATATATTTCATATACCTATTTATGTATAAGTTACTGTAAATTATTTTTATTCGTCAAATTGGCATCATTGTTATTTCTTATTGTCATTGTAATGACAACCGAATACTGATTTGTGTCCGCATTCATGCAATGCGGTGTGATTTTTTCATTATTCAAGGTCACTGCGACTAGAGTATAAATATTGTTGTACAGTTGAAAATAAAGTTTGACTATCCTACATACATTGGGCAATGTCCGCATTCATGCAATGCGGTGTGTATATATATATATATATATATATTTCATATACCTATTTATGTATAAGTTACTGTAAATTATTTTTATTCGTCAAATTGGCATCATTGTTATTTCTTATTGTCATTGTAATGACAACCGAATACTGATTTGGCAAATACAATAATTCTAAAGTACCACGGGCTCGAAAGATCGTTACTGTAGTTTGGTGCGCATGGACGCTCCTATAAGGAATTTATAGATATACAGTAAGAATGCGACATAGAACTTTTGTATAGCAATTGCCTGATGTAACAGGAAAATCGCAAGACTGTTAGTTTTATATAAAACTACGTAATTCGCATTGTCAATAAAAATAGTCTAAGCGAACAAGATACTTGAGACGGAGGGTAGAGAGAATTAAGTAATTTCATGTAAATTGTGTATAAAATAAACAATTATACAATATTATAAATATTTTAATAATTGTTATTAGTCGTAAGCAATTGTATCGTACGATTAGTAATATTATTATATCGAATTTTGTAAATTCTACTCACCAAGTATACAGTGGGTAAGCAACGACACAACTGAAACAGGTTCGCATGATAGTACTGCTTATATCAAGACGTCGACCAATAGGAGCAAACTACGATTTTATATTGTCCAATAGCGTTGCGAGACTGACGTCACTTTCGGCCAAGTAAAATCCAACCCGCGCGTGGTCGATATTCACCAGGCACTGTCGAGGGCCGTGCTTTCGTCCGCATGTATATATATGTATAAAGCTCAGAAGCCATCCCCAAAAATATTAAGAGTGGGGATCGATCGCTGCTGTTTCATTCGTCGAACAGCTGCTTTTGTTGATCATGGAAATTTTGCTCTACAGCATTTGCTTCTCTTGGCATGCATGGACTTTGATCTTGCATAGTACTGTACGTGCGTAGTATTATTTAATCTCTATCCTAAAAGCACAGAGGCATTATAGCGTGTGTTCACGAAATGGACGCATGCCGGTTGACAGTATCCGGTAAACTTTATAAACAAGGAGAAAAAGTATATTTAATACAGCCAAGACACGAACCTAAATTCAAAGTGTAAACAGAAAATTTTTTTTTTTTACAAATAACTAAAATCGAACTTCCTCAGTTGAATCTAAAAAATGTACAAGAGTGTCGCAGAGAGACTATTGAAAGATATGTATAATAAAGTTGAAATTTACGATCAAGTTGAATAAAAATATTCCACCGACTGAAGTAGGCTTGATAAGTATTTCGTTACAAACCTAAACGCGCATGCAACTTTCAAGGTCGTCGGTACCAATTTATGAAATTTATATCAGATCAAATAAACTGGTACAGTCTGAGCATCGAACTTTTTTTTTTTTAATACATAAGGGTTCTAAAAAATTTTTCCACCGACCTGTACTATGTAAAAAGTCAACTGCATGCCTCGAATGGATGATAAGATGCGAATTTGTGAGATAAGCTGGAATGTGAAAAAAAAAATTTTGAACTGGTTTTAATTGGTTTGTCGGAAGGTATGAGATAAGAGTCAGGACGATCGTTGATGCATGAAGCGATAGAAATTAATTTTGAGACTGCTGGACGAGCCTCTCAGTCGTTGGCCATACGCAAAACTCGTGATCGGCTAAAAAACAAAGTAAAGTAACCAACAGAAGTCAAGAGCTCGGAGATAGGACGAGTTATAAAATTTCGATTGACATTAGTAGAGGCTAATTAATAATCAAAGCAAGCAAAAAGTTAGTAGACATCAATAAGACTTAATCATTGCCATAGGTATTCCCGTGTTAGACACAACAAAGCTTTTTCCCTGTAATCTCGAAGATATCGACGAAATTAATGAAAATAAATATTCCATACCGTGAATTATTATTTTTCGGCTTATTCGAAAATTCGGTATATAGATTTTGTAAATTTTCCGTTGCTCCTTCGAATAACCAAAAATATTCCTAACGGGGGCCCACTGGTCGTTCATCACTTACGGTGACTCGTTAAACTCAATTGTACTCAATATCTTCTTTTGTTACGGAAGGTTTTGAAGATTTATTACCAAAATTTCCAGGCGTGTTATATAGGTATATATATTTTTTTTAACTTTTGAAAATTATTCTACTATAATCAATCCAATTTATTTTCATTAATGTCATCCGAAAGAATCTAAGGATTATTCGGATCAGGCTTGATGCATAGCGTCCAGCTATCGATGTCACGTATGAATACGCGCGAAAAAAGCAAGGTTATAAATTCAAATTCTTCGAATAAAAATGGCAAACATTTATACGCACGGAAATTAGAAAAAGAGCAGATACGCTCTTTATGTATGTAATCGGGTTGTCGAGTATTAGATTTATGTGATACGGCGAATAGCCAGTATAATCTTTATCGCCTTTGAGTAACGATATTTTTCATATCAAAGTCAAGTTATGTTCTAAGCCGCGTGTAATCAATTGGCTGATCAAAAAAATAGGATCTTCATTTAGATAATAGCACACGTGCGTAATCAGAACTTTAATATTTAAAGACGTTCAAGTGCGAAGGAAATACGACGTTTGGGATTAAATATTATCTATTCGAATATGATACAATCTAAGGAGTTTAGTTTCCTGATTCACTATATATATATAAACGTCAGATCAGGTCAGTTGGCAAACCCTGCAGATGGGCAGTCAGGGCAGGACGGTTAGCCTACTGCCAGTAGCACGTGAATGGAATTGTACTGGAGGGGTGTCAGACGTTCCAAAAGTTTCCGTAGTAAAAACAGTAGGAATAAAGAAAAATTTGTGAGTACGTGATATTAGAAAAAAAAACATACTCCATATACTTAAAACACCCACGAATGAAATTTTAATAGTAAATTTTTCAAAAATCATTCCACTAAATCACAAGCGACAGTTACATATATACAGTGTTAAGATGTCAGTCGGTCACGAATACAATGGAGAAGATATGGAGATAACAGTTATATCCCTGATTACGACCTGATAATATTGTCAATATACAACTCGTTGTTAGCAAAGCACCAAGTGACTTCCGATTTTAAATCAATTTTATTTGGACAACTTTAGCATGATCTTTTGGCGGTGTATTTTACTCAAAGCATACGTATGTAGATGAGACAGCTAATTAAAACTGATAAGTTGTTCGACCTAAGGTTTTTTAACCCTAACTTTTATCTTGTCTAAATGCGACTTTCCTTGGGTCCATATAACATGCGATTTTCAAGTGAAATACTAAAAAAAAAAGCGTGTCTCTTGCGTGATTGCAATTAATTTTTTTTTTGTCAGTCAATATCCATTTTTCTTAATATCAGTCATACAGTCTGTAGTATATCGACAGTCAAAGGTTGTGGATACTATATATTTTAGATATAGATTTTGTTCACTACGTAGTCTGGGTAAAATGTTTAAGAGCGACTTCTGCTCGTGAATTTTGCCTAGGGACTCCGTCCAGTTTACAGCCTGACGTTTATAGGTTACGGCTGATTATCCTGCTTACTGCGGTAGTTCATAGATGGCTGATTAGGACGCAACCTAATGAACGTCAGTGCTATCATTAGAACGTGCAATTGGCTAATTGACTCCATCTCAATTTCTGGGTTGATTTTGGATGCTGTTCAATAAGCTTGTTGGATGGTTCTTGCTGTTGTAGGTACGCGGTTTCAATCAGATCGATTAATATTGACAGGAAATTATAGATGTACGCAATGAAACAATCAATGTACCGTAGAGAAGTGTATGAGAAATAATCATTTGAGAATTGGGATAATTGACTCCATCTCAATTTCTGGATTGATTTTGGATGCTGTTCAACAAGCTTGTTGGATGGTTCTTGCTGTTGTAGGTACGCGGTTTCAATCAGATCGATTAATATTGACAGGAAATTATAGATGTACACAATGAAACAATCAATGGTACCGTAGAGAAGAGTATGAGAAATAATCATTTGAGAATTGGGATAATTGACTCCATCTCAATTTCTGGATTGATTTTGGATGCTGTTCAACAAGCTTGTTGGATGGTTCTTGCTGTTGTAGGTACGCGGTTTCAATCAGATCGATTAATATTGACAGGAAATTATAGATGTACACAATGAAACAATCAATGGTACCGTAGAGAAGAGTATGAGAAATAATCATTTGAGAATTGGGAAGTTCCTTGATGCCGTGTAACTTTGCATAGTAAAGTGGACGACCTTCGGTCTGTGTACTTGAACGATAAGCTTGGGAAAAGTAACGTTGATGTTTGATCCTGTGAAAATATACATGATATGAAATTTTATGACGTTAATGGTACAGTGGTGTTTTAATAGGAGAATATTAACTCACGAGAAGGTAGTTATATGGTTTTTCTAGTTATCGGACGCGATTACGTTAATTTTGTGGAATTTGAGAAATAATGAAAATGTAAGAGAAATGAAAAGATTAGGTTTTTAATTTTCAAAGAAATCATAAAAAAAATTTATTTTCAATGTTTTATTGCCTAAGATGAAATTGGAGGCTCTTGCGCTAAAGACTAAGTAAATATAAATATTGGTATTTTGCACGTTATGGGATGCTGGCAGATGTTAGGTCCAACTGTTGTTGAATTTAATAATTAGAGCTGTGACACTTCCGATATGTCAATATATGCGTTAGGATAATTTTTAACATATTTTTGAAGGGAAATTCTAATAACTGAAATATTGCTGTATTTATTTATGGTATATTTATAGGATACAAGAGAAATTTTTTTTTTTTAATCTTAATGAAGTCGGTCGGATGCGGCAATGCATAAAATAGTAATACAAAGTCAAACGGGATCAAGTTGGATATTTTGCTGTTGTTTGTAATCGAGGACAAGCCAATAATGTATCCTTTAGCAACGATCAGTGGCTGCGATTGATTCGTGCTTCTTATTGCCCCTCATTGAACTATTAATAATTTGCTAAAAATTAAAAAAAAAAAAATAAGCAATGTAGTCAACCACTTCAATGCGGTTCCAAATGCTATAGCAGAATGTACGTTGTACACGTGCATAGTCTGCTACTGTAAAATTATATGATAACGTAGGTTCATGCACGAGAACAATGAAATGGACTATCAATCGGATTGATCGAGTCCATTTAAGCAGACGGAACTGTTTGCTTTTAACCTTTTACTCCAAAGTCCGATCCTTCGTCGTGAGAATAAGTCAAGAGGGGACACGAACTTCTTATAGCTATTACTTACGTGTTTTTTTTTTAATACTGTCTCGAAGGGCGAGAAGCGGTGAAAGGAGAGGAAACGGAGTACAGAGATGAGTAGGGAGATACACAACGCTACGGTTTTAAGATTGCGCTCGAATTTAAGATTGCAATGGAAAACGGGATTCGCATTACCGACGGAGGCGATGATCATAAAATCCTACTTCCGGACTCGCCGCTACGGTTTAGTCGTGCATCTCCGTACTGATCTCTGATTTTCATTTGCATTATACTCGCATGGTAAATGAGAGCACGTCGAAGCGCTTAACAGTAGAAGATAAAAATCAGTTACCGACGCGACACTCTCAGTCGATAACGTCTTATTCTTCTTGATTTCTATACTTAGAGCTCAGGTTGCTATAGTTGCTTCTTACGTCTCTTGTCGTGAAACTTCTTGAGCAACTATGCAAATTTTTCAAAATAATATTATCTGTATGAGGATGTTACAAGTGCTGCCATCTACGCACCGAGCGTTGCAACAGTTAATGCAGTTACAGTATGTAGTTTGGAG